GGGGGGGGGGGTATAAATCTAAGCCCTCGTTGTCATGACTGCGCTTTGCGTCCTCTCCAACTCTGGGCTTTCCGCACTAAATCTCGCCTCTGCACTTTCGAAAAAATCCTCCCTCCGAATCCCAGACCGATCACACATACTCCGGAATATGCCACCTTGATCATACAACGTCAACGGACGATCCAACTCTGCCACATTGCCCTGGTCCATGACCAAGATGCGATCATATCCAATAATGGTCTTGAGGCGATGCGCAATACACAACAATGTCTTGCCCTTGAATCCTCTCACAATGGTGCGTTGAATCTTCTGATCCGTCTCAAAGTCCACCGAAGAAGTCGCTTCGTCACACACGATGATTTGTGAACCTCTCACCAGTGCTCGGGCCAGAGCGAGAAGTTGCCGTTGTCCCAGAGAGAAGTTCAGACCTTCATCTTCGACCGCCGTGTCGAGATGGATGCGTCCACCTTCGTCATCCATGGTCTGCTCCGCCCCGACGAGATCTGCTTGTCGCAACGCATTCCACAACTCGAGATCAGTGTGTTCGTTGAAAGGGTCGACGTTACTTCGTATCGTGCCTCGGAAGAGGGTGGGATCTTGTGGAATAATGGCCAACCGAGATCGCAAATCGTGAAGCCCAATTTTCGCAATGTTGACGCCATCAATGGAGATGCTGCCGCCGGAAAGTTCCACGAGGCGGAAGAGCGTCGACATGATGGTCGACTTGCCAGCGCCTGTACGTCCCACCACACCAATGCGCTCGCCCGCGCGGACGTGCATGGTCAGGCCTTTGAGTACCAAAGGTAAGCCATCGCGGTACCGCATTTGCACGTTATCAAAGTCAATGGCTCCGTGTTCGGGCCACGATGCTGGCACTTCTCCCAAGTGGAGAGGCGCTTCTTCTTCCAGTTCAGTGCCGTAATAGTGAACACGCTCCGTACTATTCATGTTATTCTCCACCTCTGCCAGTTGGCGAACGGTGAATTGAATCATCTGGACAATCGACAAGATGTAAGAGAGCACCAACCCGCCCGTGGAAGGATTGACGGAGAATCGCGAGGTGACGACCAAGATGCCGACCACGAACACCATCACATTGCCGACAGCATCCAGTCGAGTGGACAGCCATCTCTGGTTGGCAAAAGTCAAAAAGTACGCGCCGTCCATGGAGTCGACAGATTCGTCCACGTGGTTCGCAAACTGCTGCTGAACACCATATGCTCGAATGGTGGAAATGCCATTGACGGCTTCGCTGAAGCGGGCAAAGAGAACACTGCGGAGGACAGCCTCGTGTCGTTTCAACTCTCGCGCTGACGATCGGTAGTAGCTCGCAGAGAACAAAAAGATGACCGTCAATGGTGCCAGAGCGATGGCAAAGTAGTAATAATAGGCGATGATCAAAATGAACACGGATAAGATCATGCACATGGTCAGGGAGAACATGCGGATCGAGTCGGTCAGAGTGTTGTCCATGGTATCGACGTCCTTGGAGAAGCGGTTGGTGATGCGTCCCAGAGGTGTGGTGTCGAAAAACGACATGGGCGCTCGCAGGACGCGGGTCACAGCTCGGTTGAGCATGACTTTGCTCGATTTCGTACCATAGACGGTGAGGACCACAGAAAAGGCAAACATGAGAGCTGCTTGTGCCACACCAAGCGCAGCGTAGACTCCAATGTAGACGCCGAGTCCTAGATTCCATTTTCCGGAGGTCCAATAGGACAACCATCTGTTCGAGAATCGTTAGCACCATCTTCTTTTTAATGTCGCGGAGCAGACCATCGCAAGGACTATACTTACAGAGACGTCATGATGTTGGCTCCTTGGGAGATCACTAGAAGGATAAGCACCAAAGGCGCCACCCACATCCCGCCAGAAGCTCGGATGTACGCAGCGTACACACTCCAGCCCACACTGTCGACAGCGCGTTCTTCTTGCTGCATCAGAGCAGCGGCAGGCTTCTTGCCCTTCTTCTTCTTCTTGACCTCCTTCTTTTCATCTTCCACCTCGTCTTCATTCACAAGCTCCTCGTCTTCGTGCTTCTCCTCCTGTGCAGTCGTCTCCATGAGCTTCTGGAATTCTGCATCGTTCTCCATCAAGTCCGGAAACGTGGCAATCTTGTAGATCATGCCTTCTTTCATCCACACGATGCGATCCACGCGGTGCAAGACATGAAGCTGATGAGTTGCAAGCACACGGGCTTTGCCTTTGAGCAGACCACAGATCGCATTATCCATGATGTGTTTTCCGACATGTGCATCCACGGCAGAGAGAGGGTCGTCCATGAGTACGATATCGGCGTCAAAGTAAATGGCACGAGCGATATTCAGTCGTTGCTTCTGTCCTCCCGAGACCGTGATCCCGCGCTCCCCAATCTCCGTCATATCGCCCGCGGGGAGCATCTCGAGATCAGGCCGCAGTGCGCAGGCGTCAATGACTTCGTTATACCACTTACTGTTGTAATCTTTGCCGAAGATGATGTTCTCCTTGACAGTGGCATTTTGAATCCAGGCATACTGTGGACAAAAGGCTCTGTTGGCACCAAAAGTGACCTCGCCCGTCGTCTTTCGCATGTCACCCGCGAGAGCTGCGAGGAGCGAAGTTTTGCCAGATCCGACAGAGCCAATAACTGCAACGAGCTCATCGCGACCGACGGTGAGGTCGACATTGTTAATTTGGAAAGGCGCCCTCTGCTCATCCAGGACGCTCTCTGCAACATTGTCAGAATCCGGGTAGACTCCCATCTGCTGCTTTTCCGCAAGCTTTGATGCACTCTTATCTTCCTTTGCCTTGGATTTGGCATCCTTTTTCTCTTGTGCAATTTGCTTTCGGCCCTTGGGATCGGCACCAGGTGCTTCCTTTTCATCTTGATTCGTGTTACGCTCCCACGTGAAGCCACCACCTCTGATTTCAATGGCATTCTTGGCATCGTCTTTCCATTCGGAGTCGTCGTTGATCTCCTCGGCGGCCAAGAATTCCGCAATGCGCTTCAGAGAAGCGTTTGCATCGACCACCTGTCCCAAAACCATCGGAAGCAAGTTGAGTGGAATTCGCAGAGCGTTGAAGAGTGCAAGTGATGAGAATACCGGCGCTGGATTGAGGTTGTGCATCGTCGTCGAGTAGGTGATGAAGGCCAGCATACTGGCGAAAATCGGAATGGACATGGAAACAGCCATGATGCCGTTTCGAATCGACAACAGGAACGAGATCTTGCCAATCTCTCGATCTCGAATCTCTCCGAGCCTGCTGATGAAGCTCATCTCCCAGCCAAAATACTTGACGAATCGAACCGAAGATATGATCTCCTGGGTCAGACTCACACGTTGATCCGTGATTTCGTTAATCACCTTTCTCCTCATCATCAAGGATCGAATGGCGAACGCAAGCAAAGGCATCATCAGGCAGATGAATGCGAAACCAGCCAGAGCGCTGTAGGTCAAGTTGATGCAGAGAAGTGCTAATGTCAGCAGCACCTGTATTGGGGCGGTCCATATCATGTGACCCATGCCACAAGCCTGGTCGATACGGTACGTGTCCACAGACATCAAGTTGACAATCCTACCATTGCCCCAACCTTGGCCATCTCCTGATACACCCTTCTTGTCCTTCTTTTTCTTCTGATCGTCCTTCAGCTTTTGCTTGAAGTACGCCTTTTCCTCTTTGCTGCCAGGCTCAAATGCAGGCTGTTCTGCCTCCATGGTCAATGCAGCACCGCCAGCCCTCGCTCGCCCTGACAACCTCATAGCCTTGGCAAATATGGTACTGATCAAAGTGGAACGCGCTTGCCCTCCGACCATCATACCACGATAGATAAAGTGATTGACACACCCGGACTGTATAATCTGCATGCAGGTAATTCCAATCACCAAGCCAATGCCATGCCCAATGTTCGGTGCAGGCTGGGTACCGTTCGATGCAGCATAAGCCTCGCCAGCAAAAGAAATGAGATATTTCAAGGTGAAGGGCGATAGCACCTGCAGCATTGCGGAAATGAAGTTGCAGATGCCTCCTATCCAAAATTCCTTCTTAAAGGTGTCGTAGAGTGCCATAGGCAGGGGCTGAAACCAGTCTTTTCGACCCTGGCGATATTCCAGAGCGGTCAACAGCTTTGTGCGCATCACATCGACGCTTCGTTCCGGATTGACATGCCAAATATCGTTCAGCTCCAGTGAGCGTTGATATCCCACAGTCATCAACGGACCGACCCACTGGAATGTCAAAACACTGAAGAAGCCCGCCGACTGCTCGCGTGAAGCAAGCCGTTCTGAAGGCACAGGCGGCGGGTTTTTGCTCTTGAACGGATTCAGTTTCTCGCTCCATTTCCGTTTCCGGGTTGGCTGTTGCTCCGGCGGTTGTGCCCCCTCGGTTGCCACACTGTTCTCTGTGGCGGTCGTCCAGTCGCTTCTCGTCCGTGCCAGTGGCGGCGATTGTCTCTTCTCGATATCACTCTCATCTTGCGAACTGGTTTCTTCGACGGCCTCGTAGTCGACTTGCTTCTCGTCGTTGAGTTCGGCATCCGGTCCCACTCGCTCCAGCGGTTCTTCCGCCAACGCTTCCGTTTGTATAGGTTCCTGGGGCCCGGGAGCCTCGACGGTACTCTCGGTCAGCGCCTTTCTCGCCTCTGAACCAGACATGACGCGCACAGATCGATGGCGTCTGTGAGGAAGTGGCCAATACCTGACTTCTGTGTACCGATCTAGAACGAGTGATGCGGCAGACAGGCAGACAGGCAGGCAGACAGACAAACGAGAAGAGCAAAGAGAATCATCTGCACGCGGCAGGTACATAAGGGCACAGCAAGTGCGCTCATGATCGGAGGAGCCGTCTACTCAACGCCGACTGTGGCGTCGGTACGGGGAGTGCGCAGCGGAGTGATTGGCGCGGCAGGAAGGGCCTACATGCGTCAACGGCATTTGTTCAACAAAGCTTGGTCGTGTGGCTCGCCTCTCTCGCATATAACCACAGTAACCACATCACGTACCTGTACTCCACCTCCGCAACGCTCTAGTCGCAGCAGACATGGACTAGTGCGAGGTCGAATAGTCATGTACGGGTCATGTCTGCTGCGGGTTGCTGTATAAAACAGTGGAGATGTCGCCCACAGTCGGACTTCCGCCCTAAGTCCGACGCTGGTGCTGGCAGAGCAGAGCTACCTCCTCCTTGCCTCCGTAGGTACAGCTGATGAAGGGTGATGAAGCTGACAAAGGTTGCAACGCCATACCTCCTAGGTCAGGTACTTTATTAGGTATCTGACCGTATTTCCCTACCTAGGTAACGGCCCTACCGGTACCTTCTGGTCATGCCATGCCATGCCAGTGCCACGGTCCTTAGCGTTCCTCGTGGGGGAAGGGGGAGGGGGAATGGGAGAGGGAGAGGGAGAGGTTACATGCCCGGCCAGAACCCGCCAGGCTCAGGTACAGGCTCAGGCTCAGGCTCAGGCTCAGGCTCAGGCTCAGGCTAGGAGGTAAGAGGGCAGCGCGACGACCGCGAGTTGCCCGAAACGAGTTGGGCGCCTTTGTGGGGAGGGGGGAGGCAAAGTCGTCGAGAACGGTGCCGATAGCCGGATGTGGCCGCCACCGCCTGCATTCCTCAGCCTTCGCCTTCGCCTTCGCCTTCACGAAAGAACAATTGCTCTTCGTTTCCGCTCGTTTTCACGCCGTCGCCGCTGTTCTCTGGGACCCAACATGACGCGGCCGTGGGCCATGTCCCGTCGACCTGTAGGTAGTATGTATCCACACCACACCGTAACAGGAGGTTAGGTAGTAGTCGCAGTAGTAGTACTTCGGGACCTCCTCCGCCCTCACCGCTGCAAGCTTCTCTCTCTTTTCTCTCTCTCTTTTCTCTCTCTCTTCTCTCTCTGTTGGCAAAATCATGTAGCCACCCAGTCAGTCGTTGCGATAAGCCAAACTGCCGACCTGTCGCTCATGCCCATGTTCCAACAAAACGCCAGTTCCAGCTATGTACCTCCCCACGGACGAGCTGAAGTGTGAGCAAACGCAGGCGAATCCTTGAGATCAGCCATGGAATCGTGCGCCATCATCCATGCTTTTTTTCCCATGTTTCGGCCGTGCCGTTTGTTGCTTTTTTTTCTTCCTTTCTTTTCTTTCATCACAAAGCCGAGCCCGAAGAAATACCTTAGAGAGTACCTAGGTATGGGGGCGTTTTGATTCGTTGGAGACTTGCAACCTAATATATAAACCTGCCCCCCTGTCTTGCGCCGATTGTCACATCCCTCGGTCCTCCCTATCGCCTGCTAGGCTGCTATATACATACTACTGTACATCATTACATGTACTAAAAAAACAACGTGGTATTGCTTGTTTGTGTTCTGACGATCGATGATGACTATCATTACCTGTACCTAGGATCGGACTTTAGACACCGGGCTACCACCTACCTTTTAGGTATGCAACTAGGGCTAAGTAATGGATACCGAGAAGCAAACACCTTTGCACCGTTCGTCTTCCGATTGTGAAAGTGGGGACCTTCCATGTCTTGACCGCTCTGATTATTAATCTGGAGGATTGATGTTCTCTACAGGTACATTGCATTACCCTGGTCAATCTCTGCTTCCGTCTTCTCGCTTCAGTGCTACCAGCATGTCGACATCATCGTCGAACATGAACAGCAAAAGACATTCAAACCAGACAACACTGTATGCGCTGGTGAACGAGACGAAAGAATGCAACTCAGATTTAAAGAACAGGTACTTCACGACTATAAGTAGGTCATAGGCCGGAAATCAATAAAAGAGTCCTCATCGTCTTGATCCCTTCCTCCTTCGCGCAGGACTTCCAGCAGCTTTGGCAGGCATTGCAGCAGCTGCAGTAGCAGTAGCCGCAACAGGTGTAGTCGGGGTACCTGGACCAACATCCCTCTCCAGCGACGCACTGGACATTTCCCGAATCGAGTACCCACCACGCCGATCTTCCAAAATGTCTATTTGCACTCCTTGTCCATCACTGCTGTCGCTACTGCTCGTTTCGACCCGGCTCAGTCCACTGCCTGGCGCATCTCTGGCACTACGTTGCTGCGACAGAGGTGAGGCGGGCGGAGCTCTGCGTAGAGCAGCAAAACGCACATCATTCGGATACGGAGGCCCGCCAGGCGCTGCAGGGGGACCACTCGCATGGCGTCGCCCATGCGCTGCAGGCATCGGCGGTGCCATGTCGTAGTCGTATGCTGCCCACTGGGGTGCATTGCTTGCAGATCGTGTCCTCGATGGTGGCGGATACCACTCCATATCTTCGGGAGGCAGAGATCGATTCGAGCCAGAAGACTCTGGTCGATAGTACCGAAGGGGCAATGGTTGCATTTCAGGTGGTGTCAGCTCCCTACGACTCTGCTTCGAGGACGAGCTCGAGTCGCCCGCTTGTGCTCGTGCAAAGTCAGGACTAGGTGGCGCAAAGTATCCCACAGGCGCGTACATGACCCCGTTCGGTCCAGTGATCATGCCCTCGCGAGGAGGCATTCCAGTTTGATAGGCCTGTGGATCAGAGTTCTTCCTGCTGACTTTCGCCTTCGAGGTCGATTTGGCTGGTGAGCCGAAAAGCAAAGAAGAAGTGCTGCCTTTGCGCGCCCTATGGTTCTTCAAGCTCGTCGTGCTGCTGGAACGGCTGCTCGCTTTCACTTTGTCTTTGTCCCTGGAAGATTTGGCAGGAGTGGCAGGGGGCGATACCAAAGCTGCTGTAGGAGGCGGTAGAGGATCCGATCGCTGGCCATTCCTGCGCTCAAGAGCCGCCATCTCCTCCATGCTCAGATTCACGTTGCCTTTGCCTTCCCTCCTTGCCCTGGATATCCGATCCAAGGCAGAATGAAGTAATGATTCTTCCCGATCCCTTGCAGCAAAGGATCTGTACTGCTGATATCGCTCATCTTCTTCTTCCGAAACATCGTCATAATATGCTCGATCATCGTACATTGTCGCAGCTCTACCTTGCCGTCTATCCTGTCCCAGGTCGTAGCCATCAAAGTACAGTTTATCGCTAACCCTGCGAGCGTTCCCATAAGCATGTTGCTGATCCAAACCAACTCCCTGTCCGTATTCATCGTATTCTCCTCCACTGTCCAGCTCTTGTATCGAGCGTGGATCACGAAGCTCCCAATCGTGCGGGTATGTGTGCGTGGCTCTTCGCCTGGTCCCGCTGGGAGCTCCGGGTCGTCTTCCCGTTTCGTAGGGCGAAGAGGGCGCGGCAGACGACCTATACCGCCTCTTCGGAGAAACTAGCTGCTACGTCTTTTTCCATGAATGCCGCATGGCCGAGAATCGTGACACCAGATGCACCAATCAACCAGAGGACGGTCGAGATTGGCGAAGCCCAGAAGAAAAGAGGCTGCCTGTGCATTAGTATCACCTCAGAGTCCCTGTCTCATGGCTGACTTACAATGGCGACAACAAGAAGAGCAGTGTACAGCTGACTGACGGTGGCTCGAGCGAAGCCGAGATCCAGATCCCTTCCTTCCAGCTTGCCGATTCCCCACATGCCGCCGATGATGAGCACCAGCACAAAGAACAGGAGCAAGTTGGTTAATAGACTGTAGATGCTGAGCATGACGAAGAGCGCAGCATAGTTGCTGCTGAAGTAGGACAAGTTGTAGTTGACACGGTTTTGGACCATGCCAAAGTCCTGTGGCTTGCTGATGCGCTTGATGTCGAGGAACTCAGAGATGGGTCGCAGGTTGGCGAAGCGCGAACCCACCGACTGCGAGCGCAGCGAGTCGAAGCGGCCGCCGAAGCTATAGAAGTAATGCACATGTCAGCTTCCGCTGCTTTCCTTTCTTGGCTCGTTTGAGCTGGGGGGCTGCGGTGCGGGGACGCGTCTTACTTGAGGCGCGAGGTCAAGGCATCGATTGGGATGTTGATGCGCGCCATGGTGTCGCGAGAATGGCGCGTGCGAGAGCGGAAGTTGGCGGTGGTGGTGGAGGAGGAGGAGGAGAAGGAGGAGGAAGAAGAGGGCGAGGCCTATTTGTTTCTGCAGCAAGACATTTGAGATTAGATTGGGCTCCTCAACCAATGGACGAGTGGTGCGCTGCGGCTGAGCGCGGAGACACGACACGAGAGCAACAGTAGTTCCGTGCGGTTGGTGCGGGTGGAGGAGTGAACGTACCTGTGGTGGGGAGGGTAGTGAAGTAGTTGTAGTAGCAGCAGCGTAAGGAAGACGAGTCGACTTTGATGAACAGGAGACAGTGGTAGGGTTGTTGACTTTGGGTCGACGGAATATAGACTATGGATTGTAGACTCCAGATGCCCCTGGTCCCGGTCGAGTCCCTAGGTTTCGGGAGATGCCATGCTAAATGCGACCTGAACCCCTGGCTGGCGGCACGTGAAAGCGACCTAGCACGGGGCACAATGAATAGAATTACAAGTGTTGCAATGATTCAGGTCAAATGAAGTGAAGTCAAGTGAAGAAAAATATAGAGCAGAGAGGGATCGAATGACCCCGAGAGGAGTACATGTAGTAGTATATGCACTCGTCAACCAGGACCAACACACCGCTGTAGCTGGGCTCTCAGCGGGCTGCTGGCTAGAGACCTTGTCAATAGACTTCTGCCACGTTGACCAAAAAGATCGCGGAGGCTAAGAAAATAATCCCTCCTCTTCCTTCTCTCAACGAGTCCCTGTCCGTTGCTTAACCTGCTGCCATTCGAGCAACAATCGCCTAAGTCGACAGCTCACAGTCACAGCACAGCTCACCACCTGCACGCCGCCCAAAGAGTGCTGGCTGGCCGGCTTGCTTGCTTGCTTGCGTGCGTGCTTGCATAATACAACACACTGCACGCAGGGAGGAGGAGCACAGCACAGCAAAGCACAGCACAGCACAGTACACCAGACCCGACCATGCTCCGACTCCACTTGCTGCTGCTAGCAGCATTCGTTGCCCTCGCCGCCGCCTGGAGCAAAGAAGACCACGAAATCTTCCGCCTTAACGATGAGGTGAAGAAGTCCGAAGGCGCCAATGCCACCTTCTACTCCTTCCTTGCCATCAAGCCCAATGCCGGCCCCGACGAGATCAACAAAGCCTACCGCAAGCTCTCCCGAACTCTGCATCCCGACAAGGCCCAGGCAAACTGGGTCGCCAACTACAACAAGCCGACTCCCGTCAAGACAAAGGCCGGTGCGAAGCCCACGGTGCACGTGCAAAAGAATAAGAAGCCCAGTCAGTCGGAGCTCAAGAAGTTTCACAAGGAGGCCAGTGCACGCTTCGAGAGGTTGTCTCTGGTCACCAATGTCCTTCGAGGCGGGGAAAGAGATCGCTACGACCACTTCTTGAAGAACGGTTTCCCAGCATGGCGCGGAACAGGATACTACTACGAGCGCTACCGACCTGGTCTCTGGTCGGTCATTAGTGGTCTCTTCATCTTTATTGGAGGCGCCGTCCACTACCTCGCCCTTTACGTCTCGCACTTGCGCCACAAGGAGTTTATAGAGCGTTACATCAAGCACGCTCGTCGCATGGCATGGGGTGACGATGGCGCTCTCGGAGCAATTCCAGGTCTGGGAGGAGCTGCCCCATCTTCACCACAGAACGGAAGCGCAGAAGGCGAGGAGAGCATGCAATGGAACAGGAAGCAAAAGCGAGAAATGGAAAGACAGAAGAAGAAGGATGGCAAGAACCCTTTCAAGGCTTCTGCTGCTGCTGCCGCTGCCAACAAAGCCAGACTCGCTCAAAAGGCCAAAGAGGATGGTATCAGTACTCCAGTGGAAGCTGAAATCACATCCGGGCCAGTCGGCGCGAAGAAGAGAACGGTAGCAGAAAACGGCAAGATCTTGATTGTCGACAGTGTTGGAAACGTCTTCCTCGAAGAAGAGACCGAAGAAGGCGATACCCAAGAATTCCTCCTTGATGTAAGTCTGCAGCGTGACTGACTACCCTTGAATCCTTCACACACACACACACACACACACACACCAGCTAATACATTTTCTTCCTTCACTATACAGCCCTCCGAAGTCAAACCCCCCACGATAAGCGACACAGTCCTCGTCAAACTACCCATCATCCTCTACAACCAATCTCTCGGCCGCGTATTCGGCAAGACACGAGCCGCAGCTGTCGCAGATCTGATCGGCGAACCTGAGCAGGATGGAGAAGAAGAAGTCGAGGGAGCTGCCGCTTTGCAACAAGCCACAGCACTGAATGCAAATGCTGAGACGCGGAAGAGGAGAACCAAGAATAGATCATAGTAGGTATGGTACAATGTGATGATATGCGAAATGATCATTGCATGATGTAGAAATCGAAAAAGCAAAAGTGGTTCATTTTGGGAGGGGAACAGTATTGTCATCCGCGCTGATGTGTACATTGAAAAGACTTTTTTTGAAACTTGTCATAGAGATCTTGTTGTATAAGGTACTGTTACTACTATTACTACAAGATTTGTGTTGAGCTCCACCTTAGGTAGATACGTAGAATCCCATCAGAGTTCAGCTGTTCACGTACCTACATAGGCACACACCTTAGCCACAAGGTAGCGAGGGCGAGGGCGAGAGAGCAAGATGAAGAAAACGCGAAGTTGATATGCTGCACGGCCCGTGCCACCCGAAGAAGGCAATGCCAAGAGAGAAATGGGGTCGAAATTGTACAGAACAGAACAGGTAAGGTCAGGTAGGTGGTACCTATGGTGAGAAGAACACGACTGCAGGTCTGTCTTGTTTTTATTTCAGCTGCCGTATGTATGTGTTTTCCAAGAGGTACCTATAGATCGAAAAGCTTCTTGAGCTCGGCGGCCGTATCGTCCGGACTTGTGACGCTGTGCCCAATAGTTCTTGGATCCTCAAAGATCTCATAGTCGTTACCGCCCTTGTACGTCTTGTCTCCGAAGAAATGAATGGTCGTGTAGTCGACTCCCCCCGGCAGATTCTTCTCGTTCTCGACGTGTTGAAGGCAGTAAGTCTTGTCCCAGCCTTGGGGAAAGACATCGAAGGAGATTTGGCCGCCGATCGAGTAGCTAAAGGGCACGTTAGCTGGTGATTTGTAGCAAGGACAAAGCAGCACTTTGGAGAAACGTACGTCAATCCCAAGTCCGGGAACTCCTTCTTGATATCCTCCACAAATTTCTTCCTGATACCATGCTCCAGATCGAACTTCTCGTACTCGTTTCTCTCCTGCACGCTGGCGTTCCTGCCAATGGGGCTGACATTGATCATGCCGTTTCGGAATTCAATGAATGTTCCTCTCTTGACCGGAATGTCCAAGTCCGCAATGTAGTGCAAGATGAACTTTGCCAATTTCTTGTAGTTCTCCTCGCCAATCCATTTGATAAAGCTGTGCGAGGCCAGAGGCACACCCATGCGGTACGCCGTCAAGCCATTCTCGGCGAAGCAGAAGTCGAAAAGCGACGTGACTGGGATGGAAGCCGTGCCCAGCTGTTCTTGCTGTTTGACAAGATCGGAACCACCGACGAAGCCGATTGCTACTTTGTGTCGGAGGGCGGAGAGGAGTTGGAGGATTTCGGGAGAGACGGTCTGGTGCGAGGCGGTATCAGCAGTTGTGTTCGGAGCGAACGTGATCAGACTACTATGAGTACGAAGGAACATACACGACGAGCTGGAGTGAGAGTTCCATCCACATCGAACAAGCAGATGGTGTTCTTCACAGGTCTCTGGTCGAGGCCAGGCACCACTGATGCCGCTGCTGCTGCCATTGCTGCGGATTCGCGTCTGTTCTGTGTGTGGTATAGCGTGCTCAACCTCTCACCCAACCTCTCGCATCAAACATCCAATGGCTTTTTTCTCTACCGCTCCTCCGCTTCAGCGATTCGTGTCCGAGCTGGGGTTCGTGTCTTTCAGGCTGGTTCTCGGGGTCCGACAGTTCCTCGCGTCTGGATGTGTAAATCTCGACAAGCCGAGTCTCGTTGTCTGCTGCTTGGCTGTCCGTCCGCTGTTTCGTCGTCGCACACGTCTGAAATATCGGTGAAAGGAGCTGGAGGTCAGGGAGAGCGCAGTAGCGCAGGGTCTAGAGGGAGGTTGTCCGAGCCTCGATCAACCCCGCAGATGTGGTGGGGCACATCGATTATTTTCACATGCGAATATCAGTATAGCACACAGATTGCACGAACTACATGTATTGGAGAGCAGGCTGTCATTTTCATGTCCATTGCTCTTCTATCGTCTGTCTGAGTGGTCACAGGCTGTAGTGCCTATCGCTACGCTCAATCATACTCCACCCATTCCATGCAGTCGTTTTGAACACCGATCGAACGCTCCAAAAGGACGGCCAGTAACTGGTCGCCAGAACAGATCAACCAGCACAGCAGCTGGGACCGCTACTCATACATTACCTCCTCTGCCGCAATCTGTTGCGATGAACAGATTTGTAGCCACGTAACTTGCGTATGGAGCAGTCTAGCTGTCAGGCGCTTGGGGATCAAGCGTGTCTCCATTCAGAATCGTAGCCCAGCCGATCAAACGCCAATGCTTCTCGATACGTCTCGAGAGAGCAACCTTCTCGTTGATGGCGGTGCAGCACGGCGAAGTAAGCTGTAGTTTAGCGACATCACTCTTGACAGCGACGACCTTAGCGCCAGTTGCAGTGGATCCGACGTTAACCATGAGCACTTCGTTTTTGGTGAGTTTGGCGACCTTGGCTTGCTTGCCATCGGCTGTCTTGACACCAAGCAACCGTCTCAACAAGAAGTAATTGACCTCGAGCTCAGCAAAGATCTTCGGCAGTTTGCCCTTCAGGCCAAGCACGAAACCAACCAGGCGATCAGCACGGCAGAGAGTTGGGTCAATGCGTGTGCCGACACCAATCAATCCACCTGGCACGGCGAACTTGAGACTGTTCTGCTCAGCTTGCAACGCCATGACGCGAGAGTAGATTGGTTTGCACTGAATCTTGCCTGCCTCGTCCTTCGACACGATACCAGGTCGGATCTCGATCTCATCTCCAAGTTTCAGAATACCCGTGAGGATAGAGCCACCAGCAACACCACCTTGCAGATCATCAATCTCACATCCAGGCTTGTTGACATCGAATGATCGAATGACAATGAGCTGTGGGTCGTCCTGGAAATTACGCATTGGTACGGGAATTCGAGTGACCAGCATTTCGTTGATGGCGTCGATGTTGAACTTCAGCTGAGCGGAAATTGGGATGATCGGAGAGTCATCTGCTACTGTACCGCGGATGAACTTCTTGATCGATTCGTAGTGCTGGGTGGCTGCCTCTTCGCGCATCAAGTCGACCTTGTTTTGGAGGATGATAATATGCTGGAGCTTCATGATCTCGATAGCTGCCAAATGTTCGGATGTCTGTGGTTGTGGGCAGGTCTCATTTCCTGCAATGAGCAAAAGTGCAGCATCCATGACTGCAGCTCCTGACAACATGGTGCTCATGAGAATGTCGTGGCCGGGGCAATCGACGAATCTGCAAAAGTCAGTGTGTGCCACGTGGTGTCCTGCATATACCGCATGCCAACATGCGGATAGGAATGACTTACGAGACGTGTCGCAGCAGTCTGTATGTGCCCTCACATCCAGGTCTCTCGCAAGGCGGATCCACTTCCTTCTCACTCTTGTAGCTCCGGTAGCAAGTGGGCCGAGGACACTCCTCGTCGTCGCACTTGTAGATTTTTGCATTTGCATATCCCAGCTTGATTGTGATGTTCCGCTCCAACTCGTTCTTGAATCGCACAGTCTGCACGCCCGAAATCGCCTTCACCACTGTACTTTTTCCGTGAGCTACGTGACCAATTGTGCCGATGTTGATGGTCGCCTGTCGTGCGATAATCTCTGGTGAAAGTGGTGTAAGTTCTGCGACTTTCAGGTCCTTTGGTTCGGGTTGTTCTGGCAGATGTGGTTTCGCTGCTGCTGCTGCGGCCGCTTGATTCGTCTTCTTCAGGGCGGATCGGGGGGCGGCTGCTGGGCCCTTTGGCTTCACCTCCTCGACGTCGCCGTCGTCGCCAGTCTGCTGCGCATTGTGGGCCGGGGATTGCGGTGGCGTCTCTTCATCCGACGGATAGTCGCCGTTGGTCGCCATGCTTGCGGTATTCTCGAAGAGCGGCGTGTGCTAATCGTCTTCGAGCGTGCGGTGATGGGCGGTGGTCAAGAGGGTAAAGAGGGACACGCAATTGTTCTCATGAAGTGGAGGAGTCACAGGCTTAAGTTCCAGAGTGGAAAGTTCCAGGGTAAGTGGCAGTTTTGCCAAGACTTCAGCAAGATCGAATTAGGTACCGTGAACACCACATCCAACACACCAGCACCGCGACGCTACCAACTATCACAGTGGAAACTGCTCCTCGAAAGCGTGAAGGTGTTGTGAGTGGCGACTACATAAGTAATCAGTTGTACACGATGAGCGCAGAACATCATCAGATGGGCAGACAAAATGGGCGAAGACATCACACTCGCCTCAAAGCATCCAGTGCGAGAATCTACATACCTACCTACCTACCTACCTTACCTGTATGTATCTGCTGCACGAAGCTCAATTGCGCGACTGCACACAACAAGATCAAACTCGCGATCAGCTCGACCCACTGCAGATATGCCGTTCGCCACAACCACGAGTGCTCGGTGACTGCGGGAAAGCAGCGTAGACCAGCTCTGTATATCTCGGACTCGAAGGTGTCTGCCACCACCATGTTGGTCCAGCTCCATCAACAATGCTCCTAGCGCAGTATGTTCGTATAATTGAGGCGCCACTGTCAAAACGTATCATAGGCGAGTGACCTTTCATTCCACATTGCGCTGGTCAATGGCATCTTGGTCAGGATGAACGACAAAAGGCAGACCACAGAACAAAGCGACCTCGTCGTCCTTATTCGTGCACGTCTCGGCGTCGAGGACTTGCTCACTCGGGATCTCGGCGCAGCGTAAAACTTCATCCCATACAACGCAGCAATGCAGTGTCACGTACTTCTCGGTGACTACAGGCGAGATCCAGACAGCTCAGCTGCGCGATTAATGCCGCATGGACGAGTCGATGCGGGAATAGAGAGGGCTGCTGCCTTCATATGCACAGCCATGTGAGAGGTGCTCGCGATTGTGCATGTCGAACACAAACAGCGTGTTCGTGTATCGCTTTGGCTCCAAGCTGCGGTATCTTGCAGTGTATGCCTCGACTTGTACTGCGCGTGGGTGTCTCAAACCCATCAGATTGATATTTGTCTGATTCCTACCACGGCACTGATGTTGTAATAAGGTATTAATGGAATTGGGGTCTCGGATACATGTATTGCTATGAGCGCCTTTTTCGCACGTACATTCCTGTCCCATCGCGGCTAATCATGACGTCGCAGGAGGCACCAGATGCGCAGTTCGTAGCCTTACGGAGGGTGTGATGGTCAAATCGCACGCAACGTCGCCTCTGGCTGGGCGTGAAGGTCGTTTGATTGGCGCAAGCCGGCTCTTGTTCACCCACACTGTTGGTGCTTCAGTAGACGTCATGGCTAGTACCGTCCACTGCTCACATCCCACTTTGCTCGAGCGCACCAATCCAGGGTGGCTGTGGTGGCGCCGAAAGCGTGCGTAGATGTTGTCGAAGGTCGGCATGGCGAGCTTCTGTCATCATGCGTGGCTTGACAGTCAGCCTCACTCTTTTGATCCGAAACTGGGACAGGCTCCAAATGCGACCGTGTCGGTGCCGCAGTGATCAGTCCGGATAGAGTGAGTGCAAGGCGTACCTCACTGTGTCATTTCCGTGATCGTTGACCAGGACCCGTAGTCGGGGGCTTGATGAACACTCCTGGTAAGCGGCGGCGATGATGTTCTCTTAAGCTCGACTTGTCGGTATGCGTTGGTTTTCGGATGACGAGAATAGCGTCTGGCCGTCCCGCTCGGCGCTCGCTGTGGTCTATCTCCTGTATTATTCTAGTACCCCACGAATACCACGCAGGCACAAGCAAGGATTGGTGGTATAAGTTTTGAACACATCGGCCGCGACGATAGCGTTTCTACTCGCACGTATTCTATCCCGCGTCATAGGGGACCAACTTTACCGGCGCAAACGAACTCCTACGCGCGACACGTGTTCAGTCTCCGGCGTTTCGATGGACGGTTTGGACGGCGCGCTGCGTGCTTGTCAGGAGACTCTCATACTGTCCGGCTTAACCAGGGAGTCGACGAAGCATCCTGAACCTGATCCTGAACCTCGTCCTGCTCGAGTCCTTCTCCGGCCAACATATGCCTCGACCAAGGAATCGAGTTGCACGTGGTCGAGGTCTCTGCGTGGCACTCATGGCGGAGGATCCGGAGGTGGAAGATGTTGGAATAACCATGAAGGTCGGGGGAGGATGGCTTGGCTTGGGGAGAACTAGGTAATGTACCTAGGCACACTGTACCTGTAGGAGTTGCACTGTTGCAGAGGAGTGGCAAGGTCAGGTCCGTCGGGAGTAGCACAGGCTTATCTAAGAGACAGGGGTGAAAAAGTTGCATCGCCTCCGCGTCAGAGGGCAGTAACATCGATGGAGTCGCACAACGAACAAAGGCCAATAGAAAAGACAACGCCAGGCTGAGCTCCACGCGTCCCGGCAAGTAGTACATGTGCTGTACAGGTATTCTTGACCAGAGCCCACCAACGCACATGTGGTGGAGCAGGCGAGCGGACCTGGTTCTCGAATATTTCTCTCCGGCTGCGTCCATCTTCACTTGCATTCACATGCAAAGCAGAGCTCGCGCCGAAGTCTAATTCGAACTACCTACCTACCTTTTAGCACTCTCTGACCAGAGCTCGTCTGCATCTCGAAGCTTCCAAGCAGTCACCACGCTGCATGCACTTGCAACAACAACATCATCCGACCACCACCACCACCATCACCTTACCGCACCTTACTACTACTTCTCTCCTTACTACCTCACTGCCACACAGTCTCCTTCCTCCAAGCTTCCGCCTCCCGCTTGCTACAAAACACCGCACCGCACCGACGATATCGTCAAGACCGCCTTGTCGCAATGGCGACTAACCTCACTGTCTCGCTGTGAGTCCAGCCATTCCTACAACATGAGATCGAGCAGCAGCCATCTCTGTGGACCACGCCACTGACCTACATGATAGTTTCCTCCCCAACACCATCTCATTCAACGACCTGCCGGCAAAAGAGCGACGACGCGCTGCACCTCCGTTCAAGCTGCACCAACGCATCAGCTCTGCCAATGAGCTGCCCACCAATTCGAGTAGCATTCTCGGCGGGCTCACCCCTCCTCTGACGACCGCCTCGCAAGTCGCAAGCGCGAATGAGCAATTCTTCACCCCGGGCTCAATAGATGCCGCGAAGCGACTTTTCGCGAGGCCCGGCGATCCACGCTCTCTCCTGCGAAGCGATGTGCATGCCGAGTGGGGCTCCCAGGCTATATTCAATCAGCCGCGGTCTCGTGCTGGACCACTACCATCAGCTTCCATCCAGGACTTCGCTGCCGCTTATGACAAGTACAAGGAAGAGGAGGACCGCAAGAAGCGCATGTCGACCAGACGAGTCACTCGAGGCTCTCCTGGTCAATTGCAGGCCAGTCGCTCTGGAAGCTCGGAGAGGGGCTTTGAAGGGCAATCATGGACAGTGCAGCCCGCCATTCACGGAAACGGTGGGCTAGTAAACGCCATCCGCGAGACGTCGGAGATCGACCCAAGCAACAACCAGCCTGCTGATACCACCTGGATTGGAACTCTTGGAATGCCCACTGACGCCTTGCCCGAGAGTACCAAAGACGAAATACACGATGTATTGCTCAACGATCACCAGGTATGTACCCCAGACGGCACGTTTTAGGATCCCCAAATGCTGACGTAGCACCAGTCTGTTGCTGTCTACTGCAGTGACAAAGACATCGATGGTCACTATGCCCACTACTGCAAGACCATTCTATGGCCTATCATGCACTACCAAGTGCCAGATCACCCAAAGAGCAAGGCGTATGCCGATCACAGCTGGGAATTCTATCGAAATGTGAACCAAGCCTTTGCCGACCAAGTCGTTTCCAGCTACAAGCGTGGCGATACCATTTGGGTACACGACTACCACCTCCTCCTCGTGCCTGGCATGGTGCGTGAGAAGCTACCAGATGCCAAGATTGGCTTCTTTTTGCACACAGCTTTCCCATCGTCCGAGGTGTTCAGGTGTCTATCGACTCGGAAGGAGCTTCTCAACGGCATGCTCGGCGCCAACTTGATCGGGTTCCAGACAGAGGAGTACGCGTCGCACTTCCTGCAGACATGCAGTCGTCTGCTGGCAGTGGAAACTACTGCCGACGGCGTGCAGATTGACGAGCACTTTGTGAATGTGACTAGCGTGCCGGTCGGCATCAACCCGCCTCTGTTCGACAAAGCCCTTGCGGACGAAGAAGTTCGGGGATGGATCTCCACCATTAAGAAGAAGTACGAAGGCAAGAAGCTCCTCGTTGCACGTGATCGTCTCGACCATGTGCACGGTGTGCGACAGAAGCTGCTTGCCTACGAGCTGTTTCTGAACCGATACCCCGAGTGGCGTGACAAGGTAGTCATGATCCAAGTTGCCACCTCCACCAACGAGCAGTCCGAGCTGCTCGCGGCTGTGTCCGACATCCATACTCGGATCGACTCGGTGCATAGCACTCTTGCTCATCAGCCCTTGGTCTTCCTCAAGCAAGACTTGGCATTCCCGCAGTACATCGCATTGTTGACTGTGGCTGATGGGCTCATGGTGTCTGCCCTTCGAGACGGCATGAATCTGACGCCTCACGAATTCATATACTGCCAAAAGAAGTATGGCCCATTGATCCTCAGCGAATTCACTGGCAGTGCTGCGGCTCTTGGCAGCAACTTTCTCTCCATCAATCCTTGGGACTTCTCCGGCATGGCCGACTCCATCAAACAGGCCTTGGAAATGGACGAGGCGGAGAAGCAGCGTCGCTGGAATTACTTGCACGAAGTTGTACTCAAGAAGACGGGTGCCAATTGGATGCGACAACTGACTAAGCAGCTGAACATTGTGTATGAGGAGCACAACCAGCACGCCTCAGCATCGGTGCCTCGTCTCAATGTCTCGACCTTGGCTGAGAAGTACAAGACGGCGGAGAACCGACTGTTCATTATCGACTACGAAGGTACTCTTGCGCCGCACAAGACGAGTTCGGGTATTCCTCTGGGATCCCCCGCGCGTGTTGTCGAGACGTTGACTGATATTATGGTCGACCCCAAGAACATAGTCTACGTCATGTCTGGTCGTAAGCCAGACGAACTCGACAATCACTTCCGCACACTGCCCAAGGCCGGACTGATCGCTGAGAATGGATGCTTTGTGCGCGAGTTCGGCGTCGAGAACAACGTGTGGACATCTTTCGTCGATCTTAATGAGGTTGACAGATGGAAGTCACAAGTGCGTGGCATACTTGGCTACTACTCGGACCGCCTGGAAGACAGCTATATCGAAGAGAGACATTGCAGTCTCTTGTTCCGGTACGAGAAATCAGCCGATCAAGAGGCCGCTGTGCGCTTTGCCGGGGAGTGTGCGGACCAGATCAACGGCGCGTGCAAGAGCATGCATATTCATGCGGTTCCCATCAAGCACGCCGTGCTCGTGGAGCAGGAAGACTTCAGTAAGGGCACCGCTGCTTCGCACGTGTTTGATACTCTGTGCGAACAAAGCAAAGGCCTCTCGGCGCCGGACTTCATGGTCGTTGCTGGTGATGATCGCGAAGACGAAGTCATCTTCAAGTGGGCCAATGAGCTCGGCAAGGTCGGCAAAGTCAAGGATGTCTTCACTGTCACGGTGGGCAAGCGCAACACACTCGCGCAGGCTACGTTGACGCAAGGCTCCACGGGGCTCCTGACCGTGCTCCAGAAATTAGCGAAGATCTCGAGCGACATGTTGCCGCCGGATTACTTCACCATGCCACGCAACAAGACCTTTCCCAACTGATGATCTTCATTCCCCATCATTTCGATGGGGAACACACGGATCGCCTCGATGACTGCGAGATAGCACCGGGCCATTCTCTCGAGGGCTGCAAGACTGCTAGCGTGCTTGATTGTTTTGACGTGCGACGTTACGATGATACCCACTACCATTAGGTCACGATATAGTGTTTCTGGCGTCAAGGGGTGGGAGGATGCACGGGAACGGGGACGGGGTCTGTAGACTAGACTACGAGAATCAAGCAGCAATGCTCATTGACATTATGGGGATACTGTAGCGTGAGGTGAGGAACGGATGGCCCCTCCGTACGAAGTGAGGTACGGTACTGTAATCTGCTACGAGGCCGAGCGGATACGGGTTTCGGTCATCGGCCCGGGCTTCGGCTGGTTTCGCGTAGAATGTACCGAGAGTCTACCTCCTACTCTTGTCTGAGTGGTTCGACCTCTCCCTTGACTTTGAGATGACGCGTCGCTCATCAACCTCACCACGTTTAATTAAGTGACCTGACCTACAGGTGTATCAATCCTAACACCTCCACCACATCACACTCCACATGTTCCATAGGTACCGTACCAAGCAGGCATAACGCACATGGTCGTTACATATTCGAGGAGGTCCCTCAAGTACATGTCGCGGGCATCTTCCGCGTGCTGCAACGGCGCCAGAGTCAAGACGCCAACCTTCTTCCACCTTGGTTGGCCTTGGCATCTGAGAAGCTGAGATGAAGATGAGATGAGGAGGAGACGAGTGTTCGGGTGGACGTGGTTGTTTGGATTGGCCATCCCGGCCGGACAGGGGATGGCCGACTCCTCTCCGCTCCCTCGCTCGGCCATCCCCGCCATACAGAGAGGACGAAAGACCGCTCGAGTCAGGCTAGCGGCGGACGCAGTCGGCGTTGGAAACATGCTACACACTGCACTGGACGCTGGACACTCTATACCGCTGCCATCCCTGCGACCTCACCGTGCACTCCGGCTCCCCAAGGCCAGCTAATACATGAGTGCGTCCTCTCCCACCTGAAACGCACCCACTGGACTTCGCCCCGACTCACCACTTCTTCCCTCGACCGCAAAGAACGGCTTCACGTACCCAGCAATGGCTATGCCAGCGGACGCGCAGTACCAGCACACCATCGACATCCTCTGTCAGCAGTGCGTCTCTCCCGAAGATGAGCTCACCAACGATGCTGCCATGGCCGACTTGCTCAACGATCCGCTGCTCTCCGTCGCCATCAGCACGCGACTGAAGAAAGAACTCCAGCTCGATATAGCTGCTGACGATCTGATCAATCTGCGAGCGATCAGCGACCTGAAAACGACCCTCCTCGGCAGCAGAAGCCGGTCCCCCATGCTCGCAGTGAACACATCGCCACAGAATTGGCCCGCGGCAGACAGCTCCACTCCTGTGGACAATCTCGTCGCTCCATTTGACCGAATGTCGCCTGTGACGCCTACGAGAAAGCCTTCTCATGAATTTCTGTCCACCTCTGTCGCCACTCCCATTGACAAGATCGCGCCCTGGAAGACATCTTCAGTAAATATCGCGGCCATTCCAAAGGAGGAGATCGGCCCGTCGCCATCAAACAAGCTTCCACGCACAACGCCATCGGCAGCCTCTGTGGTCCTTCAAGGACGACCAGAAAGGGCGTCCAGAGCCGTGTTCCTGTTTCCCGATGGGTCTGGTAGCGAACGGTCGTATGTTCACCTTCCTCGAATTGCGTTAGACCTGGTCGTATATGGGCTGCAGTGCCCATATCTCAAGAGTCCGAAAGACATGCAATGCACCTGGGACGAGCTGGTCGAGGCCTACGTGTCGGAGGTTCGCAAACGTCAAGCGCATGGTCCCTACGATTTCGTGGGTTATGCAGTTGGTGGAGCACTTGCCTTTCGTGCAGCACAACTTCTCGTCGCTCAGAATGAGAAGATCAACAGTCTGACGCTGCTCAACTCACCTGTTCCCGAGGTCTTGGGTCAGCTTTCAGACGAGTTGTACGAGTACGTCAGGTCGGTCCGCGCCTGGCGAAGTGGTGATTTCACACCAGAATGGCTTCTGCCCCATCTCAAGGCTTTCACGAGAGTGCTGAATACATACCGCCAAAGCAGATGTAGCATTGGTGCTGTCCAAAACGTGAGGATTCTGTGGGCTAGCAGGGGTGTTTCTGATAATGCTCCTGCGCCGCCGCCAGCGCTTTCAGATGGAGAGCAGACAGTCATCAAGTTCTTGACTGAAGCAAGGACCGATTTTGGACCTTGCGGATGGGAGGTATTGTTGCCTGGCAGCAAGATTTGGAGTGGCAAGATTGATGCTGGCCACTTTGAGATGATGGTGAGTTGACTAAGTAGTGGCTGCTGAGGCGAGACTAATCAGAATGCCAGAGTTCCGAATTCGCTCCTCAGATCTCGACTTGTATTGCAGAGGCTTTGCTATGAAGTGGACGTTGCTGTCCATGAACGAAGCGATAGCAAGAACCTACAATACCTCTACGCGGACTACCTCATTCCCGTCGCAAAACGCTGCACCTTACTCATTCGAATCACGATACTGGCTTCTCGAGACGCCTACGGATACCGCAAGTTTGCGGTTGAGGCACGCCGGAGAGCTTCTCGTCAGATGAGGCCGGTTCGGCGCGTTGACAGCTCGGAGAAGTACGACTGAGCCACAAGTTTGGGACGGCTGCTGAACGATCCTGCACGTCGAGAATGGACACGAGTGCCGTGTCCGAACACAATCTGGCTGACGCATGACAAGGAAGCGTTGGCGCGACTGACGAGAGACGTCACGGTAACAGACCGACGGAGAGCCGTCCGGGTTGGTAGCGGCAAGTTATTTCTGCGCCTGTAACTTTCTCACAACCATCAATTGCCGAGAAGCTCCCTCCCTCGCTTACCGCCAGGGACAGGATCGGTCCATCCCTTCGATGCAACCGCAAGGTCTTCACCCAGGTCTTGACCCAAGTCTTCGTCCAGGTCTTGCTGCGCATCATCGAACATAGTGCCACCACCTTCTCGTAAGCTGCATGTTCTGGAAGGTTGAGTCGTGGGCATCGAGCCCTACCAGAAGCAATCGCCTTTAACAGGACGGTGACAAGGTATCAGCGCCTGTCATGAAAGCAGCGTGATAAGAGCAAAATCCTCAGCAGTGGCGTGCGCTTTTCGCCTGGTGGAAATTACGCATTATCAAAACCGGCCCAACTGGACTGCTAAGGGTTTCAGGCTGGAGAGCGGATGTACAGAGGTATAGGTGGGCACTGACATGATGAAGAGTGTGCAATGTCCAGTTACTCCAGTAGTTCAAGCTGATCACTCACTAGAGTGCAGATCTGAGTTCGCGCTGGACTGCCACGTGCCGTAAGGCTGTGTTTCAGTCCAACGCAAGCCTACGAAGGAACTTCTTCAAATCTCCATCCCATTATCGTCACCCCATTACTTCGCTGATGCGCTACATCATATGTCGTATCTTCAGAGGCGGACCGCAAACTGGACAGCCTAGAATTTGGCAGCTTTCTGCTGTTCTGATAGCTCAGTGCAAGGACGTGAGGAATGGCCCTGCGATGCTCGCCTCGCATACATGAACGGACGACTAGTTCGACAGAAAATCCTCCGAACCAGGTTCGAATTTCGCCTTTGCCAAGCGTCTCAGAGGACGAGCACGTCCATGCAAGCAATCGAATAAGGTTGTGCGATTATCCGGGGGTAATGAACCCGAAATGCTGCTGATTGGCTCAGCAAAGGTGCCGTGGTTGTAACGGATCGATGGTCACACTGACAAGTTACGGTGGATTTGAGAACTGCACACGAAGCTTTAGCAGGGCTCTGAGATCGACTAATCGAGCATTGTACAGAAGCTGATAGATCACCGGAACGAGCGGCAATAAGATAAGAATAGCACATACTGTGTTCTAGAGGCGTGGGATGAGAGACTCGCAAGTACTTCATCTCGACTCGAACAATGGGAGTTGTCGTGAACCGGACGGTATACATGATCATCAGCAGCTATTGCACTGGAGACTTACTCTCATGTCGATGTCCAGCGTCGCGGAGCATGACAATGAGAGGACTTCGAATATCCCTGAGGCCCCCCCTCCCCCACCCGTGCACAAACCCAGTCGTGAGCGCTCCGACGTGGTCTGACCTGGTCCTGTGGACGAGTCGTGGTGTTCCAAGCCGGGTTGAAAACGATCACCAGAGAGCACCCATGCCTGGTCAGTGCCCCACGAGGGCAATGGCATCAGTTGACGACTACTATGTAGTATGTACATTATTTGTTCACCGCTGCTGGCACCGTACCATGCACTGGGTTCTTTGGGCTAGCATCACCAATGACAGCACACATGGCCAGAGAAGAGAGACCATCCGACATATATGCGCATAGCTTGGGAGGCACTAGTCGTGCGGCTATCAGGGTGGTGGTTGTGTACCGTCTCAAATTGAGGGTCAAGTACTTACACACACATGCACGCACACACGCGCATATATATACATGTATATACACGCGGCTGAACACTGACTTTATGTTGCCCGCTCCCTGATCGCCATTATCAATCCTAGGTTTTGGAGCCATGTCTACGCCGACTATCAAATATCGAGCTGCATGCGACCACTGCTCCGCTACAAAGATCAAATGTACTCAAGAACGGCCACAATGCGCAAGATGTCGTACACTTGGGCGAGATTGCCACTATAGCAGATCACTCCGCGCTGGCAAACCTCCCAGATCGAGCCAGGTGCTGAACCGGAAAATCTCCAATACGCCCGTACTGCCTCGACGTGCTACGGTTCTGGAACCACCTCATCCAGCCAGCAATGGACCACTCAGCCACGGTTTCCCCACACAACCGTCCTCATATCCAGTCATGAGCCCTAGTATCTCGCCAGATCCCACATGGACAGCAGTCACCCACTCCTCATATCCCACCCCTCCAGCAGTTGCCATATACACTGGAGCCGAAGCCTCCCCCTTCTACTCCGAACTACAAACTCCAGACCACAGCTCCGCTACCACGCCCATGGATCCCGAATGGTTCTTTGATTTCAACAACGCTGCTCTACCTCCTACTGCAAACAGTAGCAGTGACAGCCCCACCGCAGCCTCCCGGATCAACTCCCGCGAACCCACGCAACAACCCAGTCCCATCTCCGAAGGCCATAGACCGTCTTGCACTCCTCAAGTCGCTCCCGCCCATATTCTTCTCCCTCAACAACTACAACATCAACAACATCATCATCATCAACATCACCATCATGACCTGAGCAGTGGTACTCGTGGTGTTGGACAATTACACCCCAACAACAACATTAACAACAACACCCCCCTATCTCTCTTCACAACAACCAACTCCTCCATCTCCACCTCTGAAGGCAACAGCAGCACCAGCAGCGGCAGTGAAAACCACCCTTGCCTCCGCATCGCCACAGAAACTCTAAATGGACTCTACGAATTACCGAGTATTCTCCACGTCGACCGCGAAACTCGACAATTCTCTCTCGACCAAGTCTTGAGCAGTGCCACGCGCGCGGTACAGATTTGTCATGATTTGATGACGTGTCCGTGTGTGAAAGATTTCTCGTTGGTGCTCGCTGTGGCGATGATTGCTTCCAAGGTGTTGAGTTGGTGTCAGATTGTGGCTTTTGTGAGGGATGGGGGGAGTAGTACCAGTAGTAGTAGTATTAGTAGTCCTGTCGAGGGTGGTGGTGGTGGTGGCGGTGGGGGAGAAGGAGGAGGAGGAGGAGGAGTAGAAGGATTTCCTTCTTCTTCTTCTCCTTGTTCTCCTGTGACGATGATGATGAAGGATCTGGTGGTGGATGGACAGCTTGCACTGGGAGATTATAAATTGGATGATCGGATGGGTTGGGTGTTGAAAAATCATATTGTGCTGGGGCAGTTGCAGCGGCTGAGTGAAATTGTGCATCGGTATGATGTGCAGTTTTGTGGTGGAGAAGGGATATTGGGGGGTCAGCAGCAGCAGAAGATGATGGGTGAAGGGGGAGGAGCAGGAGGATTGGAAGTGTATGCGAGTATGAGTGTGATGTTGCGGTCGAGATTACAATGTACGATTCAAGAGGTCGAGGGGAGATTGCGGGCGAGTGCGAGCGCGAGCTGACGGCGAAGGATGCTTGACGATTGGGGTTTACATTTACATGTGTATATTTGAGGCGTGGTGTTGTTGTTGTTGTTCTTTCTGTTGTTTGGATGGCTCGTCTGTTACGAATGCTACGATTATTACTTATTCAGCTATTGATGAAGCTTCTTGTGTCTGTCTGCTCTTCCTTAGGAGGTAGGTACCTTTTGATTCACTTGCCCAGCTGCTGTTCCTGACCAATCAGGTCAGAGCCACGCTAGCTAATGGCTGTCTTGGCTGCGTGGGCTGCCTGCCAGCCCAAGGCCCCAAGCCCAGCCCAGTCTAGCCTAACCCAACATCGGCCATCATCTACATGTACCTCCAAAGTGGTTACCGGTATAGGGCTACCGCAACATATCTCGAAATGCGCTGGGTGAAAATGGGCATTTCGTAGTGCGCTCAAATTGAAAGCTCAAAGTCGTCGATACGAGGACTTGTTACCTACCTTAGGTAGCTAGGACTTCGCTGCGTCCCGATACAGACAGTGCCACCTGTACAATTACTGCAAGTACAGAGATCGTGTTGTATACATCGATGATCGATGGCGAGCACTTCGCGATCGAGTACCACCTCCTAGTTACATGTAGTGCTGTGGGTCCAGTCACGCGTCGTCGAAAAATGTTCTCGTATTCCCATCTCACTGTCCACAAGCCTGCTCGTGATCATGACCTACACACAAGTTACGACCTGGAAAATCACAGCCACATTTATACAAGGGGTACAGTATTCTAGGTTGCTGGCATTATTGTGATTGTCCTGTAGAGACTCCTCAGTCCACTCTCTTGCCCGGGTGTATGTAGCCGTCTAATACCAGGCAACGGCTGCATGTCTCACTCTCGCACTCATCAAAAAGAGGGAAAAAAAGAGAAGAAAAAAAAGAGAAGGAAAAAAAAAAAAAAAAAAAAAAAAACTTCTCATCAGAGATGATTAATTTCCGCAACTGCGTGGCTCCACGCGGGGACTGCACTATTCGGCCCTTCTTGACTTGATAAGTCTCGATACCCAGTTCTAGGTGAACGGCATCGACGATGCTACACCATGACCATGCTGTTGTGCTGTCTTTCTGCTAGCCATCCAGTGGTTAACAGGTAGGTATCGATGGACTGTGCTCCATCAGCTGAGAATATCATCAGTTACAAACGTACCTATGTACTCGAGGTGACTAAGCTGTCAGCAGCTGGAACCCCAGGCCAGAATTTGCGTCCCATCGGTCATATCATATGGCATAATGCGATCAATGTACCGTGCAACCGTCTTCAAACCGCTGTTCAAGGAGCGGGTAATGACCGGATTACATTTCCAACGCCATACCGTCGAACTTGTACTGACTGATAGTATACTCTCTGTAACCGCTGTAACAAGATCTTAGGATTAATTCAGATAATCAATGGATTCGCTGCATTTCTGCCAGAACCACTGTCGGTTAACATAAGCGCTTCGTGTTACTTCGCTGTACAATTGCTGCGTGGGAATCAAGGGAACAGACAGGTTTAGATATGTCTATGATGTTTACGTTCATACCTAGGTATGAGTGCAAGCAACCAATGTGTTCTTCGCTTCGACTTTCCCCTACAGTCTTTCCAGAAGCCTTGGCGGCGCTATCGATAAGGCAGGAGCTGTCGAGAAAAGTTACCCAGTCCTCGCCGCTGCCACAACCGGATTCGAATGCGCCTGCATCCTCATCAAGTAGGAAAGAAGCATCCACGATGTCGACTGTTCTTCCACCACCTTCGAAACGCCAGAAGACGGCGGCTGCAGCGAAAGCACGAGAACCAATCAACACCACCGAAGAATCGATACCCGATGCGCAACAACGAATCCAATTCCTCGATGCCGACACGGGCGCGCCTGCCAGCGATCCTGTCTTCGTGCAATTGTCTCAACTATCGCCGAAAAATCTTTCGCTCTTGTTGAATACGTTGTTGGGCCATACAAAGCCCGATGATCGTCTACCTTATCGATTCTATAACCCCTATGGCGACGGAAGTGGAGAATTTTCGCAGGAGGAAGTGATCAAGAAGTACTTGGATGGAACGGCGACGACAGGTAAGAGCTGTGATACTGCGATATGGAGCTTTTGGGGGGATTCTATGCGCCAGTCCGAGCGTATTTGGATTCGAGATATCCGGGGAGAAACTAATCATGTTTCGCAGAATTGGCTTTGAATATTCCATTCCGTGCGGAGGCAGTCTTCAAAGTCAAGCCAGTAACGAGATGCTCTGCCAGCATTAGCGGACACGGCGAGTCAATACTCAGCACATCATTCAACCCAGCGACTTCGTCGTGGCTAGCGACAGGATCAGGGGACAAAACGGCGCGCATATGGGACTGTGATACTGGGACGCCAAAATATACATTGAAGGGCCACACGGGATGGGTTTTAGTGGTGGCATGGTCTCCAGACGAAGGCATACTGGCTACGGGGAGCCACGACAACACTGTTAGGCTGTGGGACCCCAAAAAAGGCACGCCGCTAGGAGGGCCGCTGAAAGGTCACACGAAGCCAGTCCTGAGCATAGCATGGCAGCCTTATCATAGTCGGGATCCTGGACGTCCGTTACTGGCATCAGCTTCACAGGACTTCACCGTGCGGATATGGGACGCAGTCAGTGGCCACACCGACATGGCGCTCACAGGGCACAAAGGGCATGTGACATGCGTGAAGTGGGGTGGTGCAGGCTGGATATACACCAGCTCGAGAGACAAAACTGTTAAGATATGGGATGCAAACAAGGGGACGCTGGTGCACACGCTCAACGCACATGCGCATTGGGTGAACCACCTGGCCCTATCGACAGACTTTGTGCTTCGGACAGGTTATTTTGACCACAAGGGCCACAAGGATGTGCCAATTAGCGTGGAGGGCAAGCGAGAGAAGGCGAAAAAGCGATACGAAGCTGCTCTCGTCGGTACAGGTAAGTGCTCTTTCGCGACAGTGCGACGACCACCATTCTGATATATTTTCCCCAGGATCGGAGCGGTTGGTGACAGTCAGCGACGATATGACTATGTTTTTGTTTGATCCCTCGCAGTCGACGAAGCCGATTCAGCGTATGCATGGACACCAAAAAGCAATCAATCACGTCACGTTCTCGCCGGATGGAGTCACGATTGCCAGTGCTGGGTTTGACAACCATGTCAAGCTGTGGGATGCAAAGGACGGAAAGTTTAGGACCACACTCAGGGGCCACGTGGGGCCGGTGTTCCAGGTAGCCTTCTCAGCGGATTCCAGGCTTCTGGTGAGCGGCAGTGCGGACACGACGCTAAAGGTGTGGAACGTAAGAGAAGGCAAGCTCGCCGAAAACTTGCCTGGTCACCTGGATCGGGTGTTCGCACTGGACTGGAGTCCGGATGGAGCCAGGGTTGGCAGCGGGGGAGAAGACAAGGTGGTGAGGATATGGCTGCATTAGGTCGCCATCTCTCGACGCGACTGGATGTACTATTTGCTTGATTGCTGGCTGGCTGGCTGGCTGGCTGGCTGGCTGGCTGGCTGGCTGGCTGGCTGGCTGGCTGGCTGGCTGGCTGGCTTGACATTCGACGCAAACGATACCGAGTCGCGGTGACAGGACTGATGTGCTGGACCGCACTCTGCGCGCGTGAGGAGGATGATGATGATGATACCGATATCATGGATTGCTGCGTACATACAGCCGAACGTATGCTCTTTCCTCGTGTGTGAGTAAGGATCGCTCTTTCCCAACTTGAGTGCAGAAGATGGCACAAGAGCAGACACCAGCTCGCTTCATTCTCAATTCCCATTCCCATTCCCACTCCCACTCCCACTGCCTTCTCACTCATCCCCATCCTCACCTCACTCTTCCCACTCCCATTCGCCTCACCATGGCTGTGCCACACAGTCGCCAGTCGACCTCCTACTCTAGCTACAGCAGTCCCGCCAGTCACTCCACATCACGCCAGACCACGACGCAGGACATCTCCCGAAATACGACTACGGGCTACCGGCAGAGCACTCGCAACTCGCTGTATAGCACGTACGATTACAATGGCACTACGACTGAGTCACGGCCGCGCGCAGGAGCACACAGCGTTAGCAGGCCACCCACGGCGCGTCCACGGACTGGTGTCTCGACCATCGGCGTCGAGAATCAAGAAATCATATGTGCCATCGCTGAAGCCCGCGGTCCCACACCTACCGTCGGGCTGGCATTCATCAATCTTGACACTGGTGAGGCTGTGCTCAGTCAGTTCAGCGACAGTCAGACTTATATCAAATCGATTCACAAGCTCATGGTGTTCAATCCAAGTAACATCTGCATCGTGTCGTCTTCAGCTTATCCGAAGTCCAAGCTGTTCTCCATCATAGAGGACCACCTCGATGATATCGGGTGCAATATGACGCTTCTTGATCGCAAGTACTGGGCAGAGACTGTAGGTCTCGAGTACATTCAGCAGCTTGGATTCGCAGAGGACATTGAGTCCATCAAGACTGCAGTCACTGGCAACTACTATGCAGTATGCAGTTTTGCTGCGGCTCTGAAATTTACGGAGCTTGGCGTCATGAAGACGTTCCCTTACCATTCTCTTCGCATCAAGTATGAACCCTCCGAGGGTTCGACGTTGATCGATCTCAGCACAATCAAGTCTCTGGAGCTTGTGCAGAACTTGTGCAATCCAAAATCGAAAGACTGCCTCTTTGGCCTGCTTGGCGAAACATTGACACCGATGGGCACTCGTCTATTGAAGAGCAACATTTTGCAGCCCATCACGAATCCAGATACATTGAATAAGCGCTACGATGCTGTAGAAGAGCTTAGCACCAAGGAAGACATGTTCTTTTCCGTTCGCGCGGCTCTAAAGCCATTCTTGGATGCAGATCGTATCCTCACCCAGCTCATTATCATACCCGTTCATCCAACAATGCACACTACCGAGCAAGGGATCAACAACATCATCATGCTAAAGCAATTTGTCACTCACATCAAGCCAATGTGGGAGGCTTTAGCAGGTTGTCGGTGTGAAATGTTAACAGAGATTCAACGCATCAGCGCCCCTGAGAACCTCGAGACTGTCATAGACTTGATATCCAGCACGATCAATGAGGACACAATGTACGCGAAACAACCTCTGGACTTGCGGAATTCGCGCACGTATGCCGTCAAATCTGGAGTGAATGGACTACTCGATGTCGCCCGTCAGACGTACAAGGAGTCCATGACTGACGCTCTGCAGCACATTGACGATACGTGCAAAGAACATAAGCTACCACTGCAGACTAAGTACAGCAACGATCGCGGTTTCTATCTACGGCTTCGTGTAGAGGAACTCGAGGATCGCAACATGCCCCCAGTGTTCGTCAACGTGTACCGCAGGAAGGACATAATTGAGTGCCAAACTATGGAGCTCATCAAGCGCAACCAAAAGATCAGCGATGCGCATACGGAAGTCCTACTCATGAGCGACGAGTCCATTAAGGTGCTAACTGACAATATTCGAGAGCACATGTCGGGGCTGTTTAAGGTCTGCGAGTGCGTGGCAATGTTGGACATGCTCGCAGCACTCGCACATGTTGCATCTTCTCAAGACTACAGCAGACCAGCATTGAGCAAAACGTTGGCAATTCGTGCTGGGCGACATCCAATTCGCGAGAAGATCCACAACACGAAGTATATCCCCAACGATGTCTATGCCACTCAGCAAACTCGTTTTCAGATCATCACAGGCTGCAACATGAGTGGTAAGAGCACCTACATTCGTAGTGTGGCGTTGATGACCATCATGGCTCAAATCGGCAGCTTTGTGCCAGCACAATACGCTGCTTTTCCCATCATCCAACAGCTCTTCGCTCGCGTCTCCATGGACGACAGCATCGAAGCAAATGTCTCCACGTTCGCAGCCGAGATGCGGGAAGCAGCTTTCATTCTCAAAAACATCAATCGACACAGCATGGTCATTGTGGATGAGCTTGGCCGTGGTACAAGTACACGAGATGGTATTGGCATTGCTATCGCTATTGCAGAAGCCCTAGTCCAGTCCCGGGCGCTCGTATGGTTCGCAACACACTTCCGCGATCTTTCCACCATCCTCGCCGAAAGGAACGGAGTGGTCAACTTGCACCTATCAGTTAAGATCTCACACAGCCGCATGGAGATGCTCTATAAGATCGCCTCTGGCACAGTCACGGAAGAGCACTACGGTCTCACACTAGCAAAGATCCTCCCTCTACCGTCAGATGTTATCGAACATGCCGAACGCGTCAGCCACATTCTTGAAGCACAAGTCAAAAGACGCAAAGAACATTCTCTGGGAGTGGTCCATGCTCGTCGCCGAAAACTTCTTCTCAATCTTGTCGAGCACTTAAATCAAGCTAGAGATGGGACCATGTCTGAAGAGAATCTGAAAAAGTGGCTTGTAGATCTGCAGATTGAATTCATCAATCGTATGTCAGCTCTTGATAGAGAAGCCACGAAAATCCAGCAAGGGTTGGGGGAAGAAGACGAAGTCAGCCTCGACGGCAATGATGATGAGGGGATCGTGGCAAATGAAAGTGCTTCACGCGGCACTGTTGTTGGCTCTCATAATATCGGTTCTCCATACATCGAGGACGACTACATGCGTGAGGATGAGGACGACGACGCAAACGATGACAAGGAAACCCGACCGCCAACGAGTAATTTTGCTACTGAATAGACACACCTTCGCACTCCGCTCGCGTTTATGCCACACCGCCGAAGAGCACACACGCAAACAGGAATACTGATACTGGTCAGAGTATGCTTGAGAGCTCGAACCGATATGCGATGACTACGCTACTACCACGAATATTTCGTGATCTGTCCAGATCACCAGGTTAGCGCACTATGGTTGACGAGGGAAAACATGAAAATTTGCTCCAGTGCAAGAGTGATAAAAGGGACTGTACATTCGTGTGCATTGCATTATTACTTTAAAATCAATAAAAGATTACATCCTTCCTGTTTCACTTTGCCTTCGGCGCGGCCCTGATAAGCCTTCCCTTGGGTTCTGCTGTTCAAACATGCTGTTTCTCAAGTGGTATTCTGCACGCAAGATCCAAGAATTGCGTCAAAAACAAATCGTCACTCCTCATCACTGTGGTATCTCTCTGCCATTCTTTCTTCCTGTCTCGTTCAAACATCCTCCTTGAATCTGGTCTCTCGTACGGGACTCTCACTTTTCTTTTGAGTAAACGCTGGCGGTGGGGCCAGGCTCTCATCGAAATGATCCCTAGCCTCTTCGAAATTGTCGTTGTCGTTGTCGTCATCCTCGGAGCGTCGTAAGTCAGTACTGGTCATACCTTCAGTGCCAGGCGCCGGTTTGTGGAGCTTGCCATCCTTGACATGTGCGTCCCTGTTACGACCAAACCCCAGTTTCTTAGCAAAGCTTCGTCCGCCACCTCGGCCACGCTGGACATCATCTTCATCGGCACCCGAGGAGGAAACATCATCGGGGTGAGTCGAGGTTGTAGTACCACGGATAAAGGATGTTGGAGACGTGGGCTCTGCGATGTCAGCTGCCTTGGTGGAGTCACCAATAGCGCCATCATCGGTGGAGTGCTGATGCTGGACGGTAGTAGGACTGAATGCAGCACCAGTGTCTACCGGAGGAATGGTAGACGCGTTCGTTGTTGTCACAGGTGCTGCGCTGGCAAGAGTCTGCTTGACTGCAGCGTCAGTTGCAGACTTATCATATGAACCTTCGTTTCCAAGCGCCTTCGTGCCGCTGATAGTCGGCTTTTCGCCAGCCTTGATCGACTCGTACGGTTTATTCTCATACTTCGAGTCATCATACTTGGAAATGGAGCCAGAAGTAATGGTGCCTGGTGAGTTCTCTGATCGAGATGGCTTGTTCCTCAATTTGGAGAAGAAGCCACGAACGCCCCTGTCGTTCTCATTCTTTGACTCACGTCGTGCAGATGAGGTTGGCTGGCCCGCTTTGTCTGCCGCCTTCTTTGAGGTCTCTGGTGCGGAGCTCGAGAGACGGCTTGTCGAGGTGCTCTGAGCAGGAACGTCGACGGCAGCAGGCAGATCCTCCTCCCCTTTCAGATTCTTTGACAGTTCCCTACTAGGCGCGACGGGGGACGAAGTGACCGAAGCCGGGGGAATGGCAACCAAAGAAGCAGTATCGGGGGCGGATGTGTCGCGTGGCACACCTGGCGTTTCTGCACGAGCAGGCACATCTGTCGATGGCTGAGGAGCAGTTTGCTTTGAAATCACCGGGGAAGGTGCGAGTTCTCGAGTGGTCGCAGGCGTGCTATCATACACATCTTCCATGGTTCTGGGTGGATGCTGAACCTCAGACTTGGAGGTAGGTGCTGTACTGGCGCCTCCAATACCTGTCACAGCAGATGGTGGAAACCAAGGCTCGGCTGATGTACTCGCAGACTCATGCTTCGCCACAGCAGGGGAGATAGGACCTGGTGCAAGAGCAACAGCGCTCGGTTCCTGATCTGGCACAGTGCCGCGAGATATTGGATTTCGCTCTTCATTCCAATCTTCATTGTCGCTGGACAAGCTCGATCCTTCACTGTCAGGAATGTTCGAAATGTGCTTCTCCAGAGTAGTCATCCTATCACCATGGGATACGGTCGGAATTGAGTCGTTAGCGAGGCCAGAAACACTGCCAGATTGCGTGAACATAGGTGTAGACCTCCTTCCTCTGTCATCGTAAAGACTCTCCTCGCCATCCGCATCAGAGTCGGAATCAGCGTGTGCGATAGGCACGACAGGAGCAGCAGCAGCAGCAGCAGCAGTAGTGCCAATCTGAGTCTGGTTTTCTGCCAATGGTGATACAGCAGGTTCAGGCTTATAGGTCGTCCCTTGTGCGCCGTCAATCGTCGTCGCAGGCGCGGACGTGGTTGGAGCTCCAGTATCCTCAGCGACAGCGTGAGAAGCTTGCTGTGCGTCAAGTGGCTGAGTAGGAGCGTCCTTTTTGTCGAGTTCGGCCAAAGTTGCGCCTGTCACGGCGCCAGTCGCAACACCACCAGCAATAGTCGTACCGGCATGGGCCGGCTTGTCTGCGGCACTCGCCACAGGCTCCGTTTCCACAGTCTTCTCGTGCGACCCAGTCGTTCGAAACTTTGCCTTCAGCCTAGCGAGGGCAGATTGATGCTTATCTCGCCCATCAGAAGCCGGAGCGCTTTCTGTGAGCCCGCCTGGAGCCTCATCAGTTTTACCAGTCTCGGTACCGCGCACAGGCAGAATGCTCGATCCAGTAGTATCACGCTTGACCTCCCGGCTCTTTCGCTGCTCCAACTGAGAAGCTCGCTTCTCTTCATCCTTGCGTGCCTTTTCTTCGGCCCTTTCCCTCTTTGAAGATTCACGAAGGTCATCTACAGCTCAAGTTAGCTCTCACGAACGTCGGTTCTCATGTTCCAGGTAATCTCACTTTTGATGGCCTTCTGCTGATCTTTCTCCTGCTGCCTGGCCATTTTCTCTTCCATTTTAGCCGTCTGCTGTTTGTCCTTCTCAATGCGCATCTCCTCGTCATGCTGGCGCCTGCTCGCAGCGGTCGCACTGATCTCGTCCAGTGTAGGCTTCAAGCGTGCGGCTGCGATGGCCTCGATCTCGGACTGGTCCATGAACTGGCCTCCACCGATATGAGTCTTTCCCGGGTTCAAAGCTCGCTCTTGGCGCTGGCGGTCAGCCTTCTCACGGGCCTTCGCCTCCCATTCCTCGATCATTGCTGGCGATACCTTGCCAGTGTCGCGGTAAACCTGCGAGTCCATGTCCTGCATACGAGCGGACACCCTCTTTTCTGCTTCAGCCAACAACTTAGCGCGGTCGTTCTGCTGCTTCCTTGCGTCGACCTGGCGTGTTGCAGTGTTCAGTCCAGCCATTTGTGCGCGGATCCGACCGGCCTGTCGCTCATCGTCAGAATCAGACTCGGAGTCATATCGGCCACGAGTACCCTCGCTCGATGCTCGTTGTCTACCACGTCGTTCAGTGCCAGAGGTCCGCTTCGACATGCGCGAAGAAAGCGTCTTCGATGGCTTGTCGCCATATCCGTAATGTTCACGGAAGCGCTTGCCTTCCATGTCCTTGTCAATCTTCGCTAGTCGCTCAGCGGCCAAGCGATGCGCAGTGTCCTGAAGGCTGATGTACTGCAATGCCTCCTGCTTGATATCCGGTTTGGCAACAGCTTGGTTGCGTGTGGCTGACCTTGCAGCAGACAGATCTGATCCATCAGGTTCCAGCAGCATGTTATCACGGTTCTGATTGGCATAAAGACTTTTTGCCATCGTGATAGCTGACGCTCTGAGCGCGGATTGGCGCTTGTCTTCCTCGTACTGCCAGTCTGGGTTGCCAGTGAACATCTTGCCGCTGACATTATCCCCCAGATGCGTTACCCTCGCGGACTGGTTGGCCTCAGAATCCCAGCCATCGCCCCTAGATTGGCGGTGTGAAACGGAAGCCGCGTTGAGCGCGTTCCTGCTGGCGTTGGCTTGGTCTGGGTAAAGCTCTGGTGGTGGCTGCGGCGTAGAGAGGGCGCGCGCTCGACTCTGCTGCGTGGCTCCAGTTGCGGCCATCAGAGCTTTGCTCTTGGCGTCCGCGTTATTCCCGCCATACGCCTGTGGACTCAGTCCCTTGTTGCGAAAGGCCAATGTTGCTGCTGACTGGCCCTCGGCAGTGGCCGAAGCCTGCCAGAGATCCAATTTTGCGCCCTTATTCGCTGCAAGTATGGCGGCTTTTGAGCCAGCTGCACTCTGCTCTGGTTGCCACAGCTCTTTCATCTTGTAGTCTTTGGCAAGCATAGCAGCCTTCCCCGCTGAGCCAGAGGCATTGCCGGAGGAGGGGAAGCTGGGCAGGTCCTGTGCTTTGGCATATTTAAGTGACGTTGCGGCGCCTGGAAGACGTAATCAGTCAGTACTACGTTCCTCTGCGCACCAGGAGCCGCGGTGCTCTTCTCTGCTCTGCTCTGCTGTGGTCTGCTGTACTTACTTTTGGACGATAGCTTGCCGTCGGGTCCGAGGATGCTCTCGCTCTGGATGCTGCTGTTGCGCGAGTGATTTCCCTTTGGCGGGTTGGTCACATACAGCGCGGCGGTGGAAGCCTGAGCCGACAGTTTGTTGTGGTGCTCATGGGCGCTGGGGTCGGGGCATAGTGGCGCTTCCGACCGCGAAGTCGCAGTGTCGGCAGCCATCGATTATTGTGGTGGAGCTTCGGCTGATCAATGGCTCGGGCACTCCTATGTTAGCTGATACCTCCCCAGTGGCCAGTGGAGCAGTATACTGTATTCCCAATGGAAGAATGGACGAAGATGATGATGTAGGACGCAGAACCGTGACAAGCGGCGCATCTATAGACGAGATTGTGTCGACGTCAACATTGAAATGCGCAGCCGAAAGCCGTCCTGTGACCTCGCTCGTGCTCCCAGCCTTTGAGTTTGAGGCGGTTCTTCCACTACGTCATCGTAAACAGCAGGAGCGACGACGTCACCAATGCAAGGCGTGCACGTGTCGCGCAAATTGGATTGACTGAATGAATTGAATGGGTTGATGTTGAATGAATTGAATGAATGAATAAGGTACCTGATGATGGACAACAACGCTGCTCCTCCCTGCTCATGCTGCCTCGCTTCCCGTTCCTGTCTTACACAAGGGCGATAAGTACCTTCCGCAACATCACTGTGAGTATGTATGCACCCACTACATGTATGCCATGTCGCAAAGTGCTCGCACGGATCCGTGTCGTCGCGACAACGACATGGCGCGAACGGGGACTAGCGTTCAGCTACCCTGCGATGGTGCAAAGCTTGAAAACACCTTCATCGACAACTTTTCACTTCGAAGTACCTATACCTCCTAGGAGGTACACTGGGAACAGCAAAACATAGCAACGGGGGCTGAGCGATAGTATGAGGTGGCAGGGTGTTGTTCTTCTCTCTGCACCTGCGTTCAACACTCACTGCACATCGTCCCCTCGAGACGCACCAATCATCGTCTTCACACTCTATCCTGCATACCCGTTCTCGTGCTGAGAACGCCACGTTGCACACGCGTGTAGGCTATCGCCACGCTATTCAAGTGTTTTTGCATCATTTTCAATTGTTCACCTTGTTCTCAGAGCTGCTGGAACATCTATACCATCCAGAAGCCATATTCACAAATATAAACCTCGTCGACACTTCCAGCATATTCACACAAGATCCCAGTCCAGCATCTCTCAGTCCGCAGCAAGACGAAACGCTCGCATGTCTCCACAAAGCATAGCACCTTTCCAAAAGGTCCCCAACTTCCGCGATGTCTCCTCCTCGACGGGCTCACAGTACTTAACCCCTGGACTTCTATACCGCTCCGCAGCACCAGACGACGCCACGCCTGTCGACCGAAGTCGTCTCTCCACCGAAATCGGCCTAAAAACAATCATCGACCTACGCTCCGACACCGAACACCACGAAGTATCTCGCAAAAACCTCTCCAAGATCCCTCCCGCACTAGACCCCCCCGGTAAACCCCATAACCACAAAGGAGGACGTGGCCACACCGCCCACAACGATCCTCAAAACCCTCTACACGTCCCCGGAGTGCAGTACGAACTCATTAACTTCAACGGCTCCGCTTATTCCAGCAATCTCATTCGCCAACTCTCCTACCTCAACATGGCCAAACTGTTCACATGGTACACCCTCGGCTGGAGAACCGAAGCCATCTCCATCCTCGGCACAAATGTCATGCAGAAACGCGGTCTAGTCGGACTCGCGCAGGATAGTTTATCACTCTGTCAGAAAGAAGTCAAACTCGTTTTTGATATTCTCGCTCGCCAAGAAAACTACCCACTCATGGTACATTGCACACAGGGGAAAGATAGGACTGGACTGGTCATTTTACTCGTGTTGTTACTGTTAGGAGCCGACCAGGAAGCTATCGAGAAAGACTATTTACTTAGCGAAGACGAACTCGCGAATGACAAGGCCGAGCGGATCAGAGCCATTGCCAAGATCGGTCTGGGAGAAGAATTTGCAGGATGTCCCCGCGATTGGGTCGAGCAGGTGGTTTTGACTGTAAAGCAAAAATTCGGAGGCGTGGAGAAGTATCTCGAAAGCTGTGGCGTTGACGCGGAGCAGCAGAGGAAAATTAGAGATATTTTGAGAAGGCAGGCGAGTTGATGATGAGAGGCCGAAGTCCTTGAAGCAGATTCTAAAATCTGATCTTCTATCTTCGATATATAATACTATGATACTTATCGGGACGCAGGACGAGCAGCTTGTGAACAGGCGTCTCCATGAACCAAAACATGAGCCTCCCTTTCCCATCCTCGATGTACGACGTTACAGTTATCGGGACAAAGCATGAAGGATCAGACACTTCAAGGTGAGCGAAAGTGAACACGGCATATAGGCAAGAGCATCGGATCTGCTGTGCCACGCTTGCCTTTCACGGCGTCTGCTTTCTGGGCTGATCACTCCTGAATTGATAGGCGTTCCCCTTGTTTTCAGCTGGGCTACATTCACATTTGCCCTGAGAGTTGGGCGAGGGATGTCAAGATCACTCCGGAATTTTATTGCACGCTGGGGGGCTGCGGCTTTCGCAACTCCGACCTTTCCTTATGGTAGTGGGCCGAATGGGGAACAGCGTGCCAAGGCAGGGTAGGTAGGTGAGGTAGGCAAGGGCTCTTCCTTCCTCTCTTCGACGCCTTCGACTCGTTCCTCACCATCCTCAACACAACGTCGATGCGCTCCATACTGATACTGTGAAACTGACTGCGACACTCTGCACATCCTGGATCTTCGCCTGGCCACAACCGACCAGACAAGAGCCTGACGACCGCTACCGCACATGATTCCCCCGACTGGTTTCCAACCACGCCCTTGCGGATCAACAAGTCAGGTACCTGTGAAGCGCAACACGGGTATTCCATTCGCAAGCTGATCGGAACGATATGATGAGCTGGTATCGCAGACCAGCTTTTGGCGTCACAAAAGGGAAAATGCACCATATCCTGCCCCTCGACTACGCTCAACTAGAGTAATGGGCTTACCATGGCAGAGCTCCCTGCGAAGCTTGCCCTCTGTCTATGTACAGGTACTGCAGGAACTCGATTTCTGATCACGTCACCCGCACACATAAAACCACCATTCGTCCCCGTGCAACATGTCCGAGCATATCACCGAACTTACTAGGCGCTCGTCACGCGCGTTGCATTGCGCGTGGCCAAACTTCCCAATTGGGCGCGTCCGAGCAGCCACAACTCGGCAGAATACTACATTTAGTAATTTACTGATACACTGCTGACTTAGATGCTAGTATTATGTACGACAGCCTTCTCTTTTAGATATGATGGTCTTTCGAAGACGTTGCCGTAGAGTCGGGACTCAACGTGCTCTCTTGAATCCCTCTACAGCACTCTTACATACCACGATTTTCACACCATCCATACATGTCCTCGCAGCATGGTTTCCCGACTACGCCCCTACTGACATGCCCACGACGAGCACGTCCAGCACGGAAAGGAGAAAAGGTGTTATGAAGTCAGCTACACAGACGGGTACTCCTCAGCCAGTCGCCAGAGCCAGGAGATTGGCTGTTAATGCGTGGTCTACCGTTGTTCAAGTCTAGATAGTCGTACCCGGAGCTGCTGCGTTCTTGCTGACTTGCTAGAGTGTACGATAGTTGAAGAAGATTGAGGCATGTCTTGGCGAACCCAAGATGTTGCGGTCTGGACTGTCAGTATGACCCTTGGACTTTGACTTTGAGACTTACCTTGGTACCACCTCACATCTTATCGAGACATCGGGAGCACTACATAACTCAGCACGAATGATTCGTCTTGAAAGTCATCATGATGTCGGAGCTCGCAGTCCGCTAAAACGTGCTCGTCAGGTAGAGGTTTCTTTTGATCCTTCGAAATATCTCCTGGAAGGTCCGACCATAGCAAGCCGAATTATCACTATCAAGACTGGATCAATAGGCATCTTGAGTGCATGCTGGAGTCGAACCTGCCCTAGATGACACCAGGACCATGTCACCAATGTGTCCAAAGACTCGCAAGCTCCAAGCGAGCGCTCATCTCCATACTGTTGATGAACAGATAGCTGGACTTGAGCACGACTTGGCATTCGTGGCCGGTCGACGTGCTTTCCTCGTGGCTGAGATTGCGAACATGGGGAATACTGAGCTGGATGACCCACATATTGCGAATGAAAGCACCACCATACCATCAGACTATGTATCGTCGCCGGCAGAGCAGCAGGGAGCGATTCAAGGCATCGAAACTTATCTGGAGACGCCAACAGCACTACCAGGAAGTCAAAAGCTCTATGGCGAGCAGCTGATAGTCGACGAAGTCTTCTACACATGTATGGCCGGCTTCAAAGCCAAGAACGATGGCTTGTATCTCAAGATCCTCCACGCCCTCCTGCAGAAGATGAACGCAGCTGCCGAGGCTGGCATTATTGCTCTGAACTTTCTCGACGAGCAACAAGAGAAGTGCGAGCAGGTCCTGGCGAGGTCGCGCTGGCAGGCTAGACAAACTGCATCACAAAGTCCGAGGAGCCGCAGGCGATCTATACAGGTGACGGGAGCAACCGAAGTGAAGCAGGAAGAGGCAATGGAGCAAACGATTGGTGAGCGACAGCGAGAGGAGCGCCCTCTTCCTCACGCTACAGAGATTGACGTCGAGTCGAAGAATTCCCTCGATGAAGTCTTCGACGCCAGGCGATTCGCCAATTATAAATTTGCTGTCGAAATTGAGCATAATGAGGTCGTGACGGGAGGAGACGAACAGCTGAGCCAGAAGAACAAAAGCCAACATCGATCACGCGGACAAGTAGATGAAGAAGATTGCGACGACGACGATGATGATGACAAAGAAGAAGAGTGCAACAACGACGACGACGATGACGGTGAATATGACAAATACGACAAACAAGAGCCCGACCAAGAAGACGAGGAAGAAGAAGAAGAAGTCGATCTCCCTCCACGCAAAGAGCGCAAGAGATTCGATAGTGTATTAACCGCACCTCTGGATTTACTCTCGGACTTGTTTTGAGAATTGCATCTGCATTGATAGAATTGATAGAATTTGAATTTTGATATAGATATTATGATAGAAATGATGGAGATTTGATAGAAATTAAGAAATGTCCAAGATCGGAAAATTTATGAGGTGCCTCCACCGGATGCATGTAGGAGATAGTCAGGTACCTGAGTATTCACAACTTCAAACCCTATCAAGATTGTAACTTACCTGACTGAGATACCGATCTAGGCATACTCTTGTGAAAGTGACGATTTGAGAAGTTCAGGTAGGTACCTTAGGTTACGTACATGTATAGAGAGAGAACGGGCTTGAGGTCAAATGGAAAATTATAGCCAACCTGGAAGTCTTTCAGTTCGCGGGAAGGAATGCGGGAGACGCCATAGATACCTATTTGTACATGGCAGGTGCGATGGACAATGGAATTGGCAGTTGCAAGGTTGCGAGATGCGATGGAGCTACATGAAGTGGAATCCACTGTGGTGCTGAAACGCTCTGCATTCTCAGCTACGAAATTGATTCTCCGTCGGCTTCCGTGGCACAATTTGATATCGTACATTTCGCGGTCCTTGACCGTCTCTCGCTTGCAAATTGTCCTTCTCGACAATCTTTCGCTCATCATAAACACGCGAGCGTACATCGTCATCATTGTCGGGGTTGTTGTAAAACATGCTCCTCCTGTGTCATCCGTTAAAGTCGTTAAAGTCGCGCGAGTAAAGCCGCCAGTGCCACTCGTCCCGCAGCTATCGAGGGTAAGGGCTTCGGTGAACTGGGCCAGTCCGGAACGCCGTCAGCTGGAAATGTGCCTTCTTCGCATGAAGCGCGTAGTGGTTGTACTTTGATGCCTTTTGTGTAATGTTACATGCTCGTGTCCGGACGCCAGTTTCTGAACGTGTTAGCACCAGTTTCTACATGGGTTTGAGCCCGCGTAGCTCAGTCCATGTAGAAGTCTCCCTTCAAGATGCGCTCCTGAAAGTGATCTGGTCGGACCTGCTCCTTTGGTTTTGGGATATCTCTCATGGGTGGCTCCATGACTGCCACACTCTTGCTGCGATCGTGCTTCAGACTTCCCGGTGGAGAGCCATTGTATCCATACAGACCACCACCGGCAATGGATGAGGTGCGTTCGGCACGGCTGCGAAAGTTGTCAGACCAGTTGAATCCCTCGCCACCTGTGTTGGAAGAAGAAGTCAGCATAAAAGTTTTCCACAACAAGGGAGTGATTATGACCGCATCAGGGGTTGTTTTCAAGAGGAAAGTGCTGGGCATAACGAAGACGAACCTGGACCTATGGCGGTTCGGCTCGAGATCGACCCAGACGCTTGCTGTGCTCTTGCTGGGTAGGCAGGTGGTGCATCATGCTCAGCAATAGTAGATGGTTTACTAGTACCATTTTGTGGGCTCCCGCCTCCTCCTCCTCCACCACCACCACCACTTCCATTGGAAGTGCTGCCATTTCTGACATCGCGGAGTGCCTTTGCACCAAAGCTCATACGCCTGGCGAAGGGGGTTGCGGGAGTCGGATTTGGTGCTCGAGGGTCATCATCTTCGATGGCGGATTCGTCGATACTATCACTACCAGCTGTGCCATATGAGTCACGACGGCTGTTGTAGGAGCCGAAGGGAGAGGCCTGGGTTGCTGAGCCCGAGAGACCAAGTGTTGTCAGCGAGAGACGACGACGCTGTGCGTGAGCAGCAGCGGATGTTATCGGCCCTGCACCATTGTACGGCTGCTGGCTAGCTCCATTGAAGTCGCTCGAGTTGCGGGAGATGCTGCCTGAGCGCCCACCAGTGAACAGGTTGGCGAAGGTCTCGCCTGCAAAGGACGAGCGGCGTGTTCTGCCTCCGGCGTTGTTTTCGTCGGACATTGTGCAGGTGGTGCTGTGTTCTGTGTTGTTCTGTTTTGTTCTGTGTGCTTCTCTGTGTGTTTCTGTTTTGCTTAGAGAACGAGAGATGAGAGAGAGAGGGAGAGAGATATAGAGATTCGAAGGTCGATGGCAGTACGTCGTGGAGTGGAGTGGGCGCAATGGCTCACAGCAGTTCGCAGAGGACGAGGAGAAGACGGACTATGAGAGTGGCGAGTGTGTGCGTGTATGCGGGTGAGTGGGTGGAGAGGTGTTCAGGCGATGGGTTGTGGTATGCGTTTCGGAAGATTCCTGACGCGACAGCTCGAATGATGGGACAGAAGTGGTAGTAGGTACGGTGGTAAGGTAGTGCAATCGTCGCGGCGGACGTGTCGTCTACGTCACGGCGGTTGGGCGATCGTGGGAGTGGTCGTAGGTATTCTAGTCGTGGGATGTGCAATTTGGCTCGTCTCCACACGCAGCCAGTTCCGGACTGCACGCACACGATGGGATGGCTGGTTTATAGCAGAACACGCGGTCAGATCAGGCCAGACGGAGGAAGGGAGAGAGGGAGAGAGAGAGAGAAGAGAAGGTCCTAAATGGAGGGGAGGGTGATGGAACAGTGGAAACAGAGCTCAGGAGGCAGAGGAAGGAAACAGCCCAGCCTAGCCCGGCCCAGCTCTCCGCTCCGCTCAGCTCAGTTCTCAGCTCATAGGTACTCATTGTGATGGCATGGCATAATAGGTGATCATACCGGGTCGCTACCTACCTAGTTCTCCCTCCCTCTCCTCCTCCCTCTCCTCTCCCTAGTAGAACTCCTCACTCTTAGTAGACGCTTAGTGCATCTTCAGCATGGGCTTGCAGGTCACAATGAAATTTAGCTTTATGCTATCGTGGGGTAGTTCCGACAGGGTCCCGCCATTGGTGCATCTGCCCATGGCGCTGGATCGACCTTTCGGCGGGCCATCCTCTTTGTGCGTGGATACATGTGCGCCAATTGCGCCGACATGCTGGCGAAACTGCTGCTGCTCCTCTCACCGCACGAGGGAGAATGTCCGCTCGTTGCCTCGTTGCCTCGTGACGATGAGGATGAGGATGAGAATGATACTGCTGAGCCTGCTGCTGCTGCTGCTGCTCCCATAGAACAAACCTAGTTCGAGGCCCCCATATACCTGAATAATCAGGTAATCAAAAAAGCAGCGTCAGCACTCAGCCTGGATTCCACTTCCTTATCGAGCAGACGCCCTTAACGCCCCGATATCAACCTGACCTGACCTCCAGCGTGCTACCGTACCTCCTATAGGCTCTGTGCATGTCTGCCTGGAATCAGGCCAATCAGCGTCAAGTGCAGCCGAGAGCGCCGGTACGAGTTATGCTTTGTATACCGTATGTATGTATGTCACCGCGTACCTCTCTCTCATGTGCATCCCGTGATGCTGGATATACATAGCTCCTAGTCTGCAGGGACGCGAGCTCTGCATGTACAACGGGATGCAAGCTCTAGTTCGAATCAGGTCTCACTCATCAAAAGTCGGAAGCTCCGGCTACACGTAAAGATGTACCTTTACTGATCGGCTCACCGATCAGCCAACAGCTATTACGATACCTCATACCTCCTAGTAGGAGGTAGGTCGCTTGTACAGTCAGGTAAGGTAGGTAAGCTAACTTCCAGGTTGTACTGTTGTACTGCAGGACTGCCTCCTTCTCCAGTGCCCACATCTCACGCTACTGCCCCCAGGCCCGGTCCCACCAGATGAGGAGCTCTACTAATCATGTCCTGCATATTGCTTCGGAAGGCTCCCGCCGCGGCCAGGCTTGTTATGACTTCTGCCATTATCCATCGCCTCGTGTAGGTCTGACTACTACCATGGCGACGATTGGTTTCAGCAATGAAGAGATAAGTTCCATCGGGAGATTCTATACTCGGAGATTCTCTCGTCACCTCAAGGTATGCAACAGAGTATGGACGACACGGGATAGATCATCAGCATCTTGTAGAGGGTCCCCTATAAGTTGGTATTAACGACATGAATTCTCACGAAAGACGCAACTACATGTACCAGGTACCTACTCAGGTAGGTGTATTTCATTCACAGTCAGAAATGTGGGGTTGTCGTACAGGTCGGACAGCACCAAACGCGAGCCTGTCCCGATGTGGCACGATCACAAGAGAAAAAGATGAAACACGGAACGAGGAATGTGTGCTGTCAGTGCTGTCATTCCTACATATAGGTGGTAAGGTACATCTAGTCTGGACGTGGTAAGCTGCGAGGCTGCAGGTGAGCTCTACCTACCTTACCTAACCTGATGCTATGTGTCTAGCTCTCCCATCGCTGCCTGGCCCACAGACTTACCTTACCTAGCACGCTCGGCTCCTCTCTGATGGTACGTGCTCGCACCTCTCGACGTTGGAATTCCTCAGCAGCTTGGTGCGAGATGTACTGAAGCAAGACGTCCATATCGCCAGAAAGTGACTCGCTCTCGGCATCATCCTCGAAGAAGCGGTCCACGTATAAATCTTCCTGCAGGAGACTGATCCGGATCTGCTCTCTCAGCTGCTGCGGCATCACCGTAGCCTCCATCTCGGCACCGTTTCTCGCCTCCACAATGCTATACAAGAAGTCGATAATGATTCTCCAATCTCGTCGCTGGTTCCTGCTGTATGAGCGACGCATAGCCTGTGCATAGCCCAAGATGAGGTTGCCCATAGCCACGACATGCTGACCAAGGCGATCTCTGTGAATCAGAGCCATCCCAGCAAAGTTCGGATGGTGTTGCTCTCCCAGCCAAGCGTGCGCGGATGCTGTAGCTTGCTCGATACCGGAGGAAGTCCAGCCGATATCGTCACTGAAAACCTGGAACTCGCCTGTTAGCAACCCACTGTTCGCCAGTGTCTGACTCATCACTGCTATGCGATCGACGCCAACGGGTCCGCGATCAGCATCATCGAACGCGAATAAAGCAGCTCTGCACTTGGGACATGTATTTTTGGTGCGAAGGGATAGCCACTGGACAATACAGCTTCGACCTGGACTCTTCTGTCAGCACGACACTTCCTCTCCCGCCAAATACGTCTCCACGAACACTTACAGAAGGTATGCTTGCATCCTCGTAGCTCTACTGGCTCAGTGCATTCGTCTACACAAATTGCGCACTCTGCCTCTTCTGGTATCGATGTGAGTGGGCCCAGCCCATGATTGAGATACGCAGTACGAGTGCTGGTGGTGGTGATGATGGTGTTCATCATACAGGTGTGTGGATGTCTTTGCTGCCAGAGCAAAGGTCTAGTAATCAGTTGTAAGGGAGTGATAGGCAGCAGAACCCGTTGCTCAGGCACATGGTCTCGCCTGATATATCGACTTCCACACTTAGGTATCAAGACAACACGAAGATGCAATCTACTGGCTTTGTGCTATTGCTGGAAATCAGAGCCGCAGGATCGCTACACATACCATGACAAAGAGGGTCTTTGTTCTCAGCACAATGCTTTCAAGCTAATCAATCACCCGTATCACAGCAAGACGCTGCGACGGGCTGGAGAACAATGACTTTGCGGCTGTAATTTGGACAGCTGTGGGACTGGCTACACTCTAGTATTTCTGGTCTGTGGGGCTGTCGAGCAAATTACCACTCATGCGAGATGTAATCGCGAGCTTGAGCTGCAGTTTTTATCCCTCTCCACATCGACAGTAGTCCAGGTACGGCCCAGCACAAGAGGCGCCTCCTCCTCCACCCATTCTTGCCACACTTCGAAGCCAGACTTCTTCCATTTGTTGATTAGACTCTCCTTGTTCGCTGGATTCTTCAGCTGGTTCGGTGCCACCACAATGGTCCCCTCGAAAGCATAGCCATTGGCCAGGTGAGGGAGAGCTGCAAAGAATGCATCCTCGGGAGCGACATCTGGTGTGTCATAGTCTGCTTCGAACCAGAAACCGTCGATGATCAGAATCCGATTCTCCTCAAGCTGAGCAGCATGTGTCCTGAGACCAGGCAACACCTTTCCCTTGTGATCGAACATGTCGATCAAGAGAGGTGGTGGTCCACGAGTCCGATTCAGCCATGTCGGACAACCATTGGAGTCAAGCACGCTCTTGTCGATCAAAACAGAAGTGATCGAGCCCACCAACTTTCTACCATCTCCCCCAACCTCCAAATACAAATCCGCGCCCACGTTCACTGTCGCTGGATTCATCAATCGATGTCGCTGAACCTCCACATTTGCTGCCAAGTTTCCCATCACGACTTCTGCCACCGGACTGACAGCTACGAGGTCGCTGCTTTCCTCGATGGCTGGCACTAGGGGCAACAAGAACCAGTCCTTCTGCCTACGAGAAGACATCATACCTCTCGTATTGTCATTCTCGTCAACAGTACCCCACAGCTCTCCTCCTCCTCGGTAGCCAGTATCACGAACTTCCAGCTCCCCTGACTGAGCGATGAATGCAACCCACTCTGGATTCTCCTGATCATCAACTCCTGTCTCAATCGTTCTTGCCGAGATCAATGACCTAGTCGCCACCCACTTGACAGAGCTTTGGATACCTCCTGGGTGGATCGGTGCAACGTACACGCCAGGCGAAGTCTCCAGTATTCCCACGTTTTTGTGCTCTCGAGACCAGCTCCTGTCGCACGCTTCCTGCCTTCTGGCATCAGGCGACTGCGCGGATATCCATCGCGAGGCCGCACTGTCCTCGAACATTGAGCTCGTCAGCGAGCTGAGGGGAGAACCCGAGTTCGATCTTGCTGCTACGGGTCTTGCACATTCAACAGCAGCCACACTATTGGCTTCGAGCGCGAATTGGTGATGCTCAAAGCGCTCCAGCTCAGCAATGGAGACATGGTCTGTAATGTCATTGAGCTTGATCTTGTCGACGCGCGTGCCATCTGGTAGCTGCACGGTGTAGGTTGGTGGTCGTTTGCGATGCCTGGTTCGCTTGAGGATACTTGCGGACTGCCGCCTCATCTCCATCTCTCCACATAATGGAATACCGTCGCCCATCCTCGGGTTGCACACTGATCCACTAGGCTGCTTGGCGCTGATCCGGCTCGTGGGGCCATTCATCACGGTGCTGGAGGCTTATTGTAGCCCAACTCGGGATTTGGAACACTACTATCAATCTCTCTGACTGTCCTTTACGCGGTTGTGAATCATCGTGAGTGAATTGCCGACACTTCGTTGCTTCGTTACTATCATTATAGATGTGGTCCGTATACGCGGACGACACCGCTAAAGGGGACATTGTATCGTTTTCTAGCAGGTGAAGAGTATCGTTGTTAATTCGACGCGTGAAGTCACTGTTCTATCCCGGATAATAGTATACTTATAGGCCAATGCGTCGTTTCTAGGTATGCGTCTCAGTAACTAGGTAGGTGGCAGTGACTCCATAACAACAACCTCCTCGTATAATGGATTAGCGAACCGCTTGAGCAGAGAGCAAAGCTTCAAGGTGGACTTCTACTTCGATACGCTCACAGTACTAGGCTGAATATAGGTAGAACTGTCAGATACGATCTAATTTAATCTATTCATTCATTCACGCGTGGGAGCGCCACTCTAGTCCCAATTGAGTTAGATTCACTTGGCTCCACACCTGCCTGTGTGCAAGCAAGTCTAATTAGCACCGCTACAACACATATATACAAATATTTGCATTCTGCGAGCAGAGTATAATTATTAGTTAGTAGTAGCAGTACTATAGAGTTGGAAGAAGTTCGATTAGAAAAAAACATTAAGTACAAGATTCGATAGCGAGAAATATGTTGCTTTCTCTATGAAGCCTCGATTTGGTGAAGGCGTTTTTATTTCTTTTTGGATAAGCTCTTGCAGAGCCAGCTTTCTCTAGAGAGAGAGAGAGAGAGAGAAAGTAGACTGTGGGACTTTATGTGAAAAGAGATCGAGATAGACAAGACAGCCTCCTATCAGCTATCCCGTACCAGCTGCTGTCTCGACCACCAGTCATTATGCGATCGCTAGATACTACATGGAGAAGATGGAGATGGAGACAGAGATTAAGATCGTAGTAGTAGATATAAGTAGACGAGGCATGAGGAGTTGGAGTTACATATGGATAGATAAGGTAAATAGCTCTGATAGTACCTGCCTTGGGTCTGTGCGTTGGCACAGCAGCGACCCGGCGGTGGAGGACAATCGGAACCTGAGAGTGTATCGGGATCGCCGCGAGTTGGATAAGGGGGGTTTCGAGAGGGAGGTTCATTTGTTGACAGGTCGCTACCGTCGTCAGAAGGGTTGCTACCGCTCTCGCCGTCGCGAAGGCTCCATGGAACTGCCCTTGCGCTGCGGAGTGGGAATAGGCCCGCTGGGGTACTAGTAGATCGGTTAGGCGACTGCTATAGTCGGTAGGGTGTAGAAGTACCGTAGTGGAGCGATCGGCGGTGGTGTCGTCGACAGTGCAAATATTACACCTGCCCGCTCCTTCCTATCAAAGGCATCCTCTACCGCCGACAAAGGGACGCCATCCCGACTCTTCCACTCCCTTCCGTTTTTGTCTAGTAAGGTAGATACACTCCCTTCAATAATCGAAACCGACGGAGTTGGGACAGGTGAATTGTCTTTCCAAGCGTTCGAACTCCCTGCCGACGAAAGACAGCGGCCACATTCATGATATGGATAGTGCGGATGTTCGAGGCAAATAGTCAGCAGAGACTCGGAGCACTCGTGACCTAGCAGGTCAGACACGCTACTTGCTAGTAGCAGTTGGTTATTCCATTGGTCTGTTCAGCAGAGTGGCTCTATACCGGCCTCATCCTCGATTCCAGCTTTAGGCGCGTGCATAAGCTCTTGCCTGCCTACCTAGGTAAGTACGAAATTCCGGACGCAATTGAATCCAAGCAAACTTACCACGGAACCCATCTCAAACAAGACCCGCGAGCAAGGTCGCACCGCCAGAAGTGGAACTGTCGACCCACTGGAACACGGTTAGGAATGTGCGGAGCCGGGGGTAAAAAGACTGGAACTCACGCTGGCGGTACTGGTGTACGTATATGTCGCTTCGAATGCTCGCATTATCGCCCTCCTTCTCGTTGGAAAGCTGTCGTATTGATTCTTGTAATGTTTGGTTCATGGGTATACCGGTTATACTGCACGTTGTGGTCTCGACGATAGATTTCCTGTCGCGCGGATCCCACTCAAGCCGCACCAACTTACACTGCGGAGAGGGAGAGTTCGGCGCTGATTGAAGGTAGTTGGTGTTATATGTTCAACTTCGTGAATATTGATGACTGTCTAGCTGTGTACTGTGAGCAAAAAAATGGGTACTGTGAGTTGCTTGAGTAGTGCTTATACTTATATGAATCTGCGCTACCCAAACAAACCGTTTGGTCAGGTTTGCTGCTGGAATGCTGAAAGCAATCCATAGCTTGTTGTGTAGGCGCGCGCGCGAGAGAGAGAGATCGGGCGCGAAGAGGACGGCTGCTTCTCGCCACACCTCCGACGTCTTCCGACACACACGCTCATCGTGAAGAGAAGTGCAGAGTCAGGAGAGATCATCTTGAAGCTTGGAAATCGGTCTGCACGCTGCCGCTCTGAGATGAGGGATGCTTATACTGCTCGTTTTGGTCAATTTGGCGAGAAGCGATCATGGCACTTGTCACGACCAGCCGATTGTGAGCGAGTGAGTTTGACTCATTTCATATTGCTCTCACCCCAATACCCACACTTCCCGTATCGAATAACTCGATCAATCCGCTCCCCAGACACTCGGCCAGGACCCATTCAAACTCCAACCCATAGAACGTCCTCCATCTCCTCGTCTGTCCTGGTAGAACTCCACTCCACTCCCCTCTCATCCTCTTTGCCCTTGACAAGGCATCACCTAGCACATTCCCATTCCACTTTTCCTCCAACAAATCCTTCGTGGCCTCACGAAACCTCGGACTGAGTTGCTTGAGCAGAAACAACAGGTGCTGTCGAGTTTCTGTTAATAACTTCAAATAAGGTCCAGTGCCGGGAAGACTGAAAGTCATGGTATCCACTTTGCGACTGGTATTGTTATGGATCCGATCGTGTTGAGTGGCGAGTGTACTGCCTCCACCCCCAGAATCGTGAATGGCTCCATACCCGCCCACAGCAGCGTACGTCCCCGTTACAGCTGTATGGCCTGCTGTTGCAATGGAGGAGCCGAGTGAGGGAGACGTAAAGGAGGTTCCTGATACTGAAGAGAGAGCGGACGGGTTTGTGAGAAAGCCAGCTTCAACCAGATTCCGAATCTCACTTTTGGCAAGTTTGGTAACAGAAACGGTTTGAGCAGTGGAGTTCGAGAGCATCAAGGAGATGTATTTCTGCTTGAGCTCATCATCTAATGTAACATCCTCTTGCAATATGCGAGCTTTCCAGTGTTCGACCAACACGACACCTTCCCCGATCGCCGTCCCGCCTTTTCCTCGACCGGGTATTGTAACCTTTCGCACCTTTCCCTCGGCTACCAGTCTAGCGAGCTCGCGTTCTGTTTCTGTGGGAGATGCACTCAAAGCATGAAGATGTGCAATGCTGACGACTGGTGGGAGGCGGGCACGAAACTGAAGAGTCTCAGCAATCTGCTTGCTGTTCAGACCTGCAGCTCTTTCGGGAATTGGCTCAAAAGCGTGATCGAGGATGTGTTGGATCATAGAGACCACGTCTTGCTTCGAAGTCGTGGCCAGACGCGGTATAATGCCGATATCTTCGAGACGGTTGTGTTCGAGCTCCTTTTCGGTAAGAGTACTGCCGCGACGCAGTCCAGGCTTCGTGCGCTGCGCTGTCGTGAAGGGGGACGAAGACTTGCGCCGGAGCAGAGGATTTGGTGCCTTGGGCATGGCCGCTGCTCAGCCTCAGCCTTGTCCTCGTAGTCGGGGTGCTCTTTTCCGTAGCCGCGGGACTGACATGGCCTCGCGTTGCCTGCTCGATGCGCCCAGCGATGCCGTGATCTCGCGGTGACTGATGGGGTGAAGGCGAGGTCGTGTACAGGAAGAGATAGGAAGTAGTTGATCTTCACATGCAAGGCGCTTGGACTTGGCAAAGGAGAAGCTCGCATCGGGTCGCGCGGCACTCCCGAAACTCGTCATCGCTGGTCAAGGAAGGACCTGTACATGTATTGAATCCTGCTACAGTGAGCGGAAGTAAGATGTTCCAAGGAGGAAGGTACAAGGAACATGCAGAGTGGACTGGCGGGACGAGAGAAGGAGGCGCTCCCCTTCTCGCGACAGTTCTACAGTTCTACAACATTCTATGCCTCTGACATGTCCACTTTGTAATCCACTCCGAGGCCCCAACGTCCAAAACCCCTGTGCGTGATCCCTGGAGGAGCGATAGGCGATTAGCAATGGCTCTCAACGCCGAGCCTGCCGACCCTTTGAAAAGCTACGCCGACGCCGCTGCTCCGGAAGAAGATCCCATCGACGCAGACACTTCCATCTTCGACGAGAGCGCCATCAAGGAAACACCTCCTCGGCCCAGATCCAGCAGAAGCGCGTCCGGCGAGCCCCGTGCATTTGGCGAAGTCCTGGACGAGGCACTCCCCTCGCCTGGCAGTCCCTCGTTGAGACATCCCAAGGGTCGACTGGAGGCGAAGTCGAATCGCGATAGTTACGCGAGCGCCACTAAAGAAAATTCGCCCGCGCCCTACGCACTGCCCAATGGGGATGGTCGCGGACTTCCCGTGAAAGAGACGGTCAGAAACTGCATCATCGGGACAAACAGCACGCGGGAGACCAGTAGAGATACCTTCGACGGCGCTGGCGAGGACGAGGCTCCCAGATCACCGACCAGAAGATCGCATAAGCGTGGCTCGTCGCGTCGTCTCAACTTTGACAGGCCCGCTTCTTCGCAATCACAGAGCGAGATGATGGGCATACAGGACGAGCAGACAGAGAGCAATGGCAAGGTGCTACCGCCGACGCCGCCTCCAGAGAACACCACTTCCATCGACCTTATTAGGAATAAGAGCGGTGAGAATCTGGCTTCCATTAAGCGTTCCGAAGACGATCAGCTCCGCATGCAGCAGTTGGAGAACAAGCCCGAGTCTGTTCAACGACCGACACGAGAACGGAGTGATAGCGAGCTCACGAGTGGACGACGAGCAGGAGAAGGCTGGGCGAAGAGTGCCATCAGATGGGCCCCTCTCAACGTACCTGCGCAGCGACGGCTACAAACAGCAGTGGTATTGATGCACACGCTGTCGATTGTCGGCAGTCTGACCATCTTCTGCTTCCTCTGTGGCATTCCGCTCCTCTGGCCCATCCTAGTACCGTACCTCCTCTACGTTCTCTTCTCGCAAGTCTCCGTGGACGGCAGTCTTGCTCTACGCTCCGACTTCTGGCGTCGCAGCAAAATCTGGTCCCTATTTGCATCATACTTTCCAGCACGGCTACACCGCAGTCAAGAACTGGAACCGACGCGAAAGTACGTCTTTGGCTACCACCCTCACGGTATCATCAGCCATGGCGCGTTCGCGGCTTTCGCAACTGAAGCTCTCGGTTTCAGCCAACTCTTTCCCGGAATAACCAACACCCTGCTCACACTGGATTCGAACTTTAGAATCCCATTGTACCGAGAGTATGCACTCCGCATGGGTCTCGCTTCTGTCAGTCGCGAAAGCTGCGAGAACATACTGTCTAAAGGCGGACCGAATAAGGAAGGCATGGGTCGCGCCATTACCATCGTAGTGGGCGGCGCACGCGAGTCTCTAGATGGCAAGCCATACACATTACGTCTCGTCCTCAAGCGGCGCAAAGGATTCGTCAAGCTGGCGATACGCTGTGGTGCTGATCTCGTCCCCACGCTGGCCTTCGGCGAAAACGACATTTATGAGCAATTCGACTCGGATAGTCATCCTTGGATCCATAAAGCTCAGATGTTTGTAAAGAAGTTGATGGGATTCACTGTAAGCAGCCTCCATCCTTCTTGTACCTGTCATGTCAGACCACTAACGATACATGTTCTGCAGGTCCCCCTCTTCCACGCCCGTGGTGTGTTCAATTACGATGTCGGGATGATGCCGTATCGACGCCCTATCAATATCGTAGTGGGAAGACCTATCGAGACGATACAAAGCAAGAATCCTGACCCCCAGTATGTGGATGAGTTGCATACCAAGTATGTAGAGGAGTTGCAGAGGATATGGGATGAATGGAAAGATACTTTTGCGAGGGATCGAAAGGAGGAGTTGGAAATCGTCGAATAGGGACAAGTGTTATGTTGCATAAGGATGCGAGAGAAACGGCCGTCATGAATGTATATGTGTAACTTGTATTATTGAGAAGGCAACACCAGAAACAGATCTCTCTTTCTCGTCCTCCCGCGGCCTCTTCTTCATGCCAAATTTAACTCCTATACGAGCGGAGCTCGCTGCTTCATCCCATTGATGTGACGCTCGCTGGGCTGCTTGCCAGAACCTCTGTCTGATGAATAACCCTGCAGACAGGCTTTGACTGCGCGAGCTGCATCGCGCTGAAATGGCCATTTTCCCCCAATCAGGCCCAAGTAAGATACGTCGTTTGTTCGTTGGTCTTCTTCATCGTGTGGACTCTTCATTGAGGGATATTGAGGCGGCAAAGCCCCCAAAGAGGGTACAGGTTACCCAAATCCTCAAACCATTTGAACATCTGAAAAGTCTGTTGTGGTGATTCATAGAGTCTGCAATTCTATGCGGTTTTTTTGTCGCTGTTGTTGTTGGTGTTGAAGCAGATGTGTAAGGATTGCAAGCAATCTCATGTTCGGCGATTTGATGTCGCCCTTCGTGTCCTGTTGGAACTGTGGCTGTCCAGGCCACGATCAAGCTTGAGAAGCGATATGTGGTAAGCATGGCTAGGATCTCAAAGACTATCCGACTTCAAGAAGGTTGATCAGGCAACGGGCAGGTGGATACGTAGCACCTGGAAGATGTGGTAGGCAAGAATTGCGTCGAGAACTCGTCCTGTGCCCTCTTTCGTAGGCGTAATTCGCACTTTGATTCAAGCATCCAGGTCAGCGTGAATATGCGGGAGTCGCTGACGTTGCTAGATTCTGAGTCGTGTCCTCGTAAGACGGCGCCTCTTCATATATTGGCAACTGGTCTTCCTCTTCATCATGCGCCACTATTCTGGATGGCCCCGCAATGACTTGCTGCGGCTGCAAATCGTGTGGGGCAGGTACAACAATCACTGGACAGTCTTTGACTAGCTTGATACTCTTCTTCGCAACAGTAAATTGCATCGTGATCTTCAGAGTGTAAGTTCGGGAGAGCTTCGGATGACTGAAAGAGCTTGTATGCCTCCGAATCCGGTTCGTCGAGATGGTCGTGGAATAGTCGTTCGTCTTCGAAAAGCTGATGGGCAACTTGGCTTGGCAGACCATATCCTGAACAGTAGTCCTGCTGTAGCTGACGGGAGGCCCTATCAAGCGCTGGCTGCCATCCACAAGTGTGATTCCCTTGAGCTCTGCCCTGAAACTATCGAGCGTGATGGCGGGTACGGCCGGTGCTGTCGTTTCGCTGTCATCGCGTCTCAGCGTAATGTCGAATTTCATCTGCTGGCCATGATAGATGCGTCGCTGGTCTGTGCAGAAGATGTCCAAGACGAAGGTAGGGAACTGCTCGTTGGGAGTGAAGATTGCCTTTGCTTTGCCTTTGAATCCTGTTGGCTGCTGCTCGTCCGGCAACAGATGCTGGTTTTGAATCCTTGTTCGAAGCTTGAATGTGCTACGATTTTGGACTATAGAAGCCATGGAAGCTCTGGCAATCTCGTACTGGACAGTAGCTTGAGATTCTAGGGGCGGCATGATGGTCTCGATAGCAATGCCCGGCATCTCGACTGTGATTCCCAGACGATACTGCACGGCGACATCGACGACGTCGGGCACATCAGAGAAGAGCACTGCAAACGACGGGGGCAATACATCTTCTGACTGGGGAAACTTGGCAGAGAACGGGTATGTATATTCTTTGCCCACTTCAGGTTCGAATGATCCTCTGTAGACTTTAAACTTCTGCGCAAAGAGAGCCACGTCGTGGACTGTAGGCAGCGCGTGTGATCGTTCTCTTCGGATGCGAATCCTGATGCGTCCGCTCAGGATGACATCTAGTCTCAAGGGGCCAAAGAGTGCGGCTGTTGGGACATTTTTCTTAAAAACGCTCGAATACGGTCGGTAGACCAACGTAATCAGGCCAGCAACTGCGTCGCCCGGACCGTAATAGGTTTCATTGAGTCCATCGCCCTGGATTTTGGCCTGTAGTTTTCCCAGTTTTGACATGGTGAAGCCTCGTGTACTTGGCAAAGTCCGATCTACCCCGATCAAGTACAGTAGATGTGGTGAGGGTGCTCAGACAAGCACTTCACTTTCAGCAAATCCGTGAGAGATTAGTCGTGGCATACCCTCCTCATATTGGTCATTCCGGGAGACTGCAAAATACATCATTGTCCTGCCCGGGCAGCAGTTGTCTCGTGACAGCTTATCGCAAGGCAGATCTCTGTAGCAGGTAGATACATGTACATGTAGGTGGCGAGCGGGGTCTCAGTAGTCCTTCCGATGACATATCACCTTACATGTACTTGGCAGCCTCCAGTCTCCATTCTGTGGCGTTTGAATTGCTCCGAATACATGATAGTTGACGGGAAGATGAAGGATGAAACCTGGAACTGGGAACAAGATCAATTGGGCCTTCACTGCTGTCGCATACCAGGCCGCATTCTTGGCGCGAAGAAGGCTTCATCTGGACAGTTGGCTACATGTACGCTTCCACTGACGATGACAGTCTTCCGCACCAAATCCGTATTAGCATGAGAGATAGACTGCTTTCCGTGGAGAAATTGGCACGCATTGTCGCGGTGAATCAGATCATGTTGGCGCTGGCTGTTTTTGGAGAGACAATGTTATACCACAAAGGCACCTGGTACACAGTTGAGAATACCTAGTGCGGCCTGAGGTTTTAGCATGAGAAAGAGGTCCGTGTCCGTCGAGGTATCCACTTTTCTTCCTTCTGTCGGATGCGTTCTCCTTCCCTCTTCCACCCTCCATCCATCCCCCTCACCACTACGACCATGACCATACCCTTCACCATCATCACCACAATGACCGATGAATTCGTTTCTGTTGAACCGTCAGCTGGGGTCAATCGCTCCAGAAGTGCTCGTCCGAGCCCAACATGACCGGCTTCTGAAGGCACTCCAGCCGGCCTCACATATCCGCTTCGCTCTCCAGCCTCCAGCGCAGACACCTCGAAATCATGCTCCTAGGACTGTCGATCTTGCACATGCCGCCGGTGTGAATAGTATAGCCGTCGACAGGTTCGAAGGTCGATACTTGATCTCTGGCGGCGCTGACTCTTCTCTCGCCATATGGGATCTTGAGGCGGCAGAGACATATACTGGAGAGGCTGTCACGCATTTGCCGTTGACGGTATCTGCCAGAACGTCCATCACTCAAAGCCTAGGGATCACTCATGTATCTTTTTATCCTTTCGACTCTCTTGCTCTTCTCACCACTGGCTATGATCACACGTTGAAGCTGTTCTCGTCGGAAACATTGGAAACATCGACCTCGTTCGACCTTGGGTCCATAGTGTATTCTCATGCTACCTCTCACATCGCTTCCCACTTGCTTGTGGCATGCGCATCCCAACATCCAGCTGTGCGTCTGGTTGATCTTCGCTCGGGCTCTGCTACACACTCTTTGGCCGGTCACTCAGGCGCTGTGCTGTCAGTTTCCTGGCACCCCAAGCAAGAGAACATTCTCGCAAGTGGTGGTACAGATGGAGTGGTGCGTCTATGGGATGTCCGGAAATCTGCAAGCAGCCTTGGAGTCCTGGACATGGAAGACAATATCGGAATTGCGGGCTACGATGGACTAGGAACGGGCTCTCGGAGGCGTGAAAAGGGTCGTGCTCACAACGGCGCTACTAATGGACTTGTCTGGTCTGATGATGGACGTTTTCTGGTTACAACTGGTCACGATGAGCGTGTGAGAGTGTGGAATATGGATACTGGTGCCAATACACTAGCAAATTTTGGGCCTGGATTGAAGAATGCCACTACCACAACCTCGCTGCCATTGCTGGCTCCTAGTCACCTTTCAGCAACAGGCAGAGAGACAGTCTTTTACCCCAATCCCAAAGAGATTATGGCGTTTGACATGCACAATGGGTCACTACAGAATCGCCTTCGGATACGAAGCTCGGCACCGCACAACGAGGTCAGTGTTAGCAATCCTAAGAACAGAACGACATCTCTCGCATGGCGCGCTCATCATGTCGAGATGTACTCTGCACATGGAGATGGCACGATCCGATGCTGGAAACCGCAGACTGCAGAAGATCTGGCTGCTGACCAGGAAACGAGAGAGGACGAGCACAGTGGAGCTGGCTCGATGGCGGATCGCAAACGAAAACGCGATGCGTTTGAACAGATCGTGGCGGATTTGACAACCAAGAAGATCACCTTTTCATGAGCAGAGGTCAAGCGTCCCGCCGCGACTTCTGAGTCCAACGAGCTCGTCCGCCCGCAGCGTGGCCGTGGAACATGGCTATATTGACCATGTCGCGGCGGCCATGGTGAACACCTTGCCTGTTTGGCCGCGGGCGTTCCGTGCTCACAGTCATCCTGCGCCAGAGGCGGACGAGAGGCCTGGCTAAGCGTCATTAGACTCTATCCTGCCAGCTCTGGTGGAGAAGTTGGTGACAGCTGACCATGGCGCGCTAGGATGAAGTGGAGCTCGTGAATGAATTCTCCTCTTGCGGTTCATCCTATCCTAGAAGGCCTTTCCACCTTGGGATTGTGAGCACTTCCCGGATAGAGCCTATTTTGCACATGAACTAATCGGAAAGGATGACATTCCAGGTCTTGCAACAAATCAACGGTTTTGGATTGATGGAACTGCAGCTTAAGGGTCTTCAGATCGACGGAACTGCAGCTAAGGGGTCCTCAGATCGACTCGAGACCCTGAGATGTGGAGTGCTATGTGCTCGGCTGCTACTAGTAGCCGCGAATATTTACATGGTATGCTCTCCGTTACTCATTCGTGCAGCGTGCTATCTCAATCAGCGAAAGGTGGGTCGCTAGATGTGTAGGGGGATCGAGTGTATACGATATACGCCGTAGTGCACCTAGGAAGATTTTCCTATAGAACAACATGTTTCGACGCCTGAATACAGGTATCTAGACACACGCTGTCGCGTCGGGAGTAGCGTGCCTGTTGGAATCCTACCTAGTACTAGCCTACTAGGTAGGTACCGAGTTATCTTGGCAATTACCTTATTGAAACGGCAAAACAAGTATACTAGAACTACTCGCAAGATTTAGTGCTCTGGGCGCTTTTGTTCTTTTATGTTTTCTACTACCTATACTACCTTATTAAGTATAGAGCTTAGAGTATAGAAACTTAGTAATACTAAGTCTAAATTCTATTAGTAATTGTAGTATATACTTGCTGTAATATATATATGTATATATATATAGAGGTATATATATATTATAGAACCAAAAATAGAAGCAAGTATAGAAGAAAATATAGAAGCAAATATAGGCAAAATACTATAGATATCTATAGATAGGATATATTTACTATATTTAGAGATAAGTAGAGTCTAAATATAGACACTATTTCGTATCTCTTATCAAGATAATAGATATCAGTGTATTGCTTACATACTATACGAGAATCATTAATCCCCTACCTCCATAGTAGTGGTCTGTGTAATAGCGTTTCCGCATTTATATCCGGTGCTGGAATACGGGCCGAGGATAATGCGGCAGCCTACCGACTAGCGCGACGAGGTCTATACCACCCAGCGCACATTCATTCTCTTACGTACGGTGAAGGGTCCGACGGACAGCATACCCGAGCAGCGGGATACGATAGCCCATACCTGACGCATCAAGGGAGAACGATAGGCGAGAGCTCGGAAGCTGTGCGGCTATGGCACGACATTGTGCATGCTATACTTCTAGGAATCCATGATCCCAAGAGCCATGTGGTGGTAACGGTAGTGGTCGTTGTCGGTCTTACGCCCTCACGCAATATGAACATGCAATGCTCACGAGGTGCTCTTCTGGACGCTCACTGGCACCAGAGCGCGAGTGGTCTAGGTATGCTGGCTCGGTCTGGGATTGGGGGGGCCCTCTCTGGCATTGGGAGGTGATCCCTATCTGGGAGTCTTATGTCCAGCATGTGGTAAACCCCCTCCCCCAAACGGAAAGTATTAAGTACCCGTCATTGGTATGACTGAGAGAGAAAAAGAGAAGGAAAAAAAAAGCAACTCATCCGAACCTTTTCCCCCTCCAAAAAAAAGCAAGGCTCAAACAAAACTCTTTGCGAAAACAACATTGAAGCAACTTCGGGAAAATGCCTAGCCGTATACTGGATTATCATCACGACGACGAGGACTCCTTGTCTTCGTCTTCTTCTTCTACTACTGCTGCTGCTTCTTCATCTCCGGCTGTCAAGGACAACATCCCGCTCTCGGAATGGGAACCACTCCAACATCCATGTGTGGACGAGGTATCCCACGAAGTCGACCAATACTTTCTCCGACACTGGAATTTTCCCGGTGAGAAGGCCCGAAAGAACTTTTTGGCCGCCGACTTCTCAGGCGTGACGTGTCTGTACTTTCCACTGGCGAGAAACGATCGGATTCACGCGGCCTGCCGTCTGCTCACGATACTCTTCTTGATCGATGGTAAGACTCTTCTTCTACACTTGTAGCAAGCAAGAATTGTGGTCGCTGATGTCTCTGCTTTTTCAAAGATGAGTTAGAAGAAATGTCTCTCGAGGACGGTGAGGCATATAATGCACGTCTGATGCCCATTGCCCGCGGTCACATGTTGCCTAATCGTGAGCTTTATCCGTGTACCTTTGCTCCCTGTAGCTCATTTAGGGCTCACACCCACATTCTTAGGCAACGATCCCGCAGAGTGGATATTTTACGACCTGTGGGAAGATATGCGAGCTTGCGATCCAGATCTCGCCGATGAAGTGCTAGAACCCACATTCACCTTCATGAGAGCTCAGACCGATAGCATTCGACTCCGAATGTCTGAGCTGGGGCGGTACCTGGAGTATAGAGAGAAGGATGTCGGTAAAGCGTAATTCCTCCCCTTCACCCCACCTAGACAAGAGAGTGGGCCTTTTGTGAACAACACAAGATACTGACCATTGCACAGGCTACTGTCTGCTCTGATGCGGTTCGTGATGGGTTTGCACCTCCTCCCATCCGAGTCAATAGCGATGGAGTCCCTAGAGCAAAATTGCGCCAAGCACATTTCCATCGTTAACGACATTTACAGCTGGGAGAAGGAGCTCAAAGCTTCCAAGACGGGCCATGTAGAAGGGTCATCGCTGTGTTCAGGCGTCCTCGTTCTCGCAGAGTGCTCTGGACTGAATATTGCTGCCGCGAAAAGGGTGTTGTGGGCTATGACAAGAGAGTGGGAAATGATACACGATCAAATGGTTGCTCACCAAATGGCGAATGGCTGCAGCGAGGCGGTCGCTTTATATATGAAGGGGATCGAGTATCAGATGAGTGGCAACGAGCTCTGGAGCAAGACTACTCTTCGGTACAAGGTCTAGACGACTTCGAACCGGTGTGCTTCACATTTCTTGGACCAGGTTACTGTCACGGTCCAGTCAGGATAGTCCGCTTAGTCTACAGCTTCAACTCCATTCCATTTTCCCAAAATGGCACACGCCCCATCTATTCTACGTGTAAATGCCGTGCGGTGTAGCAAATCACCTCATTCTGAGAGTCGGAGAGGTGGATGTTGAAAGGGCCTGTGTCTCACGTGCAAGGCTCACATGATTCACAAGCTGGTGCTTGCGTGCGCGCCATTCGCATACAACAGCAGAAAATTGCGTGCGCATATCCCCTGGTATACCCACAAATTCTTATCTCGCCAACATGTAAAAGTTTTGGGTTCGTCGGTGAAGTAAGAGATGAGGTAAGACGTTGGGTGAATGTTGTGTGAAGAAGATTTAAGCTTCCGGGATTTGCAAGGATTCCGCCTCCCGCACAGACCATGTCGGATATCTGGTGTATATAAGCCTTCCATTGTAAGCCTCAAAAAGTCTAGAAGATCAACCGCAGATCTTACAGATCATACCTGCCCGGTGCAGCAATTTTTTTTTTTTTAGTTTACGGAGGCGCTTTGATGAGGCTTCTAGAACACCTGATGTCCATAGGTTTGTGTAATCGGGCTATCGTGAACGCTTACGCCGGACATCTCCCCGGCCCCGTGGACGAATGGGACTTGATGGACGGACCCTGGGCCGCTCTGAAGAAGGAGTTCGCTCGCATAGCACGCTTTTCTGCCAATGCGCGTGACCTTGATGATGTGAGGTAGAGGATGCTGGCCTTGCAAGACCCAGCGATTATTGCCGATGAAGTTACCCAGTCCGGCAGTCACGGTAAGGTAGTCTTTCAATGATATGCACTGACGATGTTGTCCCTCTATTGCGCTTGTGGCTTCCTGGCCTGGTCTTACCGCCTGGAAGTGATAGCCGGCTTCACCCCTGCCCCGTCCTCTGAGACCTCAGTTGGCGAGTTGCGGTAGGTCCGTTCTTTCACAGGTATGGCTCCACATGGACTGTCCTCTGCTTCGATCCAGTTATGAGGCCATCGAAAGGATGCCGGTATTTGGCCATCAGCCCTATGTGGATAAACAGTGCGGTGGCTGTGTCTTTTGCTGAGGCCATTACTCCAATTGCATCGGCAGCGAGCGTAGCCGACCGCTACACGTCCAAACAAAGAAAGTTCCCACCCTGGCGTTCTTTGCCAAAGCACTGATCAGGGAAGCACATGTCGTCCGAGACATTATCGTACGCGACGAAGGATGTGTGAAGGCGAGGCTGCACATGACTCTCTGCATACAGCATGCTTGCCTTCGACCTGCTTGGTGTGAGGCGTTTGGACAATACTTGCGGAGCATCGAATACGAAAAGCGGCCCTTTGGGTTCAATGTGCCTACAAGACACCTCGAGACCATTATGAACAACTTTCAGAGGTATCCACTGCTGTTATGCTGCATTGGAAAATTCGTCGCTCTTTTCACGTTCGGACTGCGGCATAAGCAGCAACTCTCTGCCATTGTGGAGAAGTCAGTCCTTGCCTCGGAACCGCGTGTTTGAGATTTTCACAGGTCCGACAGAACTTCATGGCGAGTGAAAGGTAAGGTCGATTTCGGAGCTGCCTCCTATTCGTCTGCCTTGGTGTATATCCAGTGTTTTGAAGTGTCAACACCTCAATTGACGTGCTGACCGACAACAAAGGCTTGGCGGTGGAGAAACCATGGCCAGCAACGTTTTGCCTTTTTGCACTAGCCGGAATGCTCAGGTAAGAATGCAGGGCCTAATACGAGGCGCATTCAACTCCATTACCGAGAGAAGTTTTCCGAAGCTTCTCACGAGGCTCTTGGGGTTTCCTAGGGCTGGCCCCAGGCATCGTTAGCGGAGATGGAAAGTGGACTGAGCTACCTTACCCAAATCGGCATGTCATCGGTCATGGTCTGCACGTACCTCCTATCATTCCACTGACCCGGCAGACCTAAATCCAACCAGAATGTGCACGGCAACCCGTTGTTTCCACGGACCCTGAGCATATCTACCTTCCCGAGCAGTGGTTGGATGCCAAGAGTCCATAGACCACACAGGCGTAGATCAGCCGTTCGCTTCTCAGTCCACCGTGCGGTGTTCGTCTCAAGCGACCAATCCAATTGAAAATCAAGACGGACCCTTAGGTCAAGCTTACGGTGTAGTTGTTTGATGGATTGATTGACCAGGATGATATTGCCGCCTCTGGCATGGTTGACTGAGTCATGTCGCCGCGCGGTGATGGGATGTCTGCTGTCTCTGCAAGGTGTGCATCTGTTCCAGACTTCCAGTCCTGGCCGGTAGGGGCATAAATGCGTCAATGACTTCTGGAGGAGGCCGTTGCGGTCGCACTGAGTCGCTATCGCACCAAGCGCAATTTCTTGAAGTTGTCTTCTCGGCTGTCGCGATCTCTGCTGTCTTTTTCTTCTCCTTGTTCTCAGCAGAGTCACTCCGTCGACATCTTGAAGAGAGACCGCTAGTGCTGTCGTTGACTCTCATTGTTGTTCGTTTGTCGAATGTGTTCAAAAATAGCGCAGTTTTGCTTGCGGAGCCGGGAGGAGCTTCCGAGTTCGGACGGTTACTAAGGGGTTCCTTACGAAATAGTAGAAATACTTCTTCCTATTTAGTAATGTTTTGCTATCGTGACCACTAGACTTACTAAGGTAATAAAATTCTAGTTTTAATATAACTAGCCTATAGGTTTGCCTGTTAGTAGTATAGAAAATCGGCTAACTACTATCTCTATCTCTATTTCTTATCTCTATCTCTATCCCTTAGTTTTATATCTTCTATATCTTGTCTTTGATACTTTCTTCTTACTTTTACAAATTTTAGATAAGATAGATAGAGGTAGCTAGTTTTTTTAAAGACAGTATATATTTAAACAATATGTTCTACTACTAGAGATAGTACTAATTAGAATATATACTCTCTAGAATCTCTAGTCTACTATATATATATATATATTAGTACTTTACTCTTCTCTTCTCTTAATATATACTTTACTTTAGAAGAGAAGAAGGTTATTCTCTACTAAACATAAGAAAAACAACTAAGTAGATAGATAATTCGATACTAGATTCTATAAAAATTTCTTAAGAATTAAGAATTTAAGACTAAGGCTTAAGTTATCCTAAAATTAGGAGCTCTATACATTTATACTTAGCTAAAGTTATTATGCTATATACTATAGTCTAAAGCAAAGAATCTATACTACTTTTGTAACTTACAAGCTTACCTTCTTTGTATCGTATTAAGTATGCTATTCTGATCAAAACAGGTCTAGACATTTTCTAAGGTTACGTAGCAAGTAAAGTGCTCTAGCCTCTATTGGAGCTAGAAGCCTTATCTAGTGTCCTTGACAAAATGTACCTCTTCGTGTAAGAGACAGGATGTCCGGCGACAAAACGTTACCCGGTACTCAGGGGCATACCTCTCTAACTCTCGATTGCCGCATAGTTATAGGTAATATAGCTAGGCTTGGACGAGCTCTGGGATCGAACAGTGATTGGCGAGCAACATAATGTATTCCGGGAAATATCATCCGCTTATTCGAAGCAGCATCGACTGCTATCGGTATAGTTGAGAAACCGAGCCGAGATGCGCACTGAGGTTGCCTGTGTTCCTACCTTGGGAAGAGAAGAGTAGATAGCTCTACAGGTGCCTCAGAAGAGAAGCGTAGGAGTGCTAACACCCATAGATGACTGCAATAGCACAAAGCCAATACCTCCGCCTTCAGCCCAAATTGACCGCATATCTGGTCTTGCTCTCTTTTACTGGAGCAGGTTCATTTTCTTCCTCTGATTCTATTCTATTTCTTCTACAATCAAGGACTCATTTTCCAAGTCGCACTGCCATTGCGAACGGATTGTGTTCGGCCAAAGTCCATCCCGAGATATCGATCAGCGCATATGAGCGCTGGAGAGAGTCGGCTGGCATTACCTCCTAAGTACAAAGTGACAATAGTTAGGTAACTTTGTACTACTCCGCGTCCTCCTAAACGACATGGGCATGACGGAAATTCCCAGGTCGAAGCTATGCGTGCCCTGGACAAGGAGGACATGTGATGCCACGCGGGACGGTGGCTAATAATGGTGCTGCTGGCCAGTGCAAGCCCTCAAAGTGTCGTGGCCTCCACTAAAGATGACAATGGGACCTACATAGGTGGGTACATGGACCATTCTCGGCCGTGTCGTCCGTGTGGAACAGGAAATGGCAGGAATAGTTCTTGGCGACAGAGTTGCACTGCAGACTTCTCGTATTCCGCCATCAGCGCCGGCATGTAATTACCTCATGCTCTCGTACGGTCTGACCTGCGAATTGGATCTTACGGGAAGGGAAATCTTCCCATGCAAACGGTATGCCAATGAACTTTCAGTCCTCGGTGCGATAATGGCCTTCGTCGTCCCACATGACCTGAGCGTCATGATAGCCATGTTGCGGGTGCAGCAGTCGAAGCTCATTTCGCATGTCTTGGAGTGTTGGCAGTCCATTCGTTTGATTCTGAAGAAAGTCAGCCAGCTCCTACCTCCCAGGACCACTTCGCAACTACACTATGCGGGATGCCGGCCGGTCCTAGCCAATCTCTGCGCAAATAGGAGAGCCTAAGAGGTATGGAAAGTTAGACGTTGGAACGAAAGGCCCAAACATGGCTGATAAGCCGACATGACGGCCCTGTGTGACGCCAGGCCCATCATGATTTTAGCGCTAGGTCTTCGCTCTGGACTGGTACTCGTTGCCGCTGTCAGGCTCGGGATAGCGGAACGCCAAAGCGGTGCTGGATTGAATGTTTGCGCGTGTTCCTAGCCTGGTCGAGGAAAAGTGACCTTACTCTTTCCTCCTTCAACTCTCTGCGTAATTTACAAGGCATACAGCTCATCTTTCGAGTGGCTGCGGCTCGCTGTAACGAATGGCGCGCATCAGACTGCAAAGACGAAATGGCAGCCTTGTGCATGTACGCGCGCGCCCAATTGGAAGGAGCGCTGGCGCTCTTGCGTTGACCTCAACGTATTACACGTCGTTGAAGAGGGCGTAAACTAAGGTATGTGCAACTCTCTACATTTTGCACAGCTGAGGTATCATATCGTATTATATCCACACCACCTCGCACCGTTCCAATTACGCGTCCGACTCTTCCCAAGCCAACGGTACGAAAGCCACACATATCGCCTCTTTCATGTACAATTCTACAACACGGCGAAGAGACCAGCAGCACCCAGACCCATACCAAGCACCTTCTGGGCCATGTGGGTGGGCGCGGCGGCGGCAGCAGAGGAAGCAGCGGTGGAGGCCATGCTGGCGGCGGAGCCCATAGCAGAGGAGACACTGGTTGGGGCGGAGGTCATCGACATGGTGGCGCTCTCGGTGGTAGTTCCAGTGGCAACTGCAGTGGTCGAGGTTGCAGTGCCCGTAGCGACGCAAGTGGCAGCGGTGGGGAGAGTGGTGACGCCGTAAGACCCGCAGAGAGTGTCTGCGAATTTAATGACCGCTGCGAATACTGGTGAGCAAGTGCCGAGGTCGTCTCCATCCTTACAGCCATGCTACAAACCTGCTGTGCCCTCTTCGTCACATTGCAGCGAAACGCAGCACGATAGCTTCTCGAGGAGGGGGTTGTTCGAGCAGATGCACTTGACGTCGATCTGGTTGCATCCACCGTAGTCTGTGATACAAGATTGCGCGCAAGCTAGTAGTCTCCAGTGTCAGCTGTGCTTCTTCTGCGAGGACGAGCTGTGGCTACGAACATGGAAGACCTGGGATCTGGGCCAGGACGGCGCTCGCGAAGAGCGCGATGGCTGCGAACTTGTACATGCTGGGTTTGATCGGGTGGACCTTCAAGGTGTAGGAGAGCGATGCGTGTCTGCTGTCGGAGGAGCGCTAGATTGTTATAGGGCCTGTCAGGGAGCTCCAGGAGATTGCCGGCAATGTATAGGAGAATTAGGAGAAATAGTAGTAGCTTGTACGAAGTCTGCGCGCAGCGCGAGGCAGGGAGGGGGGGCTACAACTGTGTCTTATATCCTCGTCGCTGACACCTCACCATGAACACACGGCCGCGCGCTCCCGGAGGGACTACTCGAGTGTGTAGCGAGGTGGCCTGGTCGGCGTGAAAGCTTCGCAGAGCATAATAGGTGAAGGTGTTCTGGATAAGTACAAGGACAAGCGAGCTAGACAGGTCGTGATTGGTCCCACGTCCTTAAGTCAGTAGTGCTAGGTATTTATTGACTTCGCACTCTCGTTTCACATATTGGCAACCTACGGTATTGTACTTCGACTCTCCCGAATGCATCACACACCAGCTTGTGCCTGTTTGCGCTGCATGCTAAGCTAATAAGGTGGCTCTATACCACACTCATGGCCACCAGGATCTTCTTATCGCCATCAACGCGCGCTGGCCACGGCTACTGTGGTGGAATGTCGCGCCCAGTGTTCTAGTTTTACTTCTACCCCAGCCAACCGCTCAGCGCTACTGCCAGAGTGTTTAATTGCGCTGGTCAGGCCGGCAAGTCTTCGACTTCGAGAGCATCCGCCATCCGGATAGAACCAGGCGACGACGCCCGCCGAGCACCCACCACCCGTCCACTTCACAGGGAGAAGGATGAACACTCCAGCAACATGGAGTGAACCTCTAGTCATTGAAGTCCGCCATCCGCGCAAATGCCCGACACAGCTGACACAGCCTGCTTCTGCCGACTACAGGTATTTACCATACCTACATTAAGATGCAGTAGCTCAGGCAGGCGCATGTGAGACGCTGTATGTTAACACCGGAACTTCGGGTGCACATCAGAACGAGTGCAAATAGCGATACCAGCAACGCATTTCTTTCGAAACCCGCCGTCACCCGCGAACTGCAGGACTTGGCAATGCTTCTGAACTGCAGGACGATTCCAATACCACTGCCTGTGCAGGACAAGAGCTGGGTAAGTTTGGTCGACCAATATCAGCCTCTAAGAAGCGGAAGCTATGCAACGATCCATTCGTAGCTGTGCGGCAGAATAGCTCGAGTAAGCCACGATGTTGCCATTCCCAAGCCCATCGAGAGACTTGGCGACCACGGTGCTGGTTATGCCATGATCTCCTGTTGAGCTCTATGCTCGGCTTGACAAGACAACTAAGGCCATTTGGCATTCGGCAATACATACCTACCAATGGATTGGAGCGAGAAACGGAGCTTGCAGCAATGTGAAAGATATCAGAACACTTTTGAACACCGAAGAGGAGGGCTAAAGACTTCGTGGGACGAACATCCGGCAGAACAGAGAGGCTCGGTACAAATCAACTGCTTATTGACATATGAAGGCGCGTCGAGCAAGCCTAGTTGGTGTCGACGGAGAGGCAGGATCCATTGCTCAACAGACAGCGAACGGCACTTTGTATGAGAGCAATAAGTAAAAGCCGTACCGAAGCCGCTCTGCCAATATCCTGCCAATATTCTGTCATTGCACAAGTGGCAGCTAAGGTAGTTCACGCCAGAGACGTAAGCTCTCTCAAGGCTGTCGACATGAAAGGCGAAGTTCGAAGAGAAATAGATTACGTGAAGGATACCGCCACTTGGTTCTGGGTGGGAATCTGGGGAAAGCGGTAGGGTCAGCGTCTTGGCGCATCGGAGGGTACAACGGCAGAAGCGGGCTATTACCTTGGGGCTTACGATTATGCCAGCATTCTGGCTCGTTTTACCATCCGAAGCATAAGGATGCCGCGAAACTGGTATTTCTCCACAGTGGTGGTGGTGCTCAAGTGATTGGTTGGAGAATTGAAGCTGCCATTGGACAGGTCTTACATGCCCTTTGAACTGGCTGAAATGGAAGAACGAGATACGAATCTCAACACTGACGAGGCAATACTTTGTCTATGTAGACCATGCGTCTTGACGACATATTATTCGTGAGAAAAGCGTGGTGCCGGGATGTTGGCATGAAACGTGGCCCATGCATTTGCCTGCATAAAAACACCGGCCCAAGATAATGCTTTTGTGACTTTATAGAAGTATAAGCTCGACCATGTTGAAGCAACTCCACTCACCAACTCCCCCTCCCGGTCCTCCCCTTCGCCCTCTCTTTCAGTTCTGACACAACATGCCCGGCACGTCATGTTCTCCATTTTGGACGCTGCCAATGGAGGTTTTAGCAGCAGCAGGCCCAGGACAGCGGCAGACCGCGCTTGCGACCAGTGCAAGAGTCGAAAAGTCAGATGTGCAGTGCAGGAGCCGAAAAGTCAGAAGCCCTGCTTGACTTGCGCGGCCAAAGGAGTCACGTGCACTTATGACAAGGCGAGGAAGAAGCGCGGTCCAGTTGGCAAACGCATCGAGGAGATTCGGCTTCATCAAAAAGGCCTGGCAACTGCTGGGGAACGCCAAGGCCCTTTGCATAGCCCAACCGCGAGCAGCGGCCCACGTGTTTCTGCTGCACCAGCAGTCCGTAACGCAGCATCGGAGGACCACAGGGAGCGGACGCCGACGTGGCCACTGTCACCATCTCCCCCAAGTGTCGTCGAGGCCTCTCCAGGTACCCATGCGGAAATGGACTATACACAGCAGCGCTCCCGACAGGCGGCGCAGCATCCTGAAGATAGAGGGTCATCTGAGCAGCCGCTCCGCGAATCGAGCTACGAGGACCTGATGGCAAACACAAGCACATTTCAAGTTGCGAGTCTACCAAATGCGTCTCCTGCTCCCACTGGCAACCCATTTGTCGCAATTCGGGAGCTGGATCTACCCCCCTTGACAGCAGCAGCCGATATCTGGCCCGTGAAAGTGAACGAGACAACCCTTCTGCCATGGATCGATGTCTACTTTACAAGATTACATCCGACAATTCCGATATTGAATAGAACGAGCATCTACTCCAACATGCTGTTGCGCAAGCATCGCACGGATCCCCAGTATGGTGCTATGCTGCTGGGTCTCTGTGCCTTTGCTATGACACAACCCGTTCAGACACATGAGCATGCTTCCCTGACATCACGAATAGAACAGGGGCGCCTGTTACTGGACGAGTGCGTCAAGATGCGTGTTTCAGCAGATTTTGGAGAGAATCCCACAGTGGAGATGGTTCTGACCAGCTTCTTCTTGTTCGCGTGTCTTTTCGGCAGTAGTCAGCACAAGGCGGCTCGACATCGATTGCGAGAAGCAGTGGATCTGGCTCACTCGCTCGGACTTCACCTGCCCGATTCTTACGTGGGGCTGTCCTCAGAGGTCAAAGAACAATGGCTACGCACGTACTTGGTCTTATCCGTCACTGAACGCGCTTACGCTCTACAACGGTACCATCCCATCAGTTTTCGCGGGCAACCCGGTATCACTGTCCGTTTCATGCAGGCCTTTGACCCACTCGTGACCAGCGAGTACATATCCTCTCTCATATACCAGGACCAGTCCGACTCGGTGGGTATGACGGGGCTGCTGTACCTCATGGACACACTCGATGCTATCAATGAGAGCGTCATGGACTGTTGGAATGGATTTTGTCGATATAGTGATGGCAACTGCGAAGACTTCGATCGACGCAAAGCTATGCAAATGTTTCGAGCGCAGAGACGGGTCCGTGAAGCTTCCATCTCTGGCAACATCTCCTTTGCTCCTTCCGTCACACCACTGCCACTTGCGCAGCTCTTTGAAAGCCAACAAGCCGATATTTCCGTGACACAGTTCTGGACATTAAATCGGCTGTGGACTCTCTGTCTATCCCATCAGCTATTGCGGGAGCAGTCGGATCATTGTGAGTTGCGAGTCGACTTTGCTTGTCACGTTGCGCATGCGGCACTGCGCTATTGTGAAACGCTGGAGTTGGCATCGATGGAAATCCATGGTGTCGGGTTCATTTCCAAGATGTTTGACATGGCCATGGGAGTCATTGTAGCCATGAATACTTCTGCCAGCATAGATCTGGACTCGGCGATATCGCCCATCGATGGCGACGCAATCCCCAGTACTCTGGATAGCACTGGATCTGAATTCACAGTCAGGGCATTACTCAAAGGTCTCCACAACCTCATATGCCGGGACTTTCGAGGCGGGGATCACGTGTACAATGCACGACTTGCAGCGGCTCTCGAAGGCTTGGAAAGAGGTTGATCGCATCATGTCAAAACGACAAGGATAATAATCTTCTGATGTGTGCACGGAGCACTTGCCGTTCCATGACTACAGAGTATAGTACAACGACGCCTTCTGCAGCGAAGCGTCAATTTTCCCAGCTCCAGCAGCTGCCGGAGCAAACTGATCCAAGCTCAACTTCGCTGCGACAGCCAAGCTAAAACTCTCGTGATCTCCCTTGAGCAGATCGATGGTGGCCTTGATCAGACTTGTCAACTCCGCGGCATCGAACAAGGGCTTCTTGCCTTCAATGATGGTTACGCCAGCTGGAATGCTGACACCGACACTGTCCTGAACGTTATCTGCGATGACTTTGGACTCGGCAGAAGTGAATGGGGGAGCCGCTTTCGCATCTCGGAAGCCTTTTCGGTTGATATCGTGGATGGCCAGAGCGGCAGCGAAGATCGGACTGGCTTCTTGTATACCGCCCTGATAGGCAGTGACGACTGCTGTGAGGTTGCGGACTGCGATGTCGATGCCCGTAATGTCGTTGTTTACATCTTCAGCGGAAGCTCGTTTTTGTATTGTGCCGGCCCATGTGAGCGAGGCCAGACTGAGGAGGCCGAGGAAGCGCATGTTTGATTGAGCGGCTTCGCGTGTTTGCTCTGGAATGTGACTATTCGGCAACCCATCATTTTATACAGGAGTTGTCGCTAACCACTCGTGAAGATGCCGAGGCGATCGTCACATCGAAGCTGGAAGACATTGTTCGGTTGCTTTCGACGACACTAGAGCAGCTCCAGTAGTGATCTGTGGGATCGACGTCAGTGGATGCGTAAGTGCATCTATTGTGTGCGCCTCAGGCTGAATTTTGGCCACACGTGAGCCTCTCCAGTGTGGCGTACCATTGAAAGTTCGACTACTGCTTCTTAGCACTGGAGATCGGCAGCGGGGAGCGGACGTGGCCCGGTTTTTAAGCTCCTGTGCCACAATATCGAGGGAGCCTATAATGACCTATGATAGCAAGGGATTGGGATCCCTGTACATTCTACGTATGATGCCAACATACCTGTAGGAGGTAGTGGTCGAGGAAGCTCCCGCTCCAGGCAGCCCACTGAGCTTCCTTGGGATCACTCATTGACGACTACATACGGTATAGAAGAAGTGTGCGCAGACCCCACCTCTTAGTATGGCCTCCGAGAAGGATATTACCTATCCGCCAGCTGAAGCAGCAGACAACGGCTCTACTAGTGGCAACCCACAGTCTCAGCAGCACGTTGACGAGACTTTGGCTCAGCTAGAGGATCCATCGTCCACTCAGCTCTCCATCCGGGCCATTCTCCAAGGCAATGCCACCCATCCTCTCACCGCGTTTGAGAAGAAGGCGGCTCTGATCAATGTCGAATTGGACAGCTTCGGGCTGGGCCGATATCAGATCTGTATCTGGTTCCTCTGCGGCTTTGGCTACTTTCTCGACCTGGCGTGGTCGCAGGGCGTCGGGCTCGCGGCCACGGCCATCTACCAAGAGATGAATGTGCCGGATGGACAAACGGGCAAGATCTATTCTCTGGCGAACGCGGGACTTGCTGTGGGCGCATTCTCGTGGGGCATCCTGGTCGACATCATTGGTCGGAAATGGGCTTTTAACCTAACATGTCTCATTACGAGTGTGTTTGGTCTGATTCTTGTATGTTCTTCTTCCCCATATATATGCAGATATATATGTATATATATTCATATACTCACGACTTTTGTGCGATCCAGGCAGCTCCCAAGTTCAACTACAACGCCATCTGCGGCATATACTTCCTCGCATCCATCGGTCTCGGTGGCAACATCCCCATCGATGCCACCATTGCCCTCGAATACCTGCCTCAAAACCGCAGAAACTTGGTCACGCTGCTATCGCTCTGGCAGCCCATCGGCGTCGTCTTCGCCTCTGCCGTGGCATATGGCACCGCAGCGAAACCCTCTTGGCGCTGCAACGACAGTCTTCCATCCTGCGTGACCATCCCGGACGGAGAAGCTCGGAATTCCTCGACGTGTTGCACCGTGGACAGCAATATGGGATGGAGATATCTCTTCATCATTCTGGGTGTCATGACCCTTGTGATTTTTTTCTTGCGATACTTTATCTTTCATTTGTATGAATCCCCCAAGTTTCTACTGAGTCATGGGCGCGAACAGGAAGCCATTGATGTGTTACACAAAATCGCATATTTCAACAAAGCGCCTCCGCCGACGTTGACGCTCGAGATGTTTCAGGCGATTGATGAGACTTCTTCTCCTTCTTCTTCTTCTTCTGTGGTGGGAGGCGTCGCCTCAGACTCTCAGCAACTCGCGACACGCGGAGAAAAGCTTAGTACAGCTCGCAAGACTCAAAAAGTACTTCGCAACTTCGCCCGAGGACTCGGCAACCTGAAAGCCCTATTTTCCAATCCCCTCCAAGCTTTTATTTTCATCCTACTCGCCATCGCCTACATGGGCGACTACTGGTCCTTTAATTTAGCAGGATCGTTCTTACCCATCATTTTGCTTCGCAATGAAGTCTCGGACGGCTCAGGAAGCGTGGCAGAGACGTATCGGCATTACATTTACATCTATCTACCGGGGATTTTGGGGGCGATTTTGGGGCTGGTTTCGGTGCAATTGCCTCTGGTGGGGAGGAAATGGTCGTTGGTCATTTCTGCGATTTTGCAAGGTGTGGCTATGGCTATGTATACGCAAGTTTATACTACGGCGGGTTATGTTGGGCTTAATGCTTTTGAGTATGTTATGCAGACTGTAAGTGGTACCTACCTGACCTCCTTGACATACATACCTACCTACCTTACCTACCTAATGTTTCTCCCCCCTCCCCGCTCCCGAGTGCATGGGGTTGCTGACGTGGCTTCTGCAGTACTTCAATGCAGTGCTATATGCTTCTGCTCCCGAGCTCTTCGATACCTCCTATCGAGGCAGCGCAAGCGGGATGCTCTCGTGTCTGGGTCGCATTAGTGGCATTGTTGCGCCCTTTGCGGGCCAACACTATCTCTCCAGTAACAGTTCTGGCGTGTTGTGGTTGGGAGCGGGCGGCATCTGGCTCTCTGCACTCACTATGGTCTTTTTGCCAGTCGAGATGAGAAATCGCCAAATGTTTTGAGAAAAGAGGTACTGGAGGGAGGAAGAGGGGTAGGGGCGCAGATTGGGGGTTTCTTTTGGAGGGCTACCGACCTGCCATGCGAACATTAAGATGGTTATTATCAATGGGTTGGTCAATCGTCGATTACTACTACTGCTACTACCACCTACTACTACTACTACCTATGTACCCAGACCCTTGGGTTCTCGGCGCGTCGCTCGTACTTTGGCGAGCAAGCTGTCGACTTTTGGACCCGCCTGTTGGAGCTCGCTATATTATGCCTTGGGTACATGTAGTTGGGCCGTGGCAGGCTTCGTCATGATGGAGGCAAATAAATGATGGCTGGCAGTCATCGTCATGATCAGCCCAGAAAGTCCCATGTGGTTTGTCCACGATCGACTGGTGTGTTGCCTGTAGTGGTAGGTGATGGACAGCTAGAGGGAGGGAGGGAGGGAGTGGAGCGGAGACGGAGACGGAGATTTTATACATCTTTCGTGATTAGATATCAGGTACCTTATCTTATGCATGCATCTTGAGAGGGACATGGTATGTGTGAGGGTGGAGGTGGTGCTGATGGTTCTGTCTCTATACAGCCTTGTCGCTTGCTGCACTAGGCAACACGGATAGAGAGACGGGAGAAACAAGAGACGGGAATGCCGGCGCTACCAAATGGAACCATGATCCTTGCCCCTTGCTGACTGGCTGACTGAGCTAACTGGATGGATCGAGCCATCGAGGCATCATCCATGAATAATCGATGAATAATCGATGAAGGTTCAATCCGTTCAGTCCGTTCAACCTTATGCCCTTTCAGTCAACCTCACCATACCTCCTAACAACATAATGCTTTTCGTTGCCACGAAAGGAGTTATGATATGCTATTCTTCACTTGCATCTTCCACCTCACCTTCACCTTTGTCGTCGTTAATCATCATCACCGTAACACACGCGTCGCCAATAGCACATGCCCATCTACACCACTCGCCCACTCTCACCCTCACCCTCACGGCTCATCTGCATCTCGCACGCGATATGGTCAACCCCTCCCGAAAGACGGGAAGTGTACCACGCCTGGGGATCCATCTCCACCTTTCATATCTCGAGGCATTGCAGATCAGGCCGTCTGGTCTAATAGGAGGAGGAGGAGGAGGAGGAGGAGGAGGAGGAGGAGGAAGTGGCGGTGGTGGTGGTAGGTAGGTAGGGAGAAGGTAAGTCTAGACGCGCGCTCTTGTTATTGTTGAGAAAGCAGAAGCGAAAAGAAAAATTTGCACGCCGGCCATTTGAGCATCCGACAGGTTTAATCGAGGTCCATGAGGTCCATAAAATAGCCAAGCTCCGGAAGCTCAGCGCGCGTCCACAAGTTCCCCGCCACTCAAGCGTTGGCGTCGTTCTCATCTACATCGTTCGACGCAACCTGCATTCATCACCATCTTCTTCCACTTTATTAGTGACTGTGGGCCAACTCTATCCATAATTATTGTCGTTGATAACGGAGTGCGCCGCTTCCGGCGAAATGTGCAGCCCAGGTAAAAATACGATAGTGGGTGGCTACCCAGCATATCACTCATGCCTTAAGGTATCTGACTTATAGGTACGATAATATCAATCCGGATGGAAAATCCCACCTACACTACTCTCCTAAGATACAATAGTTTTGTGTAGATTTCCGAACAGGGGTAAGAGAGACTACAGGGCACAGGGGAAAAAGTCAACAAAAGCAACTAGGATGCAGAAGCCGAGCAGAAACTGGTTCGACGACGATCCACTTAGGACCACATGGCAATGCAAGTGCTAGCTCTCTAGTATCGACGCCGCTGCGTGGTGGTGTCAATTCATATGCCAGTGGGTGACGGATAGTGCTCAGCAAGCTGCCATTCGTTATGCACAGGTCGTACGAGTTATGAAGCGGTGCTAGGACGAGACTTGCCTCCGTCGTGTAACAGTGCGAGGAATAGTTGATGCTATAAAGCCAGCGTCGAGGCATCGGCCTCTCCGACTAACCCATTCATCCTCTGGGTGTACCGGCCTTTGCTGCTGGAACACGACCACCTCATCATGTCCACCTTTATTCTTCCCGCCAGCGGCGGGCTCTCCAAAAAAGACAATGTCTGGACTCTCGCCGTAGCTCTCGGAATCTTATACTCGACATACTCGGTGCTGGCACGGTTCTACAGTGTCTACTTTGGCCCTCTGTCACACATTCCCGGCCCCAAACTGCGAGCTTTCACCAGGATTCCCGATGTCATTGCAATCATTCGAGGTACCAAGGACCGTGAGTTGGTCAAACTCCACGGCAAATATGGCGTCGCCGTCCGCATTCGCCCCCGAGAGGTGTCTTATGCTGCTACACCGGAGGTGTGGAAGGAACTCAATGGATTCAAGAGCGTAACGTATGCACACACACACATACCCTCCTCTCACACGCACACATATCTATCCGCACACATATCTATTCGCACACCCACTGTAGCCTGGGCGGCACCTCGTGCTTTCTTCCAACTACGGACTGACAATACTTTCTTCCTCCCAGCCTCAAAGATCCTTCCCACTACTTTGATCAAAACGTCAATCACACGCGCAGTGTATTTGACGCTCTCGACAGAACCGAGCACTCTCGGCAACGCAAAGTCTTGTCTCATTCTTTCGCCGATAAGACTCTTCGTGAAATTGAGCCGCTTCTCCAGGGATGGGCGCGCAAATTTGGAGAAAGACTGGTGAAGTCGGCTTCAGCGCCCGTGGATATGGCGACCCTGTATGTGCTTTCCTGTCTCTCTCTCTCTCTCTCTCTCTTTCTCTCTCTCTGAATTCTGCTAACGGCTTCAAGGTACCACTGCTTAACCTTTGGTATGTTCTTCTCAGTGTGTGTGATCGATGTGGTGCTCGTTCTGCTGCATATCCTTTTCTCCAATTTAAAATGTATATCTGACCGCGTATCATTACCCAGATGTCATGGCAGATATCTGCTTCGCCGAGGACCTCGGAATGTTGGCCTCGGGCAAACTCAACGAATGGGTCCACTTGATCTTTGCCAATGTTGCGACGGGGGCCGTCATCAATTGCATCAAAAACTTGCATCCCATCTTGGAGTATATCGTCACATACATCTACCAACATGGCCCGGTGAAAGCCAAGAGAATCGTCCACTGGAATTTTACCAAGGATCGAATGGATCGTCGGACGGAACTGGATAATCCCAGTCGACAGGATCTGTGGAGTGCAATCATCAAGAGCTCCGGTCGCCCTGGTGGCTTGACGTTGGACGAACAGCACTCCAACGCTTCGGTCTTTATGATTGCTGGTACCGAGACTGTGCGTAGTACTACTCTTTCTTCACTCATTTTTTGTCCAGGTCCAGACTATCGCCCCTCCCCTTTCCCCTCTCCCTCTCGGGAAAATAGGAGAAAAAGAAAAAGAAAAAGAAAAAGAAGAAATGAGAAGAAAAAATGGCAACTGACCAATGCATGAATGGTATAGACATCATCCGCGCTCGCTGGAACCACCTACCTCCTCCTCAAGAACCCCAAATATCTCAAAATTCTCACGCAAGAAATCCGCGAGAATTTCAACAGTCTCCACGACCTGCGACTCGATGCTCTTGCACGTCTCAAAAATTTGAATGCCATCCTGCAAGAATCCCTCCGCATCTACCCGCCTGCTCCCGGCCAGCTGCCCCGAATTACCCCCAAAGAAGGCTGTAACCTCCTCGATACCTTTGTCCCCGGCAACACGGTCGTCGCCATTCATCAATTGGCGGGATATCAATTGCCGCAGAATTTCAAGGACCCTATGGCGTTCCGACCGGAGAGATGGTTGGGTGATCCTGAGTTTAAGGATGATCGACTTGGTGCTGCGGAACCGTTTGGTACCGGGCCGAGAAACTGTGAGTACCTACCATCACTGCTCCCCAACCACCATTGTCATTGTTTTTTTTTCCCTTTGTTGGTTTGTGTGAAAGAAGAAGAAGAGGGAGTTGATTGCTGACATGTGATGTGTGATGATGATGGCAGGTATCGGAAAGAATCTGGCGTGGCATGAGATGAGATTGGTCCTCTCGTCGGTCTTGCTGCAGTTTGATTTGGAGCTGTGCCCGGAGTCGGATGGATGGTTTGACACACAGAAAATCTACCTGCTTTGGGGAAAGCCGCCGTTGATGTGCAAACTCACTCGCGTCAACCCTAGCGCATAGAAAGTTTGAAAAAAAAGAGAGGTCGTCGTCGTCGGCGGCGGCGGCGGATGGAGGAGTCATTGATTGATTGATTCATTGCTTGCTACTAGATTGCTTCTCTAGATCGATTGATTCATTGACGAGTGAAAAGATTTGTGTATTGGAACATGATGCTTCAGATTGGAAACCCTTTTTTGCTCTGCTGTCACTCTGCCTCACGCAAGAGGTAAGATAAGGTAGGTAAGGTAGGTCGGTGGTTTGACGATATATACCTACCTACTTATACATGCCTACCTTATTACCTCACCGCATCAATTTTGCTTTTTTGAGCCCACGCTGTCCTTCCTCGATCATCACCAATTCCATCCCAATCTCTTTCGTGGTCTTCACCAGTTGTGCTGTGCATCTCACGCCCTCGCCCCCGGAAGAAGTCGGAGGATGTGATGGAGATATAGGTATACTCACAAATGCCGAGGGAACTCCGACGATCGAAGCTGGCTTACAGTCATAGATCTAGCTACAAGCTAGGAGGTAGCACTGCGCAAAGAGTCCATTACTGCTTGGCTACGCGTGTGCAGGAAGTGCTTTTTTGTTTTCTTTTTTTTGCCCCCTCTCTTGGTGCTCCCTTTCATGAGATGGCAGACGCGTGTGCAGTGGGCGGAGGGCAAATACGAAGTAAAGCAAGGCTCCAGGCTTAGGCTAGGAGAGGACGTTGGAAAACCCCGATGTCTCGTTGGGGGATAGTCCGGCTATAGAGTCTCGAAACGGTATGGTATGCATACCTATGTCCGGGTCCGTGCATTATTTTTCACAAGAGGTATATTGACCCCTCTTGAACTAGGAGGTAGTTCTGCCTGTACTAGAACGAACTACTCTTCTTGCCCAGCACATCCCATAATACAACTTCCTTCTAGTGTGACAAGTGGGTGCACATGCAGGAGAGGCAATCATGGGCCGCAGGGTCGAGGCCATCTGCCATCACCCGACGCCCCTATAGAGTCCTCCTATTGAATTCTTTTCCCACCGGGGGGCGGGCCAAGGCCAAAGCAAACGTCGCTTGTTCAGCTGCGGGCGCTTTGCTGTCGAATCACGCGTCGCCGTCTGCTCTCTCACACCTGCACATCCACGTCACTTGTGCAAGTGCTCGCGCTTACAGGTCGACCGACTGGGAGCCCATTTCACTTGGATGTAGGTCGTCGTTCTAGCGTAGTCTCAGGTAACTAACTGTAGTACTTCCTTTTGCTTCATCTCACTGCCCTCCACTCCTCCACTCCGCTCCGCCCCGCCCCTTCATCCTCTCCTCACAGAATTGACGACGTCGCGTCGCGTCGCCGAGAGCAGCGGCACGAGCCCGGCGTGGCCAGCAGGATCGCAAGAGCAGAGGAAAGCAGGCAAGATACGATCGCGATGGACATGCCTTCCTCCAGCGCAGAACGACAGGAGCTGTTCCTGAAACCAGAGACGTCAGCACCACCACAAACCGAAACACCCAAGCCCCTCCGCATTCAGAAGCAGTCTTCACCACCACCCCAGCCCTCGACCTCGATCCCGTATCCCGTCGATCCTCAGCAGCAATGGGCACGGTATCGAGTGCCACCTAGCGCGTTCGGCGCTCCCACCTCCCCTCCACCCTCTGGACCTCTTCCGCTGCCGTACCCCGACGACCGTACCCGCCGACAGGCCACACCAGGCGCATCGCAGCCGCAAGAATTGGCAGACACAACGGCCAGGCGGCCACGCAAGGACAGCATGTCGTCACAAGGAAGTGGCAGTGCCGCAGCAGGAGGGAGAGCCAGGTTCGCGGCAAACGACCCGAACAAGCCTACTGTGGGGGGATATGGGGGTTCTCCGTCACCAGTGTCGACTTCCAGACTAGCTGAACGACGGGGAGCTCCTGCTAAAAACATCTTTCCTCCCGATTCCCCAGGTGGTCCAGAGCCCCCTCTGAAGAGCGACGAAGATGATGGGTTATTCGCAGTCAAGGTCACGCGTAAGCCCAGCGAGCCGACAAACGACTTTCAGCAATTCTATCCTCCTCCACTGGGTGCTGCGCCGCTTGCCAGCAGCAACAGCACACCAAGCAGTATACCAGCACAGAGCAAACTACACATCCCGGATCCTGCTGGGGTGAATCGATTAAGCAGCACGGCATCGACATCCACGACACGAGCTTCCCGAGGATCACCCCCGCCCCCGGAAACACCAATCGGTGGAGATGCAGTGCCATCGGATCTCAGCGGCATTGAGGCGAGATATGCAGCTTCTGGGATACCCGGCACAAGCACTTTGAACGAGATGCAGGCACAAAGTGCAGCAGCCGCAGCACGGCGAGCGCACTATGCACAACCGCAGCCCAGGCGAGGCGAGCTGAATGCGCCGCAATCGACGGGCCAATACAATGCTAGTGGCAGGTGGAGTCCAACAGAACAACCTGGTTCCGCGCCACATGGACCCCCGATCGCTTTTCAAGGGACGGAAGAAGTCTCCTCACAACAACGACCGCCTCAACAGAATTATCCAAGACCTAGTCAGCCGTCTGGTGCCTCACCTAGCAATGTCAACAACCTCGAGGGTGGAATGAACAACATGAGCATTCACGAGGAACCGCCACCAGCTTACTCGCCCGCTCCCGCTGGATCCGCCAACTCGCAGTACCCAAATGAAAAGGGCAGATATGCACAATCTGCAAGTCCCAGTGTCGCAGCATCGGATCGTGGACGGCGACCATCTGATCTCAGTAGACCGCATCCCGCTTTTGCTAACGATCCTCCGCAGCACTTGTCGACTCCATCCCCACAGCCTGGATCATCACAGCAAAATGGGGCGGCAGCAGCAGCAGCACATGGTATGGCACCAATCAACATCGCGCAGGCGAACCAGTCTGCATCACCACAGCCTGGTCCCGCAGGTCCTGCAAGTCCGCCGCCTCTTCCAGAGGGCTGGATCGCGCATCTCGATAACAATTCGGGGCACTACTACTATATTCACTTACCCACGCAATCGACACAATGGGAATTTCCCAAAGGACCCACACCGCTCAATCTACAGGAGCCCATGTCTCCCGTGGGAGGACTCGCAAGCCCCGTCGGCTCAGTATTCAAGCAGCCACTGGCATCTCCAGGGTTTCCCGTGCAGCAAATGGCAAACTACGACCGCAACAGCATGTTCACCATGAACCCGTTAGCAAGTCCGACCGCAACAGGCTTTACTGGCCCGCCGCCCAGCGCTGGAGTGGACATGTACAAGATTACGCCCTCGAACGCAGTGTACTTTGGTCCGTACCTGCGCTATACCAATATGGATCTCGAGCGAGGATTATGGCTTGGCAGTATCATGCTCATCACTGATGCTGGTAATCAGCCACCCACCATACATCTCCACCAGTCGCAAGACTTGAGTCCCAATCCCAGACAGTTGAAAGCACATCCAATACACTCACATCAGCGATGGATCTTTTACAGATATGATGTCGACCTGAAGATGGACGACCAGGGCGCCGCCAAGTGGACATATGCCATCACCTCACACCTGGGCTGCACGAGGTACGAGTTCCTGGTTGCTGGGAGGAACGACACGAGCTGGCGATTTGTGGCGCATTCTGGCAACGACTTTGCGATCAACGTCTCCGCGAATGAAAGGTCTCGACTAGGAGGTGCACCTCTGATGTGGAAGGATGTGCTCGTGAAGCATCAGGAATGCGGTGGATTTCATACTCAAGTGGGACTGGGAGGTCAGATTTACGCAGATCGCTTGTGGAAGGACATTCCGGCCTTGAAACAATGGACGCAAATCAGTGGGAAAGAAAATCGCAAGACTGCGCAGTGGACCGCGAAGATGGAAGAGGATGTCACGCATGCGTACTTCCACTACTACACTTCACATTTCGACCAGCCGGCTGTCAAGGAAGCTTTTGCGCAGATCCCACATGTATGCTGCTTGGACGACCATGACATTTTCGACGGATATGGCTCGTACCCCGAGTACATGCAAGAAAGCCATGTCTTCAAGAATCTGGGTCGCATCGGGATCGAGATGTTCCTATTATTTCAGCACCACACCACCCACGAAATCCTGCGTAACGTGTCCAATGATATTGATCTGTTTACCATCACTGGCAAGGGCTGGCACTTTGTGAAGTACCTGGGCCCTAGCGTGGTCATTGTGGGACCCGATACAAGGAGCGAGCGCAACGAGAAACAAGTCATGGCCGGCCCAACGTATCAAGGCATCTTTCCCAAGGTCGCCACCTTGCCACCGAGCGTACAGCACTGTATCTGGCTGATGCCGGTACCCATCATCTATCCGCGGCTGGAAGGCGTGGAACAAATGGCCAGCACGGTGCAGACGGGAAAGAAGGTGGTCACTGGCGGCTTCAATATGCTTGGTAAAGTCACGGGAGGCGTCGCCAGTATCGTCGGTGCAAAAGGCATGGTGAATCACGGTTTCGACGCCGCTAAGAAAGCCGTCGGAAAGTCGGGGCTCATGCAAGGCGTCCTCAGTCCCTTTGGCGAGATTAATACTCTCGATGAGTTGCGTGATTTGTGGACGCACGATTCAAAGGTATAATTGTGTTTCTATATTATTGTATCCTGAAGCATCACTAACAGGCCCACAGGACCTCGAGCGCACCTACATCATTCGCACTCTACAAGGCATCTCCCACAACAAATCCCTCCGCATGACCTTCCTCTCCGGTTCCGTCAACGTTTGCGGCGCAGGCCTTGTACACGATCCCGCTCATCCCTCGGATCACAAGACGATGTACCAGCTCATCACATCATCTATCGTCAATGCACCAGCTCCCAGTCTCAGCATCAAACTACTCCACAATAACAAACAAATATACATCCCGGCAAACGGCCACAGAAGTGTCGTGGGACAACAAAGCGACACGAAAGAAGACATGATGGAAATCTTCGCGGCAGACGTCGATGGACGGCCGCGCGAGATGAGGAGACTGATGGGGCGGAGAAACTACTTGGCTTGTGTTGCTTATGATCCTGAACTGGTGCAAACGGCTTTCAGTTCCGGCGGACAGACTCCCGGCTCGGAGCATCGAGGCGGTGCGGGGAGGTTATCTTTGGCTGCTGATTTTATGGTGCAGAATGAGGGGGCATTTGGACAGCCGATGAAGTATGGACCAGTGATTGTCCCGAGCTTGGAATACGGACGATAGTCGTCCATCTTTGGCTCGACTTCTTCTTCTTCTTCTTGTTGTTCTTCTTCTTTTGGTGTCACGTTGTATTCTGCAGAGACGCATTTGAGCGTGCGTGGAGCGTTCCGGCGAAGCATGTCGATTGAGAGAGAGATAATGAGGCCTTGGAATGAGATGCGTGCGAAACAACAGTTGTTCCCGTCACTCCATCTTCGAAGCTTTTACGGTATATTCATTTCACCTTCAGAATTGATTTCATGGAGGTATGACCCAAGCCTCCAAGGGACACTAGGCAATAGAATGAAAGCTAATCTTCATCGAGTTAGAGCCTCGGCTGAGCGCATCCATGTAAAGGTCATGGCTTCCAGCATGATGCATGACGCCGGACGGGAAAAGATGCAGGTCCTCGAACGTGGGGTCGGCGAAGGAGGCCAGGCGATTCGGCGAAGGCAAGCGGGGCGGGAAGCTTCCATAGGAACTGAAGTTTTGTAGACTTAGGTGGCCTCTTTCTAGAATTACATCGAATCCTGGTCTTGTATACCTTTTACCCACCAACACTTGACGTCTCTGAGTCGTACGTTCGTTCTCATCCTCAGTCGCCTATCCTAGGAAGTGAAATCAAACCACTGCCCGAACGGCAAACCTGTGAACATCACCGCCGTCGCCGCTCTTTTCCCGACAACGCTCCCCTTCGGACATGATAGCGAGCTCAAATTTGTAGCTTCTTTGCCCGAGAGGATCGAGAGGGAGAGATTGAAGGGGGAAAGAGAGGGATATTGAGAGGTCGAGAGGTCGAGAGAGAGATCGCCATGGATAACGCATTCGTGCGCTCGCCGCAAGAGGTGCTGAAGCATTTCAACGTTACCGAACAAACGGGCTATGCACAAAGCGCTATCGAAGGCGTGAGGCAGAAGTACGGCAAGAATGGTGCGTTCAATGAAAGAATGAGACTCTTATAGAGGAAGATTTGCAGGAGCTAGGACATGCATGACTAACACGCTGTACACAGCCATCCCAGAAGACCCTCCCACGCCGTTGTGGGAGTTAATCCTCGAGCAGTTCAAGGACCAACTGGTCATCATCCTGCTCGGGTCGGCTGCTGTATCCTTCGTTCTCGCCTTGTTTGAGGAGGGAGAAGGCTGGACCGCATTCGTCGACCCCGCCGTCATCCTCACAATCCTGATCTTGAACGCAGTCGTCGGTGTGAGCCAAGAGAGCTCGGCTGAAAAGGCAATCGCTGCGTTACAAGAATACAGCGCCAACTCAGCCAAGGTCATTCGTGATGGCAAGATTCAAACCATCAAGGCAGAAGAGCTGGTACCGGGAGACGTCGTAGATGTGGCTGTGGGAAACCAGATCCCCGCCGACTGCAGGCTGCTCAGTATCAACAGCAATGCCTTCCGCGTGGACCAGAGTATCTTGACCGGAGAGAGCGAGAGCGTGGGCAAAGTCACCGAAGCCATCAGTGATGCGCAGGCGGTCAAGCAGGATCAGATCAACATGTTATTCTCCGGAACGACGGTGGTGACGGGACATGCGCATGCCATTGTGGTCCTGACTGGAACGAATACTGCCATTGGTGACATTCATGAGAGCATCGCCTCCCAAATCTCACAGCCTACCCCTCTAAAAGAGAAGCTCAATGAATTTGGCGATACTCTGGCAAAGGTGATCTCCGGCATCTGTATCTTGGTCTGGCTGATCAACATTCGACATTTCAACGATCCTTCCTTGGGCGGATCTTGGACTAAGGGAGCCATCTACTATCTCAAGATTGCCGTGTCGCTCGGTGTTGCCGCAATCCCTGAAGGTCTGGCTGTAGTCATTACTACTTGTCTCGCTCTGGGTACCAGGACCATGGCTCGGAAGAATGCGATTGTGCGCAGCTTGCCTTCAGTAGAAACTCTCGGCAGCTGCAGTGTGATTTGCTCGGACAAAACTGGCACGCTCACCACAAACATGATGAGCGTGAACAGGATTGTCTATATCAATGAGTCACAGTCTGGATTGGAGGAACTCGAGGTGGAAGGCACAAGCTTTGCACCAGACGGTGTTGTCAAGCGTGGCGAAAAGACCATTGATGCACCAGCTGCGACATCCAAGACCATTGCACAGCTGACTGAGGTCGCGGCGATTTGTAACGATGCGGAGCTGGCATATGACAGCAAGACAGGCAACTTCATGAACGTCGGTGAGCCTACCGAGGGAGCTCTGAGAACCCTTACAGAAAAGATAGGAACTCCCGACCAGGCACACAACTCTCAAAAGAGAAGTCTGCAGCCGGAGCAGAGGACCGACCACGCGAGCAAGTACTACGCCAGCCAAGCACAAAAGCTGCGGACATATGAATTCTCTCGCGATCGCAAGAGCATGTCTGTACTCGTGGGTGCCGGTAAGACGCAGCGACTGCTCGTCAAGGGAGCGCCAGAGTCTATCATCGAGCGCTGCACACACACTCTTGTGGGCGCTGATGGCAAGCAAGTGCCGCTCAGCTCCAAGCACGCGTCGTTGTTGCAAAAGGAGATTTTGGATCTCGCCAACAAAGGTTTGCGTGTCATTGGGTTCGCCAGCGTCAATAATATCACGAATCCTCTCACCAAGACTGCAAAGACTCCCAAGGAATACGCACAGCTCGAACAAGGCATGACCTTCCTAGGTCTCGTCGGTATGCTTGATCCACCTCGCCCTGAGGTGGCTGAGAGCATCGCCAAGTGTCGCTCAGCGGGGATCCGTGTCGTTGTCATCACTGGCGACAACCAGAATACCGCGGAGACCATTTGCAGACAGATTGGCGTGTTCGGCGCGCACGAGAACCTTATCGGCAAGAGCTTTACTGGACGTCAATTTGACGAGCTGAGCGAATCGGACAAGTTGAAAGCTGCGCGGAACGCGTCGCTCTTCTCCCGTGTCGAGCCTGGACACAAGTCGAAACTGGTCGACCTCCTTCAGTCCGACAATCAGGTGGTCGCCATGACGGGTGATGGAGTGAATGATGCACCTGCCTTGAAAAAGAGTGACATTGGTGTCGCCATGGGATCTGGCACCGATGTTGCCAAGCTCGCCGCCGACATGGTCCTGGCCGACGACAACTTCGCGACGATAGAGACGGCCGTGGAAGAAGGTCGCAGCATTTACAACAACACCCAACAGTTCATTCGATACCTCATCTCATCGAACATTGGTGAAGTGGTTTCCATCTTCTTGACAGCAGCACTCGGCATGCCGGAAGCACTCATTCCCGTTCAACTTCTGTGGGTGAACCTGGTGACAGATGGTCTTCCTGCGACAGCACTCAGCTTCAACCCGAAGGATCACGATGTGATGAAGCGACCACCACGCAAGAGAGATGAGCCACTGGTTTCTGGCTGGCTGTTCTTCCGCTACATGGTGATAGGAACTTATGTGGGCATCGCCACCGTGGGAGGTTACGCTTGGTGGTTTATGTTCTATGAAGGAGGCCCTCAAATCTCCTTTTACCAACTGGTGAGTATATCATCTTCATTGTCTTTCGGCTTTTTGAGCTTCTACTAACGCTTGCAATCACAGAGCCACTTCCACCGCTGCTCCACTGCCTTCCCTGAAATCGGCTGCACCATGTTCGCCGACTCCTCTGCCAAGACCGCCTCGACCATCTCCCTCTCGATTCTCGTCGTGATCGAAATGCTCAATGCCATGAACGCCCTCTCCTCATCCGAGTCGCTCATCACTCTCCCGGTGTGGAAGAACATGATCCTCATCTACGCCATCACGCTGTCCATGCTCTTGCACTTTGCACTCCTGTACACACCAATTTTGCAAGGCATCTTTGGAATTGTACCACTGGGTTGGGAGGAGTGGAAGATTGTTCTGGCATGGAGCGCACCGATTGTCGTCATTGATGAGGTGCTCAAGGGCCTAGAGAGAGCATTCTTCATGGAGACAGCCGATGCGCCGAACCGGTCGAACAAGAAGTTGGACTAGTTGGATTCGTCGCGGTTTTGGTTATTACAATTCCACTTGACTTGAACAATGTGGCTGATGGATATATTTGGTATTCACCACCCTACAGAGATATAGAGTAGAGTCTTAGAATTGGAAAGGAGAATAGAAAAACAAGTTCTTGCCTAGGTATGCATATTTCACGTATTTTGCGAAGTGTAGGAAGAAAGGACCTTTGTACAGCATTGTGTTACTTGTGATGGAACGTGTTTGGTGATTGAAAAAGTTGCTTTTTTGTCGTCTGTCGAATTATCCCGAGCTGCTCTCGTACTGTTGTTATTGTAACCAGAACCAAAACCCCCTCCCCCCATTCTGAAAAGCTACATCCCTTCGAAAACGGTAGGTAGTATGTAGAGATCCTCCAACGCCATAATATCGCAGGGGTATCTCTTTTTTTCTCTCTCTTGCAAAAGAAAAGAAAAAAGAGAATTTCTTTTAAAAAAGAAAAAAAAAAGGAAATCTACTCAACAGCACTTTCCTGTGCCACCTTGTTATTATAATCCTTTTTCAAACCCAATAATTCCCTTCCCTTGTTCACAATTCCTCCAAAACTGCCACTTCTGTTCCCACTCTTATTAGAGGTAGTATTAAGATTATCCCCCTCACCCGCCACCCCCGATTGCGTTCTCACCAAAGTCGTCATATTTCCCTGTCCTCCTCGTCCCCAATGATACGTGCCTTCCAGTTCTTTCCCATGCGCTTTGGGAGCTTCGACGTCTTGACGTAGACGCGCTTCTTCGGGCGCCGTGGAGTTGGCGTTGGCCATGTTTCCTGCTCCGCCCCGGCCGGTCGTGAAGGTCGAGGATTTGATTGTGGGGGTTTGGAGATCGCTGGATTGGAGTTGGGCGGTTGGGCGCGAGTTGATGTTGCCGGCGCCGCCGCGGCCGTAGGTTTTTGCTGAGGAGGAGGAGATTTCGGGGGCGGCCATTTTTCTTTTTTCTTTTTCTTGTTTTTGTTGTTGTTGTTGTTCTTTTTTCTTTCTTCTGGGGTTGTTGCTGGAGCTTTTGGAAATAAGAGGTAGTAGGGTTCAGATGCTGTTGCGAGGTTTCTTTCTTTTTTCTTTTCTCGGAAATGAGAGTTTTCTGCTGTTTGTGAGACGATGCAATTGTGAAGCTGAGTTGGAAGGTAGGCAGAAAATGTGAGAAAATCAAAGTGAGAAAAAGGAAGTGAGAAGGAACAGAGCAGATGCCTAGGCAAATTTCTTTGACGCCTCGTGATCCAAGCACGAATAAATTTGGGCTACTCCAGCAGGCGGGGTGTCAAGCCCAGTACGTAATGCCAATGGTGCCAATGCAGATCGATAGACATTGTCGCTGTCGTGGACAGGAGGACAGCATTGTCGTTGGTGTGTTTGGTGATATATAAAATGTGGTCGAGATGGCACAAGTCGAACTCAATCACATGTCAGCTCGATCAGAGGCAAGAAGTGAAGTGAAGTGAAAAGAGATAAGAGATAGGAGGTACCTCCTACCTGCTAGGGAGAGAGGCCAGTGGTTTCAGAGATAAGGAAGAAGTTCGGGTCATCTCATCCTCCGTTCCCGCCAACCGCTGGCGCTTGCTCTCATGCAGCCAGCCCAGCTTCGTCAGTCTGTTTGTACCTCCCACTCATCCGCTGAATGTGAGCCACACTTCCCAATATGCCTCGTCGTCCTCCACCACTCGCCTTTCGCGCACTCTCGCAACCATCGACAGCGACCCCCGTCCGCTCCACGATACCACCCATCATCCCGCCCACAGCATGCCTCCGCCTCGGCCTCACCCAGCACCGCGCACCACACACGAGCAGCCCCGCCCGACCTGAACGATTAGCAGCGACCGCCGCCTTTGCGCGCAATGCCTGGGCTGAGAGACGGACATCGCCTGCTTCCATCATCCACCATGCTGCCCGACGTGCCTTTTCCGCAACTTCTCCCACCGCGAGAGACCACCACTTCGATACCCTCAAAGTCGTCCAGCGCCTCCAACAGGAAGGCTTCACCGAAGAGCAAGCCCGCGCCATGATGCTCGTTCTCTCCGACGTCATCGAAGAAAGCATCCAGAATCTGACACGGACAATGGTCCTCCGAGAAGATCAGGAGAAAGCCACGTACACCCAGAAAGTCGACTTTGCTAAACTACGCTCCGAACTTCTGTCAGCGGACAGTTCCGAGTCGGCTCTGACGCGAGCCAGTCACGAGAGACTGTCCAACGAAGTCACCAAGTTGAATAACAGATTGAGGGACGAAGTCCAGAGAACGCAATCTTCCGTGAGGCTGGATCTGAATCTGGAAAAGGGGAGGATTCGAGAAGAGGCGAATAGTCAGGATCTGAAGATCAAGGAGACGGAGACCAGGATTGAGCAGGAGAGTGCTGCGTTGAGGGAAAGGCTGGAAGCGGTGAAATTCTCCACGCTGCAGTGGTTGATGGGTGTGTGCACTGGTACGGCGGCCATCATTCTGGGTGTGTGGCGGCTGTTGATGTAGGGAATTGCGCATACAAGTAAGTTCAGAGTGATTCAACTCGGGAATATGAGTTACCAGTGTAGCTTGTATTGCCAGAATCTGCTGCTTGCTTGACACCTGCTTCAAGCTACACCTTGCACTGTTCCGGGTCCTCCGGGACATGAGGCGTGCTCCGGCCACTCGTGTACGATACATGCATAGCAATCACTGCATTGCTCCTGCATTACCTCTCTGGAAAGTGTGGCCTCCGGGGGCTTTTATATTTGTTCGGGATCGACGAAGTCGCGAACAGCCAACTTCACTGCGTAGACCTCACATCAACCACGACGCATCATGGACTGCAAGTGCCACTTTCAAGTTGGGAGGTGCAAATTCAGATTCTGCACCACGACTTTGCAAGGCAACAAAGCTGGTGTGATGTTGTGCGATGACGTTGACTTATAACGTCTAGATGCTCACAATCTGTCGTTTTCCGACCAAGACCGGTACCACGAGCTGGCCACTATACATATGTGACCCCTCAGCAAATCCGACATGACTAAAGTAGCGACTTGCGCGCCTGGATTGGACAACGTGTCCGCCGGCGGCCTTCGGCCTCGCAGTAGTAGTTGTAGTGTTTTGGGCATGTCGTATGCGGGAAGACTTCAGAAATGGAATCATCGGTCCTACTTAGCCTCATGAATGAGTGATCGCTCCCTAGAGCATCGCGCAAAGGGGCAACAGGATTCCCCTTGAATCCAAAAGAGACATGTTCAAGTGCAAACCAACAATAGCAACTTCCTTGTCATACGGCTCGTGGCGGACCAGATATAGCAGCTGCATACAGCTTCGAGTATGTCCGTAACATACCAGGCGACTATTGGATCATATGCAATCAAAGATGCATTTACAATTCAGCTTGGGTTTACATACCCCGGCGCGGCGGTAGAGGACTACATCCTAATACAGCGTGACTGACGACTGCGGCGATACTTCCTGGTCGAAGCCGAGCCTAGTCACATATACAAGGTCACTGCCTCTCGTTCATAGGTTGCCACAACCACGATCACAGTTGTGATTGATGCCCATTTGCTCTCTTGTTTATCGATCCTCACGAGCTTCAGTGTCAGCCACATGCCGGCAGGAAGGACCAGTCTGGTTTGAAGGACCAGGCAGAGCGGCAGAAGACTACGATCTTTACTAAAATGTGCCGTTCACATCCTTCACTTGGTCCGAGCCAAGGCTGATTGTCAGGGCAGATGCCCGTGCAATGACGCCTCAAGGGACACTTAGCTACCCACGTGGCCCAAGAACTGTTGGTCATCCATGTGCAGCACGCTGTGAAGACTCTGCATGTGCCAAATTCTGTGCTTGAGCGCGGCCAATACAGTCTTGCATGGCTTGTCTGGTAGAGCTAAGTGTGGCCGAGGACATAAGCAAAGACCAAGAGCAGAAGAACGTCCGACGGCGGCTACGACGAGCTGGAATATGCCAAGAGGCCAAGACTGCGAGCGCTGGAGGCAGCGGCAGGGCTATGGGCAGACCCCATTTCTGTATAGTTGCAGACCTCATTCTGAGTCATCGGATTATTACCGTGGCCTTGGGCCTTACGATATGTACTCGCTCAATAAGGTAGGCTTCCGCTTACCTTGGTCCTTCTTAACTTTCATATTGCACCCCGAAGGATACCCCTATCGATCCTTAGGCCCCCTTGGGGCTTTGGTGGGGGGGCAATCTAATCGGTATCCCCGAGGTATTCGGTGTCCCCGAGGTATTAAGCATTTATTAGGAAGAGAACTCCTAGGAGGTAGGTAAGGAAGACGGCGAAGGACACGCGATGTTTTTAGGGGGTAGGGTTACAGCGGAACTGCGGAAGGCCCAAGGTCACGGTAATGGGGTCTGCAAGTAGACAGAAATGGGGTCTGCCCATAGCCCCGCCGTGGAGGCATAGATTCTGGGGCCCTGGGGGAAGTGAAGTCAGTTTATCGTGACCTGCGAAACGAACACGTTCTGCACGTTGAAATATGATTCGCTGAAAAGGCTCGACGCCACCGGCAGACTTTGGTAGCCTGCCTAGCCCCGAAAATTCGCCCAGGCCTTGGCACGAACCCTAAGCACTTTGTTCAACGGTAACGAACGGGCTAGCAATAAAGGAATCTCGCACACGATCTCGCACACGATCTTGCAAGTGTCGCTCTAGCAGCGGTGGTGCGCAACCGGCAGTCTTGTCGGTCAAGATTAAGACATAGTAGCACTCAGCATAAGAGGTGTCAAGCAACGGTCTAAGAGGGAAAAGACGCGAAAAAGAGTGATTGAAGCGTTCGTTCACCATCGATATGTGTATAGCAGCACAAAGGCGAACAACGCCGAGGATCCTACACAGCCGCAGATGGGGATAAGGTTCACCGTTTATCGTTGGGAGTGTGTGAGGGTTGTGGGCTGGATCATGCAGTCGTCGGCGCTATAACATGCCTAGAACAATTACCGTGAGCTCTTACACAATGCTCGCTAGATCTCACCCAGTGGGACTGGCGTCGCCAGAGGAAGGATGGTCTGTGGGTGGCATTCACTCACTATATATGACCTTGGGTAAAGCCCTTCGCTGCGGTTCGACTTCTCAGCAGCATCCACAAGCACAACTTGCACCGACACTTCACACAGTCTCCGGTAGACATTACTTCATACCGATACAATGGCTGTTCTGAGCGAATACACCTATATTTTCGTCATCGGCACCTTCTTCGCCCTGCTCGATGCCTACAATAACGGTGCCAACGATGTCGCCAGTGAGTACCCACTCAACTCAGAAGCTTTCTCATACTCGAAGGTTCTTTACTGACATACTCCTCCTCAGACGCATGGGCTACATCCGTCTCCTCGAGATCCATCTCCTACCGATGGGCAATGGTTCTGGCCACAATCTTTGAGATCACCGGCGCCGTTACTGTAGGAGCTCGTACCGCCGATACCATCAAGAACGGCATCATTCCACCTTCCTCTTTCCGAGGCGACGCCAGTGTCCAAATGCTTGCCTTCACATGCGCGCTCGCAGGTGCTTCCATCTGGGTGATGTGGTGCACACGACACTCTGCCCACGTCTCCTCCACGTACTCGCTCATCTCATCCGTTGCTGGCGTGGGTGTTGCCACTGCCGGTGCAGCCAATGTGCAATGGGGATGGAACGACGGTCGCGGACTCGGGGCCATCTTCGCGGGCTTGGGCATGGCTCCCGCCATCGCCGCGGGATTCGGTGCGGTCATCTTCATGTTGATCAAGGTCGTGGTCCACATGCGCAAAAACCCGATCCCATGGTCGGTCTACACTGCTCCATTCTTCTTCCTGATTGCGGGAACGGTCTGCACGCTCTCGATCGTGTACAAGGGCTCGCCAAACCTCAAGCTCAATGCGAAACCACCGCACTTCATTGCCGGCGTCACCGTGGGAGCTGGTGGTGGTCTGGCCGTTTTGTCTGCCATCTTCTTCGTTCCCTTCTTGTACATGCGTGTCATCCGCCGCGACGCCTCTGTCAAGTGGTACCACGTCATCCAAGGTCCTCTTCTTCTCAAGCGCACTCCAGTCGAGGGTGCCGCACTCGCTCTGGTGCCCAACTACGCTGTGGACCAGCACGACGATGAGGTAGACGACCACCAGTCCAGCGAGAGCACCGTCGTCGATCAATTTGCCGTCCCCTATGAGAAGGGAACCACCTCCCCCCAAGTCCAGTCCCTCTCCGAGGCCGAATCCCAAAAAGCCGCCATCGACTACAAGCAGGCACAGATTGACGCTCGCGAGAAGTTGCACAAGAAAATCCGAGCGAAAACAGGTCCTCTCGGCTGGGCGATGCGTTACCTCCACGAGAACAAGCAAGGACCGGGCGAAATCTACGAAACGAAAAACATGATCATCGCTCTCAAGCGCATTCCCGCCATGCTCGTCGTCGGATGTCTCTACGGTGCCAGCTACGACATTCATGCCGCCCAGAGTGGTATCGCTGGTACTCCCGAAGGAATCCGCATGGCTCGTGTCTACGCGCACGCTCCCCGCTACCCCAACGAAGTCGAACACGCGTACTCGTTTGTGCAAGTTTTGACTGCGTGCACCGCCTCATTCGCTCACGGCGCCAACGATGTTGGAAATGCTGTTGCTCCCTGGGCAGTCATTTACTCTGCTTGGTCAACGGGAGATGCAGCAGCTTCTAAGCTTAGGTGATTTTGTTGCCCATGACTTTCATGATGTTGCTGTGGAAGAATGGAGGTTAGTAAATGGGGGTTTGGGAAGAAATGGGGGGGGGGGGGGAAAGGACTTACTATCCATATGTGACGAAACCGAAAACGATGGTGAGAGCCAAAACGGCGATTTGCCAAAGTGGAACAGGACCACTCTCCGTCTCGTGGCTGTTCCATGGAAATGGGCGCCGCCATCACCGTGCTCGTCTTTTCGCAGTTCAAACTCCCCGTCTCAACTTCCATGTGCATCACCGGTGCCACCGTCGGTGTCGGGCTCTGCAATGGAACTTATAAGGCGGTCAATTGGCAACGAGTCGGCTTGCTTGTCATTTCGTGGATTGCGACGATTCCGATTGCTGGGTTGATTGGTGGAGTTTTGATGGGGGTCTTGTTGAATACTCCTCATTTTGGAAATTAAGAGAGGGATGATGATGATGGTGGTGAGGATGAGGGATTGTTGGGGGGAGGGGGGTTGAGGGATGGGGAGGATGTATGATGCCCGATTTGTGATGTGTGATGTGTGATACCCTGGCGGTGACGACTTTGTTATTGTGTGCTTGTTGAAAAGATGGTCAGCATTCGCTAGAGAGTAAAAAGAATCTTTCGGCTAGATTGGATTCGGGTATATATACTGTGTACTGTGAACCAAAATCTGTTGTTGTTGTCATCCAAAAAGACACTGTCGTTCAATTTCACGCCACCATCATGGTGGCGCACTCTTCTCGCTCGTCTCGTGATTCAACATGGTCCACACTTTATCCAGCAAATCATTCACAGTAAATGGTTTGGGAAGCACGAAATCCACTCCCGCTTGTTCGGCATGTTCACGCTGCTCCAGACGGACGTTGGCAGTCGTTAAGATGACGGGAATATGTCTCGTCAGCTGTCCTGTGGCTTCCAGTTCGCGAATTTTTCTGCAGCAGTCGAGTCCGTTCATTACTGGCATTTCCCAGTCGAGGATAATGGCTTCGACTTGGATTCTATCATTTGTAGCGAGTGAAGAGTCTCGCCAGCAATTCGATCGCTGGAGCAGATCTAGGCACTCTTGTCCATGATTTGCGATGGTGACTGTGCACTTGGCGGATCGGAGTTGCTTAGCGAGGACGCGTTGGTTGATCAAGTTCTGTCCGTCGAATCAGCGGCTGCAAAATGAGTTGTGGTAATTTATGTTACTCACGTCTTCGACTAAGAACAGATCAAACCCTCGCATTTGCTGTCTCATGTCACTCGCTCGTTTTGCCAGCAATACATCAGCCGTGCTAGTCACCTCATCTGACCGCGAGTATCCTTGATCTCGACTCAGACCTAGCCGACCAGATGTGGCAGGCCCATTAGATACGGCTGATGCTATGCCCTCCACGAGACGTGATTCAATGTAGAAGCCAAACGAGGTTCCCACGCCTAACCGTGAACCCACACAGATCCGGCCTCCTTGCTTTCCAGCGAGCTGCCGACACACGTATAGGCCAATTCCGCTACCGCCGTACTGTATGTGTGTGCGAGCCGTTGCTTGGCTAAAGCGCTTGAACAGTCTCGACATCTCCTCGTCTGTCATGCCTGGTCCAGAATCCGTGACGACAAAGTACAGATACAATCGTTCTTCGTCGTTGTGCAAGTCGGGCAGGGCGTCGTTGGAGGGGTCTTCACCTTCATCCTCGATCGAGTTCATCGGAAAAGCTGTATCGAAGATCGGCGGGTGTGCAAGACTGGCGCCATATGTTACGGTGATCTTGCGGACATGCTGATTGACCACAAACTTTGTGGCGTTGCTCAGTAAGTTGATGAGTATTTGTGCCAGTCTTGAAGTGTCTACGAGCATAGGCTGCTGGGTGAGGTGCTCGTTTGATGAGTCTCCGATGATACTGATAGATATGTCATTCACGAGACATTCTGCAGAGAACATTCGAACCACATCGGCGATGACCTTTGATGGCTTTGCCGGGATAGGGGTGATAGAGAGCATCTCGGACTCTAGCCGCGATAGTATGAGTACCTAATATAGCCCCGTCAGCGCAGCTCGGTCGCTATAGGTGAATTCACTTGCATCGTCAATGACCTGCCCATATGAGTCAGCGCAGCTCGCACACGAAAGCTTAAACACCTCACTCGTTTTTGATGTGCTGCGCAAGCTAGAATGGTAGCTGCCGCTTCTACATTGTCCTCGATAATGGACCGGTAGTCGTCTACAGACCTTGCACAGTCATCCTTGAGGCATCCAGCTATGCCGTCGGCTAGCTGAGTCATCGCTGTGAGCGGGTTCCGCATTTCGTGGGACTGGTAAGAATCAATCAGTGTATTCTTTGACCCACTAATCTGTAAAGGCTTGCCGTTGTGTCTATAAACTCCTATACGTGTGTAAGCAGATGGTATTGCCTCGAGCACAAGTCAGCATACCTCTTGTTGACGCTTAGCCTGCATAGCTTGTGCGGCAGAGCGAGTCTGAACGAGCTCAGACCACTTCTGGTGGGATATGTCACTAAGAAAGCCCATGGTCAGTATGACTCGGCCATCCTCATCGTGAAGTGGGAGTCCCAGCGTAAGCATCCACGCCGATGCTTCCTCGTCTGTGCCAGGCGGCCGCCATTTGCGACTCAAACGTAATTCGTGCACCTCACGCTCCACACCCTCATATTGTAAGGATTTGAGGGACGCGGCCACCTTGACCCTTTCCTCTGGAGGAAAGGCATTGTAAAATTCTGACATTTGAGGTTTCGTGCGATCGTGGCCAGTGATGTCGTAGAATTGATCCTGCGTTCTTGATCAGCCCAAGGGATGAGGCTATCTCTGGCATTGCGGCGAAGAAAGAGACTTACGTTCGCCCATTCAATAGTTTGATCCATAGAGATCTGTACAAGGCCAATGGGTGCGTGCTTCGCCATCAATTTCAGTCTTCTCTCCGAATCCGTGGCCCTCAACTCCAGAGCTCGCTCGCGGAGCTGGGCTTGCTCTGTAGAAACAGATGACATCCACGTTGCCTCCATGGTGCGGGTCAGATCGGCGACGCTTTCACGCTGGTCAACGTCGTAAGGTCTGCGAGGATTCAGGCCCTGTACATAGAAGCCAAGCGAATCTCCTGCACTGCTTCTCAATTCCTGTATACTGATGTTACGAGCAGGCTCGTTGAATCCGCACCACTCGACTCCATTCAACAGAGCTGCGACATCAGATAGGGATCCATCAGATTCACGGAGCACGACAGGTGTTCCCAATGCCTTCGCCTGCCTGAAATACGGTACCAGGCCGGCATTGCTCGTCCTGAGCTGGGCTGTTTCGGGGGCCAACTGATGGCCGGATGGAACTCCAATACTCCCACAAAGGTGCAGGTCATGGTCGGTCAGGCAATCGGCGTCATCATAGGTATACAGCAATGCCATACAGACATCGTTCGGGTTACCACGAAGTGCTTCCATTATCTTGGCTAAAGTCTCACTCACAGAATGCAGTGTCAGTGCTGCAATCTGATCCATGACTAATCGTTGGCGCTCGTGTAGTATATGCTGAGTAGATTCAACGCACGTGTTGTAAGTGCCCTGGATCTCCCCATTGGGACCAGGAATGGGTATGAATTGATTGATCCAAAAGGTCTCTTCCAAGAAGCCGTTTCGGGACACGAACAAGCTCGAATGAGGAAGTTGCATACTGTGCCTAGTATTGACACTCGCCTCGAAGACTGGGCGAACGGCATCAGCTATCTCGGGGAATCCTTCGTAGAAGGACATGCCCATGAAAGCGGGATGCATTGCGCCTAAAAGGAGGCTGAACTCCTGGTTGTATATGGCAATGCGGTCCTCGACTCCCCAGTACACACAGGCAGGTCTACTGTCGGCGAACAACATGCTCACATAGCAGCGAAGAGCCGGGTCCCAGTCAGAAATTGGCCCCAGACTGGTCTTGGCATAATCGGTATTTCGAAAGAGGTTACAGTGGTCAGTGTGAGGGAGCGAGTCAGTCCAAGAGCCGCCAGTGAGAAAGGGGTATTGGTGCTGGAACTGGTCCTGGAACTGGTCCTGGAACCGGTACTGGTACTCATGATGATGATGACGATGATGTTGATGACGATGGCGATACTGCTCTGACTCTTGCTCCGCTTCCTGCTCCGAGGGCTCTTCGGTGTCATGCTGCAATTTCATGATCATCGTGAGTACGCATTGTTGTGAGGAGTAAACAGGAGGAGTAAACAGCGGTCCGTAGCAGAGGGGGACAACACGAAATCGGCTCGAAGGAAGGGTAGAAGGGGCCTCAGGTATACCTCAGGCATGGATCTGATTGACACGCCAAGACTCGGAACGGGAGTGTCCGCTTTCGCGTCCTGGAACGCGTGAGAACGCGTCTTCCACAACCAGTAACCACAACCACAACCACAACCACATGCCCACCTCACTTCCGTCACCTCATCACCAACCATCATGTCCGCCACCAACCTGCAGATCCAAGGCCGTCAGGCTTACAAGCGTGGCGACTTCGACAAAGCCCTTGAATGCTTCAATCGTGCTCTGGACCGGCAGCAGACTGTGCAACTGTACGATCAACGCGCTGCAACCTATGAGAAGCTAGCCGACTTCAAGAAAGCCCTGCAGGATGCCAAAGCTGCCATCAGGTCTGGTGATGTTGATCCGACGGGCTATCTGCGAGCAGGCAAGATTCTCCTCAAGATGGAAAAGTCAAAGGCTGCACTGGATGTCTACGCATATGGCCTGAGGCACGTCAAGCATGTAGGCCAGGGATTCGAGCAGCTCCAAAAGTGCCACGACGACCTGCTGGCGGAACTGGCGCCTACAAACAGTGTAGATCCTCTGACTGTGCTCCCAATCGAGCTGGCAACCTCTATTCTCGAGTACTGCACTTTCAAACAGCGTGTTGCCATGTGCAGAGTGAGTAGAGGCTGGCAACGCTTCATACGGTCATCGCCGAACCTGTGGAAACATCTGGATCTCGGTGCCGCGCGATCAAAAGTCAAGGCCAGCTTCGTCAGCGTGGCCATAAACACTGCCAAAGACAAATTGACAGCTGCAACGCTAAGCAAGTTATTCGATTTTGACAAGGTGCTTACTGCGCTTTTACGGCACTGCCCACTGGAGTCTTTGACATTGGCACAGACTGGCTTGCAAGGGCACAATCTGGTGTCAGCGCTACAAAAAACGAAGGAGAAGCTGAGGCTGAAGGAGTTGAAAATCCTGGAAGGCACTGAAGTGAGCCAGACCACACTACGAGAAGCTGCCACTGCTTGTCAGGGTACTCTCGAAGTCTTGCACTGCTGGTGGCTGAAGAGCATATCTTTCGGCACCAAGTGGAATGACTTAGCCTTCCCTAAGCTGAGAGTACTCAATCTTACAGCAGACCGTTTTGGCGGCATTTCCTTGTATTTAAAGCAGCTCCTGGCCCGCTCGCCAGAGTTAACCTCTCTCGTGCTAATCAACACAGACTTTGCACCACGCGACACTGAACTCGTCCGTGGGTTGGATTTTCGAGACACGAGATTGGAGCATGTAAGCCTGAAACTACGGCTATCACGTGCAGGAGAACTAAGGCTGCCCGGGAGCGTGGAATCGCTCCGTCTCGAAGATGGCGATCCTCCGGGAGGCTTCCAGACCAGTTTCTTACTCGACAATAGTGAAGAAACCAAGCTTCAGTTGCACAATCTTCCAAATTTACGGGATTTGCATCTCGACTTACCCCAGATACCGTTCGATCACATCCTTGCACAACTCCAACCAATTCCCTTGAACGACCATGCTGCTCACGATGCCCCGCCGCTCTCGAAACTTCGGACGCTTCATGTGCATATGAATGCAATCGGAGAAGTTCCGACATTGGTTATGCCCTTGAGATTGAAAGAGCTACATTCTCTGGCTTTGCATGGTATGTGGGACCTGACGGACGAGGTAATCCTTCGCATTGTCAAGGAATTGCCCACGCTCCGGTCGCTCGATGTGAGCGGATCTCGAATCACAGGAGCGGGAGTTGGAGATTTACTCAGAATGAACCAATTGACTGAATTAAGACTCAACGAGTGTCACGATATCAGCCATCGGGATGCCATTGACCAGGCACGAAAGAGGGGTGTCAGGGTTGAGTACAGGCTTCATGATGGCTGGAGATGCAAGAAGCTGGGGTACCATTAAGAAAGAGGACTGAGTACTGCAAGGCCGTCTGAGGCTAGATGAAAAGGATGGGTCTCAATTTGATAACCCGTTGTTGTGTCCGCAGTTGGTCATGGGGCCGACGTCTGAGAAGTAATGTGAGGATGCGGCGGATGTATCGATGGATGTCATTAATCAATTCCAACATCAACAAGCTGAGGACTTCTTGGTGTTACTTCTCACTCTTCCCCCTCCTCTCCTTGGCCGCTTTCGAACTCTTGCTCTTCTGCTTCTGCCTCGTGAGGCTCCTTTCCGCTTTACTCTCATACCTGAACTTCTTCTTCTTCGGCTTCTCCGCTCCATCCTTCAACCAAGGTCTTTTCTTCCTCTTCGCCGCTAGTTCTGCTGCTTTTTCTTCTTCGATCTTTGCGTAATGTGCCTTTTCCGCGGCCTTCTTCGCCGCTACTTCCTCCTCGTCCTCAGACTCATCCATAGCTTCGACGGTGACTGTGGTATATTTGTCCTCGTCTACGTACTCTGCATCGTCGGGTAGTGGTTCTCCTTCTCCCGTTATTGAAGAAGAGTTGTTTTTATCGTCATCGAAGCCGCCAAACTCGTCGCTGGCGTCGCTGTCCACTTCATCGGGATCTTTTCCTATGGCCAGTGCCTTTTGTTCTCTGAGGACTTTGTTGACTTCTGCGACGTGTGTTTCGAGGTCGGCTTTTCTTTGATCCCGTAGCTATCCCCATATCAGTATCTTCCGTTTCCATACATAGGTATTGAGAGGTTTCTATTACCTCTTTTCTCTCCCGAATCTTCTCCTCTTTCGCCTCTTTAATGGCCTGCTCTCGCGCCTGCTCTCTCCTGGCAGCTTTCCTCTTACTGAAGCCGGTGAGGTATTCTTGGCGCGCATCGATGCTGAAGGTCAACTCTTCCACTGGCTTTTGGCGGCGGATCACGTCGATCTTGCGACGCTTTGCTGGAGGTCCCATTTTGTCTAGCCGATGTTGTTGTAGAACTCCACTGTATTTTTTCTCGAAGTCGACGTCTGGAAAATGCGCGTTGCTCGCTTGTGAAGATCGGCGCTGGAAGTCAGATGTGCCGACGTCGTCACCTCCAAACACGTCCCAGTGCACACAGCTACCTAGGAGACCTCACACGCTCCGATTTACCATCCAATCCAACAACAATGCTGCTTCGAAGCTCGATATTCCTCGCGGCGACGGCCAGCTCGGCGTATGCTCTGCGCGATGCCAGTCCCTTTCTGCTGCTGAGCACGGAATAGTAAGTATGACAAGACGACAACGACGACGAGGATGACAGGAGACGGCAACTGATCGAACACTCCACACAGCCTCGATCAGACATCTCTCCGAAGCGAGCAACTATCCACCTCCACACACATCGAAGGCGGACTCGAGCCTACCCTGTCGCTATGCGGATCGAGCGTATACGTATTCGTGGAGCAGCCGGGCGTTCATGGCGCAGATTTACAATCCGACACAATGCCCAAACTGTCGCGAAGGGTGGCGAAAGACCAATACAGAAGTGTCGTACAGATTCCTGAAGTCGTGGGCCAGGTCGACGCGGAAAGAGTCGCTGCGGCAGTCAGCAGACAATGTGGCGCACAGAGATTGAGTCTCGAGGAGTGTGAGTTCGCACCCAAAAGGGGAGGCAGACAGTGGCAGGAATCTCTACGATCATGGTACTGATATCGCAAACACAGTCACATCGTCCACCTCGAAGCCCACGCCAGCAGTCATCGGACCTCTGGTCCAGACAGCTCCTCGAGGCGCCCATCGATTGAGGGCAGAAAGCCTAAAGCAATTAGATAGCGACCTCGACGCACACCTGCATAGCATTCTCTCCAACCACACCGCGCACACAATTATATTCATTGGCGTGCCAGCTTCAGGCGAGTCGTCCAATCTGGACTACGAGAGTGAAAACACGCCTCCAGGACACAACAGCATGCACACCGATCTGAAGAGAGATGTGGACCACGGCTTCAAGAGGGCGGAGCAGAGCAACAGCACGAACCCTCAAGAGAAGCTGGCCCTGTTTGAAAAGTATCAATTCTTGTCGCCGGGTGAGTTTCTCAAATGTTGCAGATATGGCTGTCTGTTCCAGTACTAACATACAAATTTCAGGCATATTTATGGGTCTGGTCACAGTTCTGCTTCTCTTGTCGATTCTCTATGTTGGTGTGAGCGCCATTGCAGGTCTGGAAGTCTCGTACATGTCTTTCAGCAAAGAGATGGGTCCCAATGCGCAGAAGAAGCAACAATAATAACGTGATTTGCCGGCCATTACAGATAAGGCTGCTTGGCGAGTCGTGAGAGAAAGAGAGAGAGACTGTACGATCGTATGTATACTGAGATACCTTGATGGACTCTTGTTTGAAAACCCCGTGTCCACTTTTTCTCGATTGAGACCAGATTTCTTTTTTGATCTTGATTATTCATCTCGAATTACGCCACACTAAGGAGGTACATGTACTTTTGATATCATAGTCACCAGCGAAGTTCTATAGAGTGTTCCTTCTCCATATCTCCTTCTCAAACCCCTCTCCCAAAACGGCAGAGATGCTTTCGAGTGTGTGGCGCTCACTCAGCCACAGATATGATAAAGAGGTCGAAATATCGTGAAATCGATCTTGTTTGAGGACAGCAATTAAGCGATGTCGATGTCTTCGATGTGGTGTCGACCTCGAAAAAAAAGGATGCGTTTCCTTGGATCATCATGATAATGTCCACACTGGAGAGAGACAGCACCCGAATCGAGCTTATGTTAGCATTCATTCATATGCGTGCAGAAGAATTAGGTAGGAATTGAATGAGTAGGAAAAAAAAATTAGACTTACTTCTCAATCCTTCGATTCGCATCTTTCGGTCTGATCCTATGTTGAACTGGTATCGTGGAAAGTATGTTAGTGGATAGAAGGAGAGGAAGAGGAAGAAGAAGAAGAGACCTCCTTTCCCGTATCCTGCTCAACACGAGAAAGAAAGAATACGAAGAAACAAAAGGGAAAAACTTACATCAATGGCCCTCCTGCCCAAAGCCCTCACCTGCACCCCTCTCTCCCACCTCGAATTCCAAATCTCCTTTTCACCAAACGTCAACCGTAAGCCTCCCCCTCCATTTCCTCCACCTCGCAGCATCGTACCATTCCCCTTCCTCTCATTCCTATTCCCATTCTCGTTGTCCCAACTCCTCTCAATCAACCCTCCCGGCTTCACCAGATCCTTGACAAGAAAAGCCGAACTCGGGATACGATAGGCGAATTCCCGTGCATCTTGGCTGAAGGAGACGAGGATGTCGTAGATTTTTCCGTCGCTGTGGAGGAGGTTGGTGGGGCGAGTGTGGAGGGTGAGGGTTGTGGGGCGTTGGATTCCGATCTATTTGGTGGTAAAATAATGAGATGGGGGTGAGTGAGTGGAAAGAGGTCGGGGGGTCGAGGGGTTGAGGGTTGAGTGAATGAATAGGAGGGTAAGGATGTAATACATACATGCCACAAGCTTACATCTCTCGCCTGTTTCGAAAGATCGGAAAACAAATCACGACCGTTCCAGTCGAGTCTGTGGTCTGGTGCATGGTGGTGGGTAAGATCTTCGATGGTGTTGATAATGGCTTGGAGGGAGATGTTGAGGGGCCACCAGATTTTCCACTCCTGGTCGACATTGGTCGATGTAATAGTGATAGGGACGAGTGTTCGAGGGCCATCTCGAGGCGCCATATCGTCCTTTCTCTCTTATTAGGACTTGATGTTGTTAAGTCGATGTAGTAGTAGAAACGTGGAGTAATGTTAAGTTCGCCTGCCCTGCCACGACGTTGCAAAGATGTTGAATCTGCAAGTTGTGGAAAGATGTGGTGGCTTTTAAGGTGCCAGAAAGGTCATTCGTCTTGCGGAGCTCGGTTTGGTTCTAGTGAGGCATCTTGGAGGGGAAGTAGATATGAAGCTTCTACTCAGGTTTCTTTGATTACCTCCTTTCATTGCACCCTCTTGACTTCCAAATCACCAGCACCATCTTGCAGCTTCACGAATTCATTTGCATTTTTGCTCCACTTGGTACTCTCATACGGTGCCGTGAAGATGCTGATTCGAGCCACCGGCGCATCAGACCCATCGTCTTCGATGTGATACCAGGTCCATCGTCCAAAGGACCAATTGAGAATATATCGCGCTCTACCAGATGCGCCTCCATTCACATCCTTCCCATCAGCGTTCTTCGGCGATGAAGCACTGTACACAACTCCCTTGATGCGGTAAACTTCATCCTTTGGCGCAGCTTTCAGCAGTGTCTCCAATTTCGGCAGATCCACAACAGCATCGCCACTACTCGCGTTCAAGGTCACACTCAAGCACTCCACCTCACTAGTATGCTTCTCCCCATCCCCATGATCGTGACCATGAGCATGACTGTGACCACCATCATGCACATCCAACCAATTCCTCGCCAACTTCTGATCAAAACCAAACAACAAATCCTTCTCCACCCATCCCTTATCACTCTTCACCTGCGGCGTATCGACATCCAAATCCCCCAATTTATCCAAAAACAAATCATACGCCCTCTCTCCCAGCGCCTCCCACTTGTTAATGACTATCAAATCTGTCTGCTTGGCCTGTAATTTCGCCGTAAAAGATTTACTAGCATACCCGGCCCAATTCTCCGCATCAATTACTGAAACAATGCCATCTAATTCATACCTCCCCGTCGCCTCGCTCAACCGTTTGATCTCCAACACCAATTTCAAGGGTTCGGCCGAGCCCGAAGTTTCGATGATGATTCGATCTGGATGGGATTGAGAATCTAATTCTTCCAAGGCCGTGCCAATTTGACCGACATTGACGCAGCAGATGCAGTCTCCGAGCAGTTCTTGTGTGGCGGCCATTTCTGCGGATTGAGCGAGTTGGGAGTCGATGGCCACATCGCCGATTTCGTTCTTGATAAGGGCGAGTTTGTAGCCTGGGTTGTGTTGACGGAGTTGGGGGATGAGGTTGAGAATGAGAGTGGTTTTCCCGCAGCCGGTAAAGCCTGTGAGAATTGTGATTGGGATGCGGGATGCCATTGTTGTTTCTGGTTTTAGAATGTATGTTGAGGTGGAGGATATGTACCGTACTCGGGTTGTAGCAATCGGTATTCTTGGCATCGTAGTAGTCTACAGACAGGGATGGCCCGATCCGGCTTGGCGACGTCCCCGTCCATAGACCTTCTCGAAAGAGTCTCCGTGACCTGATGAACTTCGCCAACGCTTCCACCAACAGGAGGAAGGAGAATCAGAACAGACGCTCGCTCGAGCGAGGCGTGTCTATTCACAGCATGGCCCTCTCCATCTCGACCGGCGAGAGATTTTCGCTCAGCGCAGCACAAAGGCACGAACGCAACCTTCTCGCCAAGTTCCATCAATCTCAGGCTACGAAGCAACTATACCAAGATCTATGGCATGACAGAAAAGCCATCGAAGCAATTGCAGCACACCATCTTGGACTATCTGGTTCATCAGCCATTTGCACTGTTCAACCCATGGACTCGTGGTTGAAAGGCCAATTCAATATATGCGTCCTCATCAATGTGCAGGACGGCGATGGCGAGACGCGTAGGAAAATCTTTCGATGTCCGATGCCCCATAAGGTGGGGGAACAAAACTTTTCTGGCGCTGTAGAGGAGAAAATTAGGGCTGAAGTTGCGGCTTATGTCTGGATAGAAAAGAACTGCCCCGAAATACCAATTCCCCAATTACACGCATTCGGGTTTTGCACTGATTTGCAGGTACTTTTAGTCCGGGCCCTGTTCCTTCCAGCAGACGCGCATATCGATTCTTAGTATATGCCTATGCTAAGAAGCTACAGTTTACCCATCACCGATCCGAGCCGGGCCATTTTCGAGATCCTACTAATATGGAGTTCCATCGTCCATATCTATTGCTAGACTACATCGACAGACAAATAGGGCGAATGCTATCAGAGACCTTGCCCGAACTTCCGGAGACGGACACTGTCAGGATGCAGAATCTGTTTCGAGGCATCAGTCGAGTGATGCTCTCCCTTGCCCGACAGACACAGTCCCATATCGGCTCGCTTCGATTCAACGACGATGGCTCTACCACTCTCTCCAATCGCCCTATCCTCTGTACTAACACCATCCTGGAGAGCGAAGGTGCACCCCGCACTGTGAACAGGACATACACGACACTGGGGAGTTTCATCGATGACATGATTCAATTCCGCGACGAAGCTTTCCGTGCTCAACCGAACGCTGTCCATGATGAAGAGGATTGCCGTCTCCAGATGCTTCACATGGTTTTACTGCGACTCTTGAAACATCACTTCATCGACAGCCAATCCGAAGGGCCATTTGTACTACAGTTTACAGATTTTCACCCGAGCAACATCTTCGTGGATGACCAGTGGAACATCGTGGCGCTTATCGACTTCGAATTCATCTGCGCCTTGCCTCCGAGCATGATGACTGTACCTTATTGGCTCAAAGTGGATGCCATCGATGAGGTTTGTAAGCACATGCACGCTTTTCGCATCATGCACAACGCCTTCTTGGACCATCTCCGCGAGGAGGAAGGTCGCACTGGGAGTACTATTTCACTTGCCAAGTCGATACAAGAAGCTTGGGATACGGACTCGTGTTGGTTCTACCGCTGCCTGACATCGGTCAACGGGATGCCCTGCTGCTTAGAGGATCACATTTATAAGAAATTCGGTGTGGACCTCTCAGTGGACGAAGAGAGAAGCTGGGCGAAAACCATGTCCGCATTCTGGTCGTTAGATTCGGAGAAGGACGTGATGCAGAAAGTTCGCGATAAGGCTGAGTACGACAAGCAAATGGAGCTTCACTTTCGTACAGTCTTGAATACTACTGATGACAGCGATGCTCTGGATGTGACGTCTGCAGCTGTTTGATCTGACGTTCACTTCTTCTCCTTCTCCGCTTTCTTCTTCGCTTTCTCCTCATCCTGCTGAATTTCTGGGTTGATGGTTCATGATTCAATTTGCATAAGAACCAGGTATCCAGCCACCTCGACCCGAAGTATCATTCAGCTGTGCCACCAAGCCCTGCTGTTCCCTCTCCAATTCATCCCGATCCGAGCACTTCTCGGCACAGTCAAAGTCTATGATGATCGCGCGTCCCTCACTGATGAGAAAGTTATGTTTATTCGTATCGCCATGTTTAATGCTCAGACTGTGTAATTTCGCAAGCGCCTTCTGACATAATTCCAGATCCTCTGGGCCCGCATGTCTCGCATTGGGGATTTTCTCGATGAGAAAACCAATCACTCTGCCATGTTCGGTCAAATGTCCTAGAAAAGCGGGACCAATTCCTTCTCCGTCGAGACATTCATACGCGGCAGTTTCGTAATTAATCGCTGTGATTTCCAATTCGAATCTGGCATATTTGGCAAAACATTCAATCGAGTTGCCGTCCTTAACGAGTACCTCTGCTTCATACACTGCAGACTTCCACTTCCGGCCGAGTCGGAGGTCGAAGTAGTCCACCTTGTTCGGATGCCAGATCGATGTCACGCCGACCAGCGGCCGATGCACAACGTTCGTGAAAGAAATGAGGCTGGTTTCCGGATCCCGTGTTACCGAGGCTTCATTCCAGTCGCCAGGCGGGAACGGTGGGAGTATCAGCATGAGCATGGGGGAGAAACACATGTCTTCTTCGGTGTATAAGCCCGGTTCAATGGTGATGTACTTGACCATGTTGCCATTGACGAGAATTCGAAAATGACTGTCTTCGTTGTCCTCTTCCATACTCACACTCGCTTCCAGGATTCGGGTCAGAGGTTCCATGGTCTTGAATGAGAATAATACTTGTATCCTGTCAGGAAAGGACAGAAGAAGGTGCCGCGTCTGATGCCACAACATAAGGTAAGTACGAGCAAGCAGGAAGGTGAGGTATCATTGGCTGCTCGCTACGGCCCGAGTCCGTGGGATCAACCCAGTTCCTCCTACCCTCTTCCGTCCACAAACACCTCACATGAACTATGAGCACACCAAAACTGCTCGACTCACAGCCTCCTAGTGATCATGAATGATCAAGATATGACCACGGCCAGTTACGAGGCTCAGACTTATCCGCGCCTCAATTTGAAAGACTTTACATTGGATGAAAATAACTTGGAGCGCGACTGTCCACTCGACAATGGACGCCATCAAAAGTTACCAGAGTACGACCTTGGAACGCTGGACTCCCTGCCCCTTGAGATTCTTCAGGAAGCAATTTCCTACCTGGACTTCGACACGCTGGCAGCTCTCAGACGCGTCAATGCTAGAGCAATGGAAGTAGTGGAGTCTGTGCCTGCATACCGCGCAACTTTACAGCTTTGTCCTAACATCGTCCGAGGGCTCTATAGCATCCACTACGGCGCCTACGTTTCCTTGAACACGCTCTGGAGCACTCTCGGGAGAGCTAGATGTGAAGATTGCGGCGATTTCGGTGGCTATATCTACCTTCTTACCTGTCGGCGCGTGTGCTTTCTGTGTTTCCGCACGGCATGCAGATTTTACCCATTGCAAATTGCAGAGGCTTCCAAGCAATACGGGATCAAGAAAGACTCACTTTGCGACATTCCTACCATGCGGAGCGTTCCAGGTGTGTATACGGGCGCGGAAAAGGCAAGGCGCATACCAATGGTGCTGCTTGATCGGGACATGGTCCGTCAGCGGGCGATAGGTTTACATGGCTCAGAAGATCGTATGCTGGACTTCCTCAAACAGAAATCAACCAGTCTAGAAGCGCAATATCAGGATCGCTGCCGCGCCAGGGAGGCCGGACAAACTGACAAGCGTTTGAGAAAGCCAACCCCAACGCAACCTACAAACGGACGCCCAGGGGATCCGCGACGGTACATGGCTATTGTGCAAGCACCATACGTCAACCACCAGACATGCAAAGTTGATTTTGGGAGATTCTGTAGTGCATGTGCAAGATCGTATGCCGACCACGAATGGAGAAGGAGATATGTATCCCAATCTTTTGCTGAGCATCTCCACCAATGCGGTCAAGTGATTGATGGCTCCCATCAAATCAGATCAAGGAATTCGTCCACGTCAACATGATGGTCTCTCAGACAGCCCAGCCGAACGACCAGCTTATAAGAACGATCAAGTACACCCTTTTCCCCTGTTATCCACCCGTCTACCCACGATCTTAATGCCGTTCAACGATGCATAGGATCACGACCTGGCTTGACCATGTGCCTTGAGCAGTAGTGACTCGAATCTGGAAGCTGATTCTGCTCTACGGGCGAGCATTTCACGTTTGTGCGTTGGCGTGCGGCGCATTGACGGAATTGTTCGAGCTTCTTGCAACCGCAGGTGTGCCTGCGCCAATCCTGTATACACATCTGTTTATTACCGTACTAGCCATTGGAACGAATCGCGATCATCCCGTTCCAGCATTAGTAGCTCAGACGATGCAGTGGACGGAGCAGGCACAGCAACGAGGCGCAAGTCTGCTGGCATACAGTCCCTGCACGGCGTGTGCTGCTGGCCATTGATACTGCGCCTCTACGCGCCTCGCTGTACCTTCGCGTGAAGCTGGTACTAATACCGTGTCAAGGTATTCCTCTTGCTCGTCGGCTCGTCGCCTATCCAATGAGGCCGTCACTCGCCTCCTTGGCTTCGTTTCTACAGCCGCTGAAGCCGCCAACTTCGATCAGCATATATTCAAATATAGCTCAGATCATCGTCTTCGAGACTCAGCGAATCGATGGTTCAGGTCCGCTTAGTGATCGGTAGTCAAGATGCGTTTAGTGTCCGGTCTGTTTGGCGATTTTCGGAAAGGAAATTTCACATTTGGGCCTTTCGGTCATACATGCCACAAGAGCATCCATTTGTCCCTTCTTGCGCTTGAAGTTTGTTCAGCAAGCCGAGAAGAGTGTGTGATGGAAGCAAACAACCACGTGCAGAACTTCTTTACCTACCAGTGATTCTTACATGTGGCCATTGCCGGCAGTCGCCGACGAACGAGTTGTAGCCGATGAGCACGTGAGGCTGCCAGGCCCAGGCCAGGGTGGTTCCCAGTCTGAGGACATTCTTTCCAGTTTCCCTCACAGACTTCTCTTGGCGCAGCATCATCGTTGATGTTGCTTTACTTCTTTGTACCTAGATGTACCTCCTACTTGATGTGGTCTGTGTCGTGTCTCATATTGCCTACAGCAGTAAGGTCTACATGAGGAGAAGGTACAAGTTGCGTAGATACAGACCACCGACGTCATTCGCGTAGTGCCAAGTGGTGGGTGGCTCCTTCCAGGTTCAACACATGTCAAACATGCTTCACAAGAGGAAGTGGCAGTGACCAACCCACCTACCCACAACCTGCTTGCTGCAGGCACAGGGTCCAAGCTACCTCTGCACTAGTAGAGTAGGTACGATGGAGGTAGGAGGAAAGAGGTAGGCAGTAGGGAAGGAAGGGAAGGTAGGGCAGGTAGGGTTGTAGGGGAGCTGGAGCTTGTGTCTCACTCTCCTCCCTCTTGTCCCTCTTCTTCCTTCTTCTTCTTCTTGTTCTTCTTCTTCTTCCTCTTGCTCCTCTACCTACTACCTACCACCACTGACATTCACACACTTCACCAACCAACTCACCTCACCCGCAAATCACATACCACACACCAATCTTCCCGTCAGCCATGGACTTCCTCAAGAATGCTGCCGGCCAGTTCAGCGGAAACAACGGACAGCAGCAGGGCCATTCCAACCAGCAAGGCGGCATGGGTAGCAGCAGCAGCGAAGGACAGCAACAGCAGGGCGGTGGCGGCGGCGGCTTCCTCGGAGGCCTGACCAACAAGCTCAACGGCGCCGCAGGAGGTGGTGTCGAGAGCGAGAAGAACGAGGACTACCTCGACAAGGGCGTCGACTACGTCCAAGAGAAGTTTATGGGTCAAGGTGCTCAGAACAATGAGAGCGCTGTCGAACAAGCCAAGGATGAGCAGATCTCGGACTTTATCCGTGGACAGTTTAAGTCTCAGTACGTTCTCAGCTCATCACCGTGTACGCTGGCAACTTGATATATTGGGATATGCTGACTGTTGTCTAGGACTGGCCGCGACATGCCGATCAAGGACAAGCCCACTGCCATGGACAGGAACGTCGACTAAGCTGCGTTGGGGATGTGAGGTGATATCTCCCAAGTCTTTCGAGCTGCTCCGACTTCATCATGTAGTCTGTTGCAAGCTATGACCGAGAATGAAATGCAATGTCTCCAATCAATTGCATTCTTGTGCGCCACTTGTCCGGGTGATCGTGAAGCACTTTCTCTCACCAAAAAGTGCAGTCGTGTCAGTATGGCCACTACCTGACGTGTTATTACCCTCGCACCTTACGGCTCGAGACCTTCCTGCTTGGTTCGAAGATAATCGAAAATGTGTTGTGCTGACGGGTGAGTTGAAAACCAAAGTGCGCACTGATCGTGGCTGCCAGGAGCATTTTCCGGCGTATGAAGAGGTGGGAAAGTGAGTTGTGCTGTAAAGCATAGTCAATGGCTATTCCGAGCGTATGACGCCCTCCTTTCTTGGCTGCAGCTAGAAATGGAGATTTTGTCAACACAATTTCGACCGATTCTATTTTCAACTCACACTCTACAATCATACCGTCTGACATGGACGGTACACTCGACTTCAAGCAAGGCGTCGCCATTGCACTTTGATGCAGCTGTGAGCCCATGTTTTTCCCCCTTCAGCGCGGCCAAGTAATGTCCCAATAACAAGATAGCGCGACGCAAAGTATACCGTCAAGAAATGATCCAAGCAGGCCATGCGACACGTTCCCGAGCCCGTGGAGCAGGTCACGTCCCTGCAATTATGATCTGAAGCGTTCGCAGGAGAAAGTCATCTTGATTGGCCCTTAGGGCTTTGTTCGAGGAATGTACACATTCGTATCGGGCCCGAGATGCAGCCCTTCTCATGAGGGGACGAAAAAGATCTATTGCACCTCATACGAACGATGTTGTGATGTTGAAGAGGTGGAATGGCTGGTGAGATTATCATCGAAGTTGTCAATAGCCATGATCTGTTACAAAAAGGATCGTCGCGTCCAGCATCAAGTTCCTCCCAAGTCAATTCGTATCCATCTGGACAACACCTCCCTGCAACATCTTTCCTCTTCCATATCATGGCTCCTTCGACATTCGCATCCTTGAGCGGTGCTCTTTTCGGCATGATTCAGCTCTCCAGTATGTCTTTTTACGCTATCAAGCAGATCGCTGTGATGATGATGATGATGCTGACTTCACTCGACAGACTCCCTCATCATCACACAGACTGTCCATCGATCCTTCTGCCCTGCAACAACTACCGCTTCTCTGCCAAGCTGCGGCTGGATCTCCGCCAGCGGCTCAACAAGCATACCGTATTGCTTTTCGACTTCATCATCACAAATCTCGATCGCATCTTCGACAAGGACAGCGCCAGTCATCTCGATCACAGTCACACCACTGCCATCGACCCTCAACACCAATATCCTCACAACGACGATAGTGTCGAGTGTCACAGCCACAGCCACCGCTACCACTCTGAGCACAGTCTATTTTCCTCCAGGATATAATTCAGCATCGAGCTCGTCAAGTACTGCTTCCACAACCACGACTGTAACTTCCATTGGAGATGGGAGCGCTCCAGTCTATGGTGGAGCATCGACGACCACGACCAGCATCACCTCTACCGCAACACCTCCAGGGTATCAAGGAGCATCAAGCTCATCCATCACAACCTCCACACTCACCACTTCCACCACCAACATCGGCGCTCCCGGCTACGGCGACCTCGTGACAACGACTACAACAACAACCACCTCCACCTCCACCAGTCCCACCAACGCCCTCATAACTCCCAGCATAGTCCCCACCAGCCTCCCCACCTACTGCTACCAAGACGGCGCCCTCCTCAACGCCGGAGTCAACATCACCATCACCGACAACGCCGGCCAAGCCTACGTTCTCCTCTGTCTCAATTCCGGCCTCGACCTCCTCGGCGTCGGCTTATCCGGCATCGCCCTCGCCACCGTTTCCGCACCCAATTCTGCTGATGACTGTTTGGCTGTCTGTGACGCCGAAGACGAGTGTACGGGCTTTGCGTTTCAGAGTATTGCCGGCTGGGGAATTGGACCGGGAACGTGTTTTTTGTATTCTGGAATTGGATTGTCGTTTACGAATTCTGAGTTGCTGAATTTGATTGCTTTTATTAAGTTGGATGCGTTGACTGGGTTGCCGTTGAGGAGGAGGGGGAGGAGGGAGAGCGCGAGGCGAGGGGTGATGATGGTGGATGGTGGGTGGTGAGGAGGATGAGTCAAGTGAGAGAGATGGTATTATATACTTTTTTTTCTTCCTCTCTTTTGTGCGGAAGGGAAGGGAAGGGAATTGTGGTACAAAATTGGGAGGTGTGTGGAAGGAACCATGTATATAACCCAAATTCTATTTACTAGTCTATCACTACCTGACTATTCCGCTTTTCCATCTACCAGCTATACAGCAGCAGCATAATCATACTCAAGTCAAAAGATCCCACGGGGCTCTCAATATCTACCTTATCTATGTAGACTTGTAACCGTACGCGCGGTCCCTTTTTTTCCAGTGGTAGTTGAACATCTAGCTACCCTACCTTACCTCCTAGGTACGTTAGGCTTCTCTTCTACCAACGAATAAAACCCACATTCATCTACTTAACCTATAAAAAACTCGCCCGAATGCAAAAGTATTAAACTTCGCAGGTGACTGCCAGACTTCCTACTTACAAGTGACATTACATTTTACTTTTCAGTCCCAAGGAACCTGGCTGGCTGCTGATATATGACTCTCATCAGTAAGTAGGTACCTTAGTGTTGTGTATACTTTTTTCCGCTCGCACAAGAATTTTCTTCCGGTGCGTCTACGTGTATCGAAGGGAAGGTATGGGTTATCGATATCGATATCGATACTTTTTTGGTTCGACCCAATCAATTTACTTGAAGAAAGAAAAGGCAAAGCACAATCACGCAATGCTTTGCTTTTTGCTTTGCTTTGCTAGGTACCATGGAGATTTAAGAAGTTTTTTGTTAGAGAAAAGAGAGAAAAGAGAAAACAAATATGACAAGTAAGGTTAGTGGGTGGCTTTTTTTGGTGCTTGGAGAAAGGTTTTTGTGGTGGTGGGTTTTTGATATATATATACAATATGTATATTTCACGAGACATCGACTTGCGTTGCACCAGCATAAAGTCTTGACAACTCCTCCTCCTCCTCCTACAACCACTACAACCACAACCAAAAAAATGCATCTCTCCCTCTCCCCCACCCTCCACCTCCTAACCACAACAACCCTCCTCCTCCTCCTCATCCCCCCCACCACCTCCTGGACCCCTCTAAAATCCCCCTTTACGCTCCCCCTCGCAACCTTCCCGACAGCCCACTGCAACCTCGCCTCTTCATCCTCAAATTTCGAATTCGAAAAACTCCTCTCCCTCTCCCCTCTCGCATCTTTACGCAGTGGAATTTGTCTTCGACAAGGAAGTGAATTTCCCATTGGATCATTCATGTTCGGGCAACCGCTGATACTCAATAAGGGTTTAGAGGAGAAATTTGCCGCCGAAGAGAAATTGGAGGTGCAGGAGAAGTGGTATCCAGAGTGTCAGATTGATGTTTTTGGGGATGGGGAGTGTGGGGGGGAAGCTGGGGGGGAGGAGGTTGGTGAGGAGAAGAAGAATGATGATGATGATGAGGAAGAGAAGGAGAAAGAGGAAAAACTTCCCAATTTCCCAATCTACACCCTCCCCGACGCAACCGCCACTCTCCCCCAACACAAATCCACGCGCCTTCGAAAATGTCATTCCCTCCTCTCCCCTTCTTCTTCTTCTTCCGCCCAAAACCAAACCGGAAAATCCATCCTCCTAACCTGCCAACACGTAACCGACCACGTCCTTCCGCGCTGCGCAGAAAAGCTTGTTCAAGACGACATATCCAAAAAAGGCCTCTATCGCACTTGTTATAAATTCGGTCGAAATGCAAAAGAGGGGTCGGCGGATCGGGAGGAGTGGTGTGCACCGTATTGTGGAGAGATGGGGGGATTGGGGTTGCCGAGGCATTATGAACCGGGTTATGGACCGCAGTGTAAAGATTCGGGGGGGAATTGTGGGAATTTGAAGATTTGATGGGGGGTTTCTTTTTCTTTTTCTTTTTTTTTTGTGCTTTGTGCTGGAGGGATGGAGTTGCGATGGATGGGATGGGGCGGGGAGGAATGTGTTTGAAGATGTTGGATGGGCGTATGATTGAAAAGGATGGGAGAGGAGGTGGAGGAGGAGGGGAAAGGGAATGGATCGTGAGAAGTCATGGCAGACATTATGCGAAGAGGATAATTTCTTTTTCCGCGTAGAAAGCCAAGTGGAAAAGAGAGAAGGAGGGAAATGATAGATTCCTTTCTAGCAGGGAGTTTCATGAGTTGTTTTTCGGACAACACAAGAGGAAGTTTTGTGCGATGGTAGTTTGATGGCGACAACTACTGTTCTTGCTTCTGGCGTAATAACGGGATTTTTTGTATAACGGAGTCAGCCAGCAATACCATATGGTGTGTTAACCAGAACCGATTTGGAGAATGGAATGTATGAGGACATGCCATTTCGCATTCAGAACGAGTACTGCAACTCTGCACACATTCGCGTTGCTTGTGCATGTTTGAAAAACTTGGTTCGCGCACATGTTGTGTGATGCATTTGGGCAGTCGGTGCCATCTCGACATCACTTCATGGATAAGTGTCACGTGACCTCAGGAGTCATGCTTCTTCCCACCGGTTTGACATTCCGTTCACCCTAAACATTTCACTCGAGTCTTTTCCCTCTCAACGTGCACGCATCGGGACAGCGGCCGCAGCAAACGTCTCATTGCATTGCGTATCATATATCGGCCGTTACTGACACATGCAAACTCCATACAGCCCATGTTCTGTGCTCTCATCGTAGCCTGCTCTCCCATCACTCGCCATAACATGAAACATTTGACAAAAGAGAAGCCTTCCTGCAGATGCTGTTGCAACCCGTCGTGCACAGCCATTTCCTGCCGCCATGATGTGTATGTGATGATATTCCTTCTTCGTGCCTTGTGGGCTGCCTTCCTGAACGCCTCGCCAAATGACGCAAATAATTACAATGTCTCCTCGGGTATAGCAAAAGGGTATCGCGCGCATGTGTGGGGTGAGCAGACGATGACAATTATGTAACGTGTAGCAGCGCCGCGATAAGTGGAGAAGGGAGTGAGTGAGAACTGATATGGTGTTAGCTGGTGGCTGTTGGTTAGGTTGCACCCACGACCAGGATTGCACTCACAGATGGTCGACTACGTGTCGATGCTCCGGTTCGAGCCTGAGCCAACGTAATATGTTCCCTTGACGGCAGCGCTGATGCCCACACCAAGAGCAACAGCAACACCGACAATGAACAGTGCCAGCATGATCTTCGCAATCAGCTTGCTCCGACTACTCATTGCAGTCCATTTCTCCCGAATGGGGTTCAGGACCTTGATGCCCTTGTTCTGCCGTCTCTTTTGTTTCTCAGCCTGGTACTTTTGCTTCAACGTCTGCTTGCTCGGCCACATGGTGCATTCCTTGTTGTGGTCGACGGCGAGACGTTTGGAGAAGGGATTTTCATCGTCGGAGAGAGGAGTCAGAGGTGCGTCGTTACCAGACTCGAGATCCTTTTCGTAGACGTCGAGGCGAGACTTTTTCGTAGCTGCAGGAATGGCCTCGTGCGATGCAGGTGGGTGGGTGTAGAATGGCGATTGCACCGGCGCTCCGCTTCCGTAGTCGTGCGTCAGCGATTCGCGTGAAGGCTGCGGCGTGATGGCAGGCGAATGAGCCATTGCAGGAGGGAGTAGTGATGGCGAGCGCTGTGGCTCTAGCTCCTGCTCCGTAGCAGGGACGATAGTCGCTCCGAATGTGGTTGAGGCCATGTTCGCTGGAGGGGGGTGGTCGGTGTTTGTCCTAATGGCAGCTGTCTATTTCCAGGGCGTCTATGTCGATGTCGTCTTCGAGGTTGTCGAGGTCGATGTAGTGGACGGCACTGACATCAACTGATAGTGCAGAAGGTTGTCGTTATGTGCGTAGCTCGACAGGTCCAGATCAAGTCGAGGCGCAAAGGAAGGGCTTCCGGAGCAGGAAGTGGCCAGGCGAAGGTGTCGGTCCAACGGTTCTCGTAGCTCGTATGGCAACTGCTACCGCGGCTGTGCCTCCTGGTACAGGTCGTATGTACAGTAACGTTCGTGACTTGTTACTGGTGTCGACGAGGAGTACGTGGGCGACAGGGAATGGTGACAGCGATGATGGTGGTGAGATGCTGAGGCCGGGACGAGGGAGGGACAGGCCGTGTTTCAAATGTTCCAGGGAGTAGAAGGTAGAATTCAGAGAGGCAGACAAGACAGCAGAGGAATCAGAAGAAGCAGAAGAAGAAGAAGCAGAATAAGAAGTGAGACTAGAGAGCTACGAGCAATATAGGGTTTGCGGCAGACAACGATGATTCTCCAGTAATTATTCCAGCTCCCGGCGATTTCCCCCCTTCAAATTCACCCTGAATCGGGTCTGATTAGACTGTTTGTAGTAGATGTGTTGATAGTATCAGGTGAGCAGTTCCCATGCTTTGTAGTTAGTGATAATAGTAGGCACATTTGTTGGCGTCCACAGAATTCTCATGTCTCAGTCTCATGCAGCGACAGATGCCAATCCCAACCTATCACAAGGGAAGCGTCCCGCCCCGGGGGAACGTTCACTCTAGCGGGTCCTTATCCTGGCTTAGACTGGCTTTAAGGGGCAAGCTGGAGAGGTTCACAACAATTCTCCACGGAGGCTGGAGGCTGGAGGCTGGAGGCTTGATAGAAGGTACAGGAAGCTAGAATGAGAGATGTGGAGAGTACGAGACTTGCGAGACTGGCGAGTCGAATCAGTCGATGCATCCATCATGCATGGCGTGGAGAAGCAGGCCAATTAATCAGTTTTGGCGAAAAGAAATGAATCTAGAGCGTGGAATATTCCATATTGCATATGCATACTAGCATGAGCTCTATCATTGCCAGTTCATTTACACGATAACAGACTGTACAGTATGAATACGGTGAGAAAAGCAGTTGAGAGAAGAAGAGGTCATCAATCATCATCATCATCATCATCGCAAGTAAAAAACCGTTGAAAATGGCATTTTAGAATGAGAAGAAAGACAATCTCCATTGTTCGGCCGTGCCATCCATGCACACGTTTGATGAGACCACGCGCAACCTGCACCGAGTAATTTTTAGTTTTTCTGCCCACTTTTCCTCGTCTACGTCTCTTGTCTCTACCGTTCACAAACGCCTTTTGCCTTTTCTTCTCTCTTTGCTTACTCGTATTCGATCCCACCACAGAAACTCAGAAACCTCTCTTCTTCTGCTTCTTCTCCTCTTTTCGTCGTCATGCCCGTTGAAGACGTACCAAACTTTGGACCAATGTTGGCGTCCCTTTCTCCTCTGCTTAAGCGGCGAGTCAGTCACTTGAAACAGGCACGGGAAAGCAGAATCGGGTCAAGATCGACAGGGACACAGGAACAGGAACTGCAAAGAAGTATTCAGGTCAAGCGATCCCAGAGTCCAGAATCCCAGCGCTCTCTAGATGAATATTCTACACGTACGGTATATATCTCCGACGAACTGATGATGATGATCATTTAAGCAAGGTATTCATCCTCTCATCACATACCGCCACGCCTCCACAGAGCCACTCGCCACATCCAGTCGTTTAAAAAGCTACCTCCACCTTTTATTAAAGTCGCGTGCGGGAGCGCATTTTCACGTGGGCAATTACTGCCGGGCGCTGACTGGGAAACGAACGATTTGCCACTTTTCAAAAAAGAATTGATTACGCACTTCCCGAATGCCCCCAAAGGTCGCCAGGGCTAAGGGCAGGCCCCAAAATGTCTAGTCGCAGACCCCATTTCTGAGTTATCCAGTTATCACCGTACCCTTACGATATTACCTTCCTAGTAGCTACCTTCTGTAGCTTCACTTCACATTACACCCCGAAGGATACCCCTCTCGGTTCTAAGCCCCCCTTGG